CTAACGAAATGTGAATGAAACTTTGTATTCGTTAGTTGACGAAATACATTTATTGTACGCTTTTCTTACTGACATGAAAATGCCATTGAAGATCAAGCAAGCATCAGCAAGAAAATACTCAATTAGATAAGATCTAGGAGTTGGGCAGTTGTTTTTTCATATGTTATCTTCGTTATGTAGGGCTGTTTGTCCTTGATCAGTGGAAGCATCAAGGTCGATGATAACGCCGAGAAGGTGAGCGTACGAAAAAAATGATTCTTTTGCGGATCAGCAAAAGAGCTTGTTGCTGTTCTCCTTTGATTAAATTTACTTCTCTGCAAGCAGCCTCCTCCTTCTCCTCGGCAAGCAGCGGAAGTTGCTTCCCTGTCTACTCATCTAAAGGTGAAGTCTGCACACGCCTGCGCTGTTTCAGCCTCCACGCTAGTCTCGGCCAGACACGTTGGGTCGCTGAAAAAAAAACCCGGAGAAATTAAACTGGACAAAAATAAGCTGAATTTGTCTGAACAGTTAGCCGGCCATACAGTAGTCACATGTAGACGATGCTTGGCCAGCTAACGTACGTATTCGGCCTTATGTGACCAGTTTCTCCTATTTTTTTTCAGCAAGGGCCCGGTCACATACGTTGTAAGACCGTCGTACGATTGCCATACAATCGCCATACGATCGTCGTAAGATATCCGTACGATCGCGGTAAGATCGCTGTACGATCGCGGTAAGATCGCTGTACGATCGCGGTAAGATCGCCGTACGATCGCGGTAACATCGCCGTACGATCGCGCCAAGATCGACGCACGATCGCGCTAAGATCGACGCACGATCGCCGTACGATCGCCGCACGATCGCGCTAAGATCTCCGCACGATCACCGTACGATCGCCGCACGATCATCATACGATCTCCGTATGATCGCAAAGAGAGGGCATTCTTGTAATAGTCGTGCAAATGTTTAACAAAATTCAGCTGCCGGTTTGAAAACCCGACAACATTAAGACCTCAGGACGATCTACGACGAATGTGGCCCGGCCCTAACCCAAGTCTGGTGGAGACTACTGCACACGACGTTAACAGTGATTTAAAGTGGCATTATGTAACATTATACAGGACTATTTGGGCTGTTTTAGCACCAACCATAAATGTTAGAAACGTGAGATAATGACACAAATATGTTGAAAATACAATTAAAAATGTTTCAGTTTTTGGTGTAAAAATATTACACAATGCCCCTTTAAGAACAAAGGTGATCTCGACATGCACCCTTCTACGTTACCAAAGCGGTTACATAATCTCCTCTCCACAGAAAGAAACTGTCCCGGAGAAGATCATCTCTAACAGTCAGTACGTGGAGATGTACCGGCGGATCTCCGGGCTGGAACAGACCGTCAACACCCTGAGAGCCAGCGTCGGAGGCGGCCAAGAACCGTCAGGCATCCGGGAAGCCATCTCACAACTCAGGAACAGGTGCGTTTATATCTTTCGTACAACCCAAGCTGAGGTTTGGATTTTGGGTTATTTTTTGCCTGTTTTTAGCCTTTTTTTATCGGGGTTTCTTTTTTGCACTGGAATTTTTTTCGCCCAACCCAAGTAGACATGCTGCATGTTCCAATTAACTAACATGTACTCCTCTTGGGTTTTGGTAGCCTTCTTTGAAGGCATTCCAGGTAAGGCATATTAGGGTGGGTGGCCTAGCACCGGGTGCGGCGAAATGTACTCTCTAGCAGAGCAACTCCCTCGGCATGTTATCTCTCTCTAGTTGGCCGATTTATACTCTTTCCAGCCGTCTCCCGAAGCCTGGTAGAGGATATTGGCGGACGGAGTTCTAAGCGCATTTGATCTACGTGCGATCAGAAAATCGTGCAAGTGCAAATCACCCCCCCCCCTAAAAAAACACGATGGCTGCACTTGGAACGTAGTAATCTTTTCTTTTTTTTATAATTTCCAACATGTAATCACAAGACGTGGTGACGGCACGCTCAAGTTTTTCAAACTTATATTATTGCCGCCACCAACACAGGGGACAATACAATACTCATTTTCACCTGAGCGAAGTGAGGAAAGTCGTGTAAAGTGCCTAGCTTTCCCAAGGGCACAAGATCAGGACTCATGTCAGGACTCGAACCCGGGACCTCTAGGTTCCGAGTCGAGCACTCTGCCGCTACGCCACACGACCCCACAACGCAATATTTCCTGCCTGATTTTGTATTCAGGGTAATGAACCTGGAGCGACAAGTACAGGCAGGCGCCGGGCGAGGCAGTGGAGGCGGGAATTTCGCGCCCGCCAGTGCGTTGGACCAGGCGGTGACCCGGCTCGAGCGGATGGAACAGGCGCTGTCGGTGGTGCAGGGCCAGCTCGGATCGGCAGGGGGCGGTGCTGACGCGGGGGGACTCCGGCAGCTGAGGGAGAGAATCACGGACGTGGAGAACAACATCAACCGCATCCGCAGCCAGGTCGTCTCCACTGGCAGTCAGAGCATCTCTACTAGCGAGATCACCGACCTACAGCTGAAGGTATGGAGTCGTAGAAGTACAATGCATATTACCTTACCACGAAGTGCCAAGGCATGCCTTCTTGTGCTTAGAATAATTGTTAGAAAAGGTAGGATGCTTTCTCTCTTACTGTATACATGTATTTGACATGGCTGTGTTACAACGATATGCAGTCTGAAGGGAATGATAATTTTAAGGTAGTTACAACTTCTTTGATTAACTATATGAATAACATTTTCATCCCATTCTTGTGTAAGATAGAGAGAGAGGTCTCATAGTTTGTTGTTATGTTTGTACCTTATGACCAAAAGGGCTAAGCTTTCGGTGCTAAAATACTTTGTGCCTAGTATGACTGTTGTGCAATAGTTTTCGTCATTTTTATTGTAAATATTGCTGCAACAAGCATAACTTAAGAGTGAACCATGTTCCATTAAACAACATGTCTGGATCCCACCCAGGTCAGTGCCCTGGACGACACGTTCCGGTCTTACCAGCCCCTGCTTCTCAAACTCTCTGACGTGGACACGCGACTGAGAGACTTGGAAACCTCCGGTACCCAGGGTTCCGGCCCTGACGTGGGCACGGCAGTGGTCAGCCGTATCCGCACCCGCATCGGCCGCTTGGAGCAGGGCATGTTCGGGCGGATTCTATCGGGGTACAGCAGGGATCCAGTCAGTAACAAGATGAAACAGCAGATAGACAAAAACAGGGGGTTGATAGAAAGCTATACAACTCTTGTACCGGAGGTACAGGTGCTGCAAAGGCAGATGGACCGGGTTCAGAGCAACAGTAACCGCCACGCCAAGTCTATCGCGGAGCTTCAGGATCGCACGGAGACCATGTCCCAACAAATCAACGAACTGGACGGCTTCTACCGGCAGAGCCGTCTGCGGGGATCGTTTAGCTCCGTCCGGGGAGGGGCTGTGAACACGACGGAGCTGAGGAAGCTGCGGCTGGAGTTGAACGCCCTGCAGGGCAGCGTGTTCAGGCTGCTGGAGTCGGCGAACCGTATGGACGACCTGGAGGAGAAGATGAGTACTATGGAGCTGACGGTACTTGGCGCGGCCACGCAGGTGACGAAGACCGAGGTGGACCAGATCCGCACGGCGGTGGGGAAACTGCAGGACGAGACGCTGCAATGGGGCGACGACTGGAGTGAAGTGCAGACAAGGTGAGACGGGTTTTTTTCTGACATGAAAGTTCATCTGTGTTGGTAAACTTCATTATGACCAAAAGGGCTAAACTTTCTATTCAACACTACGTAAATTGGGACTTATTCAAATTTTTGTTTGACTACGTCAGCCTTGTTCACGGAATGGACCCTTCTACTGCAGCTTCCGGGACGTGACGTCGGAAACACGTGATTGTAGCAAAGGGTCGTACGTGTTAGATAACCTGTGTCGCCCCCCGTCTCTGTTTTTTTCTGGTTTGGTTTTCCTTTAATGCCCACGATCATGATAATGATCATTCTGGCATACTCATTTTCTTTGAGCGAAGTGACGAAAGTCGTGGCAGGACTCGAACCCAGAACCTCTTGAATCTGAGCTGAATGCTCTGCCGTTATGCCACAAAACACTATCATTTTAGAGGTGCACGTACATATAAAGGGGTCATAAAGTTGCAGAAAGGAGAATGAAACATCGCCTTTACACAAAGTTTCAGCATACTTAAACACCAGCGAAGTGCCAGGTTTGTAGAACTTGAAGCACAGCCTTACATGCTTTAGCCAGTGGTTCTTATTGAACAACCAATGAGCTGGTTTTTGATACATTTTATAAACATAATACTAATGTGTTAGGGTTACCACCGATGCATGAATACATGTGAATATTATCTGTAACTGTTGTACTAAGGTTGGCAGATGTGGAGCTGCGCGTACGCACAATGAAAGGCACAGTGGACATCCTGGAGACGAAGAGCATCCGGCCGCCGGACCCTGTACCGGACAACAAGCTGACTGAGGAGTCGGCACGAGAACTCGCCTCAGTCACAGAAAACATGGCGACCGTGCAGCTGAAGGTGCGTGCGTGTCACGTGAAACTTTGTAATATATACACGTGACTATCACGTGATAGGCTGCATAGGTGTGTTGCATAATAGTATGAGCACGTCGGCAAAACACACTGCGCCTGCAAGAAACCCCAATTTTTCCCGGTTTTCGTTGGATGTTTGGTCACCGTTGCATCAGAATTTTGTCCGTTGCAGACGATATCTTTTTCAACACAACGTTTGAAAACTAACTACAGACAGGTTGTCAATCTTCAATACAGGAATATGACCTCAAATTAGATTTTCTGTCCAAGTGCTATGTCATATAAGAAGTTGCTTTTTCCAGGTAAATTCGATGGAGAATCTTATAACAGAGTACGTCTCCAAGGTGACAGGACTGGACATCAAAAGCAGCAGGATCCATGAAGTCATGGCCTCACAGGTCAGCAGAAATGCTATGAACTGGTCTCCAAGTTAGTAGAAAGAAAGCATAGTTTACTTCGCCTCCACAAGGCCTTTCTACAGGAGTACGGATTGTAGAATTCGCCAAAAATAAGAGTAAAATTGGCCAGGGGAGGTTGGATCTCGCCAGTCAAACCCCAAGGCGGCCAAACTCCCCTGGCAAATATTCTTCTATACATAGCCGATGTAGTTAGTCTGGTAGAGACTATAGTTTACTCTAGACAATTCATAATGTACAATATTTGCGAATAAAGATATGTCATAAGATATGGCTTCACCTACATTGTCCAACTGTTTATTTTATTATGTGCAGTCCAACCTGATACAAGACCTGGATGATAAGACCAGAGACATGTGGGACTCGGTGGAGACTGCCAGGCAGGACGTCATCAGAGTCAAACGCGACATGCTCACTCTTCAACAGAAGATGAAGTTCCAGGTATGTGCATCTAGGACTTTCCTAGTGGGTACTGGACATGGCAGCAATTCTTGTGGGAAATCGGGCATTCTGGCTTGCGAGGTTCACAGTTTCTGGATGAAGTTATCACCTCCGATCCAAGTACGGAAGTATTGTTTTGGGTGACTGAGCTGCGGGTTTGTGTTTGTCCGGACAGACAAGGTTGACAGAGCGCGAGTGGCCGAAGGAAGATTGACAGGCAGAATGGCAGGTGGTCAAGAGATAAGACTCAGGACATGGGGTTAACCTGAAAGCCCTGAAACCCAACATACTTCCGGGAAGTCTGAAATCTCATTTTTCTCGACTATTTAATCACGTAGATACAGTGTATTCTCATTGCCAAGTGCACGTTACGTTGTTTTCCATTATGTCCTAATGCTTAATTCATCTCATGTCCCCAGACTAGTCTGGTATCGAAGCTGAATGCGTCGCTAGGCAACCAGAACTCTGCCATGTCTCAGCTGTTTAACAACATGGACGTCCAGAACAACCAGATCTCGGACTTCGAGCGGTCGCTGGGAGACCAGAAGGCTTCTATGTCCCAGATACAATCGTCTCTACAGAACTCGGCTACCCTGGTAAGGCAACCTTTCCATATTTACTGAACTGTAAAACTAATACACCTGAAGTGAAAACAGCGAGCGCTACCAGATGTAGAATTCGAAGTGATTGACTATCTCGACTCTGGGGGACAGACTGAATCCAGCCATATCCATAACGACCTAGCCTTACCTAACAGCCATGCAGAAACACAGACACAATTAAAGATATGCACACGGACATATACAATACCTCCATTTTCATGAAAGAAATGATTAACACAATCGATATTCATAGTTCGTAGTTGTAGAGTTCAAGCTTTGTTCTAACATAAGAAAGGAGTAATCTTGAGTTCCTTTCTTCTGTTGTAACAAAATTTGAACTCTACAACTATGGATTCTACCAATGGATATTTGTACTTCCAAATGTAGACTTATACTGTGTTGTTTTCAGCTGTCGCGGCTTGCAGAGAAAGTGGACAGTCTGGAGGCGAACCAGCCCAGGAGAGGGTCGATCTCAGGAGCCGGTCTGATCCCCGTGTCGGCTCAGAGAGAGGTTCGAGACCAACTCAACCCTATCAAACGGTGAGGCACCCAAACATACCAAATGATCATCAAAAGTTGCTCAACATTCTTCTCCCATACAGGATACTCCCAACCCCATAATGGATAGAGTAAAACATGTACTTGGACCTTTTGATACAATGACTTCTTACGACTTTTATTGTTGTAACTTTGGTCTAACAACGTCTTTCGATGAAAAAAAAGACTAGTACTGGAATGTGAACAAAACATCACTGACTGACGAAACGATAATCTCCGAGCAGATTGCAGGGGCAAGGGGAGTCTATACTGGCCCCGCCTGTATCCCTAATCCTGAATGTATCTGCCACGGAGATTAAGGAAATGATTCTACCTTACCTTGAACCACACTCCAACAAGTAACTGTTGTAGAAAATAGCGACATTGCAAAACGAAACCTCTTCCTTGCAGGACGATGTCCAACCACACCCGACAGCTCTTCGAGATGCGGCAGTCGGTTGACGACATCAGGCGGCTGCTCCGTTCCCATAGCGACGAGATGACGCGTCTGAGTAACACGGAGGGCGAGATGAGCGGCAGACTGGCCAAACAGATGACCATGATCCTCAACCTGGAGAGCTCCAGTCAGTCCTACAGCAAGTCTGTGTCAAAACAAAGGTAAATCTTATTAACCCGAAATGTACAGTAGATAATGAGGGAAGGTACGATTTTTGCTTGTTTGTATGAACCATTCTTTATTCATCAAAACAAAAGCTACACATTCAGCTTTTTCCTTTCTCTTCTGAAAAGTATATATCATAAAGATCACAACATTATGAATTCACTATGTCTTCACGGTATCAAAATTTTATGATCTAAGGAAAATGGTCACACGTTTACAGAACTCAATCTTCATAGTGGCAGCAAGCACAGGGAAGGGGCGGAATACAAATGATTTGACAATGGCAATGATACGTTTACAGTACAGAAGTGACAGTGAAAACACTGAACATAAAAGTGCCGTGAAAAAAAACGACTTACAGTATTGCTTTTTTTTCACTGTTGTTCAGAGATTCCATTGACCAACTCAAAGGTCAAGTGAAGAGCCACGACAAGACGTTAGGAAAGCTGCGCCAGTCTTCCGCCACCCAGGACGTGGGCATCCAGAACCTCCAACAGATCGTGAACGGGCACACCATCCAGATGCTGAACACCAGCAGCATGCTGGGGAACCACAGCCGGCAGCTGGACGTGCTGAAGGGCGCCTCGTACAAGCTGGAGCTGGACATCAAGAACCACAGCAGGGTGCTGGGGCAGCTGGAGCTCAGGGATGATAACATGGAGGACAGGATGTCAGACCAGGTCAGATAATCGTTTTAAGTTATATACATTTGTAGGTATGATTTGATTTATACGATGTAGTTATGATTTCACTCAAGCCCTTGTCTCACATACAGGACCTTCTCCTAACCTTGTCCCGAAGAAGGCGAGCCAACCAAGGTCGGATACGCCCCAAACACCAGCTGACCACGAACCAACCATGGCAGAACCTGTTTTTACGTTTTAAAAATTAGGCTGGTGCAGGCAAACAGTTGCCGACCTCGCTCGCCAAACACCAACCAACCATAACCGATCTTGATATAGTTGTGGCTATGGGAAGTGTGGCAGGGGCTTCAACCTCCACTACTGTTGTCTTTCCTGATGTAGGCACGAAACCTAGGCCGGCTGCGGGCGAACTTACAGACCCTACAGCAAGAGGCTTGCACACACTTCACTGTTGTCTTTCATTCTGTAGGCACTAAACCTGGGTGAACTTACAGACGCTACATCGAGAGACTTATACCTGTCTCAGTATCAGTATAGCCGGTATAACTGGCACGTGACATGGCGGCAGCTGGCTATATTACACCAAACGACTTACACACACTTTCATTCTGTAGGCACTAAACCTGGGCCGGCTGCGCTCGAACCTCCAGACCCTACAGCGGGAGACGTACACTTTGCTGTTGTCTTACCGTACATTGAGAGACTTATTTATGATTACACACACTTTGTGGTGTGTGGTGTAGTGGATATAGCGTCCGACTGTCAAGCAAGAAGACCCAGGTTCAATCCCCAGGGTTGGACCCAGACATGTCCGGCAGGCACCCAGACGTTGTGCCCTTGGGAAAGGCACTTAACAAGCATTTCCCCCCTCAGTTAGAGGGATCCTGGGCCCCACTAAAGGGTTTGGGTTGGCGTTAGGAAGAGCATCCAGCCGTAAAAATCTTGCTTCAAAAAAGACTTGTACTTGGTGCAAGCACGTCTAACCCCCGGTTGGGGAAAAATGACGTTAAATTCGGTTTAAAAAAACACTTTGCTGTTTGTCTTTCATCATGTAGGCACTAAACCTGGGCCGGCTGCGATCGAACCTGCAGACCCTCCAGCGGGAGACGTACACGCACTTCGCCGAGTACGAGCAGCTGGCCTCCAGCATCGACAACCTGGACGGAAGTTACGTCACCAAGTCCGAGCTGAGGAAGAAGCTGTTTGAAATCGACAGCGTCACAAAGAATCAGAACAGCAGCATACTTCTCCTGCAGCGGGAAAATAGGGTGAGGAAATAATCCCCAGTTTCAAAAAAAAAAATCTAACTTAAACAGAAACAGAATGGCAAAGTTCTTTTTATCACAGACATTTATTTTTCACTAACTGACGTTGCAATGACTTCTGTCATCTTCATCAGGGCAATACTGACTAGTTTACTGTGCACTGACACGAGATGTTACTTGGTGCATAGTGCACTAAAGGTGCATAGTGCACTAAAGGTGTACAATTGGAAACAGAAAAAAACTAGCTTAAGTGCACTATGAACTATGTAACATCTACTGTCAGTGCACAGTAAACCAGTCAGAATTGCCCTGATGAAGATGACAGACGGTCATCGAAACGTCGGCTAGTGAAAAATAAATGGTTGCGATAAAAAGAGCTTTGCCATTCAGTCGTTTACCAACCTGATGAAATTATTTACGTTAAACAGAAACATTTCGAAAAGAATAAAGACCTACTGTAAGTGGTTTGTGTGTTGTCATGAAAATTCATCTGTAGTAGTAGTTACATGTTTATAGTTAAAAATTTTGTTACAAGACAAAAGAATTCTCGCCTAGAGCTTTCGACCAGTCACTCTGGTCTTCTTCAATAGACTGACCCAGTGAGACTTGTCACGTGGCATCTCAGAAGTGTGACGTCAACACTTTTTTATGTGCTATTCTAACGTGGTGTTCTGTGTTTATTATTGTTTGTTCACAGGAGCAGTTCTCAGTCCTAGATAAACACAGCCTGTTCATACGAGATGTCCGCAATCTTCTGGAGGAAAAGGCCGACGTGTCAAACATCATGGACATAATACAGGTTTGTCTACTATTGTCATGATTGTTTTCGCTCTTAAACCTTGCTTAAGATATTGCAACATTATTTTATTGTACTACACGTGTATCAGTTGTGTACACTATATTAAGTGTATGGACCCCTTTACCTTCCACGTCCAAATTTATCTCCCGTTCAAATTTATGCCCCATCCAAATCTATGCCCCGTCCAGATTTATGTCCCACCCAAATCTATGCCCCATTCAAATTTATGCCCCATCCAAATCTATGCCCCATTCAAATTCATGCACCATCCAAATCTATGCCCCGTTCAAATTTATGTCCCATTCAAATTTATTCCCCGTCCAAATCTATGCCCCATCCAAATTTATGCCCCACCCAAATCTATGCCCCCTTCAAATCTATGCCCCGTCCAAATCTATGTCCCATCCAAATTTATGCCCAAATCTACAAAATGTATGTCCTCTCCAAACTTAGTTTACAATAATTTCTGTCATGAACCTTCAGCGCGAGGCCAGAGGAGACCTGATGCGGCTCCACAACATGACGGAGGCGCACTCGGAGGAGATCCGGGCCCTCCAGGACGCGCGGGACCAGCACAGCGACGGCATCTACAAGGCGCAGACCTCCCTCACGTCTGTTGGGGATGACATCAGGATCCTGCGGGAGGACCTCAGCGCCGTGGAGATCACCATGACCAGCCATACGGACAGCCTAGGCAGACTGGCTACACTAGGTCAGGAACTGCTCTTTGTGATCATGAAAGTTCATCAGTGTTGAACTTCGTAGTTACATGTTTGAAGTTAAAGCGTTTGTTCCAACACAAAGAATTGCTCTGACACAGTGTCACTGGTAGAAAGAAGTGAGAACAATTCTTGGAGTAAAAGTTTTAACTGGTTTTATTGAATAAAGCTTCATCTTTACATCAGTGAGGTGTCTTACGTTATAATAACAATCTTAATTGACACAACATAAGTACAGCAACTGTCAGAACATCTTGCCAACTAAAGGTACAAACAAGTGTTTACAAATGAATTAACCTACGTACAAGTGAATAAAAAACATCTTGCTAACGATTGCAATCCTCCCTCAGCTTCCACTGCTACGGACGGCCGCCAGCAGCTGAACCTAACAGTACTGGAACTGGACCGGAAAACCAGGAAACACAGCGAAACTCTACAGGCCCTCGGCAGGTCAGGATCAACATGGATTCCAACTTTATGATTGCCACTTAGACGTCTGTTTGATATCTGTTCTACTCCACATATTTTCCATTGTAAAAAGCAAATGCATAATGTTTACCTTCACATACGATCTGCTTTGTTGAATCTTACATCCTTCCTACTATAGAATTGCAACATGATGTAACCCAACACCAGTTACCATGGTGACAGACGTCTGGTTCAGGTCATTGACCTTATGTGTTTCCCTCCGTAAACATACTTGTCTAATAGTAACAACTTGTCCAAAATCACAGTCTGCAAATCTTCCTCAACATTCCGTTTTATGATAAATTGTGTGTGTCTTGCATTATTAGATTATCATAGATATATAATAATTACATAAATCGATGGAATGTTGAACTTGCTTTGTCATTTCCGCAGAATCGTGTCCGTTTTAGAGAGCATATCAGATAACCACGAGGCGACCATCCGTGACCAGGACACGGGCCTGACGTCACTGAAAGTGGAGGCTACCCGCACACAGAGGGCTCTACAGAACCTCACCAAGACCGACATACTGCTGGAAAAACGAGTCGGACGACTTAGGGTATGCAATTTCAATAACTACGCTATAATTTTAAAGCTGGGCTTCAGAAAGAGACTGGAGCTATAACATCTTTAACGACTCTTCGTCATGTTTTTATGACTTAGGTATATGAAATAACATAATTGCGATGTGATATGTATACCCTTGGTGAAAATAAGTGGTTTAACTTTCTGACGTTTCAAGTACAAAATGACCAGACAAAAGTTAGACACTTAGAAAAGTTATTTTCCTCAGGACTTACAGCCTAATGGTGAATTGAAGTGCTTAAAATAGGTGGACTGTACTTAAACAGTCAATCTGATGTAAATGTGATCATTTATCATCATATAGTCGGGCGACGTCGACCAATCAGAAGGCTCCATTTCCCATCAGTTATCAGGCCGTAACCTCGAAAGTGGTCGGTTATTAGAGTAACCGACCACTTTTTGGACCGTACTCTACGCTACGCTCACTCGGTGATTTATTTGGTGGTTATCCCACCTGACCAGGGATTATCTCACCATGTACACCTCGGGCGGGACATTAACCCTTTATTAACCAATGCCTGATTCTGTGCTTTCTTCAGACCACGCAGATTGAGCACAATGCTGCCATATCCCGCCTGAGTCTGCAGACATCCACTGTGGAGACGTCCCTGAGTGAACAGTACAACACCATCGCAGACCTCAAACTGGAGGATGTAGAGATCAAGGACTCCGTCGTGCAGGTAAGCCAGGAACTGCAGGTAGATTGACACAATACTATGCATGGCCGTACCCAGGATTTTGTTTGAGGGGGGGGGGGTCTTCCCACTGTTTGAGTTTCCCCCAGAAATATTTTGAAAATTGCACCTTCTCAAATGGCATTTCCTTAGTTAGCAGTTTCTCTAGGGTTCCAACTGGTGATACAAATCAGTCCACTTTTTAAAGAAAAATCTTGGGCCTTTAGATAAAAAGTGGATATGAAACAAAAAGAGTAAACATCTCATGACCAGAGACCAGATAGAATGCTGATGGACATCATACAAGATGATGGACTGTTAAGCTCCATTCATCGGAGGCCATATGCATGTAGTTACCATCTATGTACTAGGCAAATTCTCCTTGTGGCTTCTATAGCAGTATATCAGTTTCAAACGTATCACCCTCAAAATGAATCAGTATTATACCTGTCCATGGTGCTGAATAACATTCTTATCAACTTAACAATTGTCGCTTCACCCTATAGGGTATTGAAGTGTTACTTTTGACTCATCTTTGTGGTCAAACCTTGAATCGGAATTAAGATTTCTTTTTAGAAATAATGGAAGGGGGAATAGAGAGATTGAATTTTAGCCAGCTTTCGTCAAGCGGAAAACACCCACTGCAGCATTCTCAAAGCTATTCTTCTAACACAAACATGTATGTCCATGTGTCTTAGGTTGCTGTAGCGTTGGGTAAAATGAACGACACCGTCATCGAACACTCACGAGACATCCGGGGTCTTCTAGAGACCTCGACGTCCGAGCGTAGCCGCGTGTCGAACTTCGAACGTGTCCTGAGCACCCAGATCGAGGCCATCAGTAGCCTGGGGTCGTCCGTCCAGAACTACACCACTCTGAACGCCTTCCTGTCCAGCCGGCTCAGAATAGGTATGTGGTGTTTGTTTTTTCGCATGACCAGTATATCTTCTTTACACACCAGTTTTGTACGTGTAAGTACAAGCTGCGTAAGACCAGTAAATACAAGCTGCATGAGACTGTAAGGTTTGAACCACTCACACCGGGAAGGACCCCTACTCTTTTCAATAAGTGCAGTGGGTTCTTTAACGTGTGTGGAGTGTGGCTCTCCCCTATCCAAGGGACGTCCCTAACCAAAGCTTAAGGTACTCATTTCCACCTAAGTGAAGTGAGGAAAGTCGTGTAAAACTTCAAGTAACAAGTAAAACTGTAGAAAATGCTGTTTCTTACTCTAAATATTAAATGGCTTTTAAAATGACCTAAATGTTTTATCTTCATTGACCTCAGAGAACCAGCTATACGAACTTGGCAATGGACTCCTGTACGTCAACAACACGCTGTACAACTACGCCCGCCGGCTGCAGGGCATGGAGAACGAGTACTCCAGTAGCCGCCGCAGACTCTCCCAGCACAACGCCGACCTGAAAGAACTCAAATCGTTCGAGACACGAGCAGAGAAGGACATCGAAGACCAACTGAACATGATCTACAGAATAGAAGAGGACCTCGACAGCGTCGACTATGTAGTGAACAACCATGTGAACATCATAGAAGAGTTAGAGTCGACTACAGGGAATCACTCCAGCCTGTTGTTAGGTCTGTATCTGTTTGTTTGTTTGTCTGTTTGTTTGTTTGTTTGTTTGTTTGTTTGCGACTGTATCGGTATAGCCGGTATAACTGCCCTTTGGCGTAACACACCAGCTTCGCTGGCATGCGGTGCGGCAGCAGCAAGCTATATCACTGTCACCGAACGACTTGTGACACTCAGTCTTTGCACATTTAATTGCAGAAGTTGTTTAAATCTTTCTGGTGATGTGGATGCCCCAACTCACTGTGTACTTAGTGGCAACAAGTTCCACTCTACTTTAGTGCAAGTTTTTAAACACCTCAATTCTTGGTTGATAACTCTGACATTTGAAGACAACAACTGGATGTTTCTTGTTCTATCCTGGGCTGGTATCAGGTCTAGAAAACAAAGCACGCTACATATCTGCTGACATCATCAGCCTGGACAGCTCGCTGAAGAAGCAGGGTGACGCCATCTCTCGTCTGACCAACACCACGACCCTGCAGGCCGACAACCTGGCGCAGGCGACCGAGACATCACGAAAACTCAGGCTGTCCATCAGGAACAACACGGAGGCGATCGGCGGAGTTGGGCGACGAGTTCAACAGGTTAGAGTTGTTCTTGCATAAAGTTTGCACTTAACAAGTGATGTACATTGTACTAGCAAAAAAAGCATGCATGCATGCATGCATGGGATAAAACTGTGCAAGAGGCGTGAAAACTGATGATCTAGGAAATGCATGTGGCCATGTGTGCCGGGTCAGTCAATTGAAGAAGACCAGAGTGACTGGTCTAGGTGAGAACAACTCTTTGTGTTGAAACAAAATTTCAAAATTTAAACAAATAATACATTCTTTTTTTTTAATAAAAACCTTTACATTATAAATGGCTGGATTCATATGTTAATGATATTTCTACTCTTGCAGGTTACCCAGCTCGTCAAGAGCAACACGTTGAAAATATCGTCCTTGGAGCAGAAGGACTCCCAGTTCGAGAGTGACATCTCCGGGCTGGACCTGCTCCTGTCTCAGGGACAGCGGCAAACTGATGAGCTGGAGGTCAGTACGTAAGGGCTGGGTCCCGTACGTTGTACATGTACGATTGCCTTGCGACATTCTTGGGTTAGTTGGGCAGCTGTCTTGGTGCCTGCCAAAAGGACTGCCTTCGATCCTAAGTGGTGGTTTGTTCTGTCTACATATATCCTTCGACACCAGCCTACAACGAGTGTGATCGCACCATTACCTACAATGTTGTTAATGGCCCTTGTCAACATCAATGAAAATATAGGGAGAATGTTAGTTGAATGTGATTCTTTCATTTCTTTACAAAGTCAGGTGATGTCGTTGCTTATTCTAGTAAGTTTTAGTTTAACTTTATCAGATATCATTTTAGATTTTTTAACAAATTTGATGGCGTAAATAAAATGTACAAAGTTAAAGAAATACTGATAATATATAACTTATATAATGATTATAATAATTGTGATATTACCCCACTAAATGATTTTGTTATTCAAACATCTGTCCAGGAGAGAGTGAGGGAGCTGACTGTTGATGACAGTTTCCTGCGGACGCGGCAGAACAGGTTTGCTGGTGAGATGTTCTCCCTCAACAACACACTGCTGCGGCTGCGCAAGGACCATCGGGAGCTGGAGGACATCGTCTCGCGCCTGCGCACCGTCTCCACTGTCCGACACGTCATCATGGAGGAGCAGTTCCGCAACATCACCGACAGGTGGCGCTGCTTTCATACCTCTTAGTTCTAAGTCCTCCCCGCAACCATTGGCATGGTCGCTTATGGCGGCACCCGTCTCCATTTCTGTAGCCTTCGGGCACAGTTATGGAATCACTACAGCAGGGGGCTAGTCCACTGGTAGTGGTGTGTGTTAATCTATACTCTTCTCAAACGCTGAGTGCTAAGCCGAGAAAGCAGTATATTATCAAAGTATTTGATATGACTCAGACGGGGATCGAACTCATGTCCTACCGAATGCAAGGCAAGCACTCTAACCGCTTGGTAATTGCTCAGATCATAAAAATTATGCTTTTTAAGCTTTACATAAAATGCATAAACTTAAGAATACACTGCATAGCTGAAAATCTACCTTATTGAAGCATTTATGACACATTAAGTATTGACAGATATTGTAGCGCTGTTGTTTTGTGAATATGAATAATGCAATATGAGTAATCAACTGGTAACTTTGTTGTTGCTTACTTGTTCTGTGAATATCTTTAGGACTGCCGTTAACCGTCAGATGATCGGAGGACTAAACTATTCCATTGGGGAGCTGGACGCCACCCTGGAGAATCAAGGCAACTTTATCGACCAGCTGAAATCGGAGCTCTCTGCCCACGACCGCCGCTTGAACACCAACGACAGACGGATCATCATCCAGGGCAGCTCCATAGAGAAGCTGCAGTCCAGAGCCTCCGATCTGGGGAAGTCTTTCACCACGGCGGGACAGGCAATAACGGACCTGAGAACTGATGTGGAGGGGACCTTCAACAACCTCAACATTAGGTAATGTCTCTCTCTATCAGGCTTATCGTCTGATGTTTCCCAAAACCGAGGGTTAGACATGCTTGCACACTGATACTGGGGCTTGATGATAGTTCAACATTTGCCTCAGTCTGTCCTGTGGTTCGTGGGCACAGCAAATGTTAATACCCCTGCGGGTTAGAGTCGAAGCAACTTCACCGGCCAGCCACGCAGTGTCCCAACATGCAATCCGTTTGTTTGATTGAGGCTTTATTTCAACTCGATCTGTAACTGTGTTACATGCTCTAATCGGCCGCTATTTCAGCCGCTTTTCATAGAGGTCGAGCGTGGAGGAGTGTCAAGGGGACATAACATAAATACTACTTGCTCACAAATGAAAACACAAAGTAATAATTGTTGTACACAAGGTAACTCACACAAAGTAAAAAATAAACAAATGGCAATAACTGATAAATAACTCATACGTCATTGTGTCCAAAGTCGTTCAGTCAAAGTCAGTTACGATGCTAACTGTGGAAGAGCGTTCCATACAAGCGAACCAGGCTAGGGATCTCCGGTATATTTCTGTCAATGGCATCGGTACCACAAGAAGATCAGTCGCACATCCACATCCGTGATGTGGATGCTCTCCATGATTTGGATGTCTTGCAATCATTTTATCAAGTACGTGCTGTGTACATTGTGTGTACATCTTTGTACATGTTACATAACGACATACGTGGTACAGTGTCCATATAGTATTACCATGTTGTTGGGATATGTACATGTATGATTTAGTTTCTAATTCTAGAGGAATTTGCGTTTTTACGGAATTACAGGACACAGACAGAGTTCAAGCGGCGTGACTCAGCAATAGGAAACCTGACGCAGGACATCCGTAACCACACCACCGAGCTGAGGAACCTGCAGGAGGTGGACAGACAACTGCGGCAGGAGGACGGGCGTCTCAGGGACCTGCTGGGAGAGTACCTCACGGTCATCAACAGGTAGATAAACACAACATCCTATCTTTACAGCAAATATAAAAGATAACCTACTTTATGTAACCTGGATGCCATCTATAGCTTCTACCAGGCTTCTGGAAGAGTAGACGGGAGCGGTAAATTGTTCTCGGACCTAGCCTAACCTTAGCAACTCCCCTGGCATATCATCTGTCTATTTGGCCAGTTTCTACTCTTTCCAGCCGCTTCCCGAAGCCTGGTAGAGGCAAGGTGCAATTCTCGCTAGTCCTCTCCTTTTTTTTTGGTAGCAAGCAAAACAAGAGAGCCAGCAGTAACTACGGAGGATGGCGCCAAGGCAAACTTGAATATGGAATCACTTAAAAACAAGTTTATCACACGTTTGAGTATACATTGTAGTTGATAAAACTTGACATTCGTACAGTGTAAAATACATTGTACAAACTTCGGCAGTATATGACGTTTTTCAGTGTAACTTGATGGATGTCTTGAGTTCTTTGTACACAGTAGTCCGTCATGAGGCTTCGAAAATTTCCCTTTTCAGCTTTCAATTTTCAATTGCCCAATCTCATGGCAGCTTCCAAAGTTTGATTCGTTGCGCTTATTTCCCAGGCACGAGACGGGCCTGAGCGAGCAGAGTAACCGCATCTCGTACCTGCGGACCCTGATCCGGACTCAGCAGGCTCTGACCGGTAACCACACCCAGGCTCTCACCAGGCTCAAGATCCGAGACAGGATACTGGAGAACGCTATCGACGAGATCAAGCTGGTGTTCCTGCCTAATGACGCTAATGGATTAGGTCAGGCTCTTATTATACATAATAATTTTTAATCTTCAGTGTCATCAACTATTGGGTCCCGCCATTTTTTTTGGGGGGGGGGTCTTCCTCTAGGACTGGGGTTTTCAGAGACCTGGTGGTAGGCCCCATATACAAATGGGTCTGGGGGTCTTCTCTGATCGTGGTCAAACCACCTCAGCCTTCTTTTACGGATATTATCAACAAATATTGTATTCTCTACTCCCAGCATAGCTCGAATTTCCTCATTTCTCTAATGTGGTTCCATCCTACAGGTAACAACCTCCTGAGTTCGGCCAGTGACCTGCGCAACCCCTTCACACAGATCACCCGACTGGAGGACAAGCTGGACACCATCTCCACGTCTGTCACACAACAATCTCGTGACATCACACAGCTAGAGGAGGCTAGCGCTCTGGTAGGACAATCTTCTTCTTCTTTCATTTTGAGGCAGCCGCCTTCAACTAGCTGAAGATTCTGCTGCCTTTCTGTGACTTATACGAGATGGGGTTCACAGGCCTCCATCCAGGAAAGTAGTGTGAAGTGCCTTTCCCAGGGGCACAAGATCGAACATGGCAAGGTTCGAACCCGGGACCTCTTGCTTCTGAGGGCCACATGACCCTACACAATGGTCATGTTCCTACATCCACAGTTAACTGAACTATTAGACCTCCTTTGTTTTGCAAGCACCACACTCTTGAGCACCAATATAATTGCTTATCCACAAGAAGACGTTGAGAGGCTAGATTTGTGACAACAGTCTCGCGATATTACATAACTAGAAGAGGCTAGCGCTCTGGTAGGATGATGGTCAAGTTTCTATATTCACAGTAATATTAGACCTCCTTTAGTTTGTTTTGCAAACACCACACTCCTCTGAAAGCAAAGTGTCATAGGAGTGCCTATTCGTAAAAAGACATCGAGAGGAGAATCATGTAGAGCAATGACGATTTTGATGACGCCCCAGAGGCGGAGGCATTGGCGTAGTATTGTGATCAAATTGGAAATATCTTTAAGAATTGGATTTACAGAAAAAACTGTTCAATGAAATCTTCCAACACCAGCACGTTATACGAAAGCTACAAAAATGTACCAGTTAGTCTTTCATATTGCTAAAATATTTACTAGTTAAATCTAATGTGCATGGGCTTCTTTTCCCTCTCAGGTTAAGGACGACCTGTATGAACACGTGGCCCAGTACCAGAAGTCGGACCGCCGTCTGTCAACCGCCGTCAGCAGGCTGGAGGAGCATGTCGGGAACGTCCGCAACGTCACCAGGGAACAGGACACCAAGCTGTACCAACTCGAGGTAGATTGATGAGTCTGAAACTACATCATAAACTATATCAGGCTGTAACATCAAGAGCTACGCTTAACATAAAAAAACATCGCTACGCTCACTCGGTGGTTTATTCCAGGTCACTCGGTGGTTATCACATCTGACCAGGGATTATGTCACTATATACACCTCGGAGGCATTAACCCTTAATAAGCAGCTGTTGTTGCTTCTGTGTCACACCATTAATAAGACGTAAGATTTTTCAATGCAATTAGAAAATAAATCTGGTAATCATTGAAAAAGGCAGTGGAGAGGCGATAAATCAAATGAAACTTTGTAGACACATCAACAAGCAATGTGAGAAAGGCGTCATCATCGGCCTCTTTCCATCTTAGTAGACGATCGTCTTGGTCCAGGAGGACTCGGCACCTTCTTTGTTGACTGAACAAGCCTATCCTTGATTGGCAGGCTCTGCCACATGTTGTACAGGTGAATGTGGTGTCATAAAATATTGATGTTATCCTTAAGCTTTCTTGTTCACTCGTTAGAGTTTAGGCGAGATGTTGGAGAGTGTACTCAACGACAACATCAACACGGTCTCGGACATCCAGACCCGCATCAGTAACATCGGGGACGACATCAGGGAACAGAACGTCACACTGCAGGACTTCCAGTACAAGATGGGCCTGTTGGACAAAAAGGTCAGTAGTTTTAACAGTATGTTTGCAGTATCATTCGTCCTGTTATCAATTTGTTGTCACCTACTAGGACGGTCACCATAATAATAATAATAATAATAATAAGATTCTTGAGTAAGACTCATTCATGAAACATTGACATTTGTGTCTCTCTCTCTCTCTCTCTCTCTCTCTCTCTCTCTCTCTGTGTGTGTGTGTGTGTGTGTGTGTGTGTGTGTGTGTGTGCGTGTGCGAGTTTGTGTGGGTGGGTGTTTGTGTGTACGAGTCTGTGTCTGTATAATCCAACTTCACATTGATTTTGACGTTAAGCAACAGAAATAAGATTAATGTTAAGGTTATTCAGTGCTGATTTGCTAGCTGATGATTAAGATCAACGTCCACTATGTACTGTCTCTGATGCTCATGTTTTTACCTTCCGTACAGGACATAGATTTGAACAGACTGATCAGCGTGTTACAAGTCCAGCACAGGAAGCAGGAGAGCACGCTGGTGGAGCACACCGCCAGTCTGTCCGGCCTCGCCCGCCGCGCCAGGAACCACGAGAACTCCATCCGGTCTGTGGAGGAGCTCAACCAGTACTTCAAACAGGTGATATTTGAATTACCAAATATTATCGACTGAACATCTTAAAATTTTGTCAAGAAATGAGCAATCCAGTGCTACTTTGTGCAGATAGAACACGACTCAGAGCAGTTGATCATATGTTACAGAAAGTTTATGCCCCCCCCCCCCCCGCATAAGGTCATCATTTACTATATTGTAGGTCTCTGTACTCCAACAAGGTGAAACAATGCTGGTATGTTATAATGTAATTCAATGACGAATCTTATGACCATGTGATAACCACGTGACAATCACGTGCTTGTCACGCAGAAATCGGACCAACACACTGAGCAAATAGACGAGCTAAAGGTGGAGGTCGGCACGCTGAGTGGCAAGGTCGATCGTACCGAGAAGACCCTGCTCGGCAAGAGTGCAGAACTGGCAGTGTTACTCAAGGAAAATGTGGAGGCAACTTTGGAGGCAAGTTGGTTGCTTCATAATGTATAATTTTATCTTTTTTTTTCTTTTTTTTCTTTGAATTCCCACGATCATGATAATGATCACTCTAGCATACTCATTAACACCTGAGCGAAGTGAGGAAAGTCGTGAAAAGTGCCTTTCCCAAGGGCACAATGTTTGGTGACATGGCAGGGTTCGAACCCAGGACCTCTTGGTTCTGAGCCAAATGTTCTGCTGTTACGCCACACTACCCCACATTGCGGTTTTTGTTTTCAAAGTGTGGTGTCTTTCTCCTTGTTTCTAGCTCTCACTGATCCCTCATACTTTTTGTGTAGACCTACGCGTCGGAGATTACGGACTGGGTTTCCAGACAGGGTCAGTTGGAGCTTCAGGTCGCCGAGCAAAACGACACCATCCTCAGCCTGGAGGCTCGGACCAGCCGACTGCAGGCCAACTCCAGAGACCATTCTAAGGACCTGCAGAAGCTCGTACCTCTCTCAGGTGTGTTTTTGTGTGTTCAGAATTTAAGTGGTAGCAAAGGGCTCAAAGAAACACAAAAGTAAACAAGAGTAAGCCTACAAAACTTCACATACAGCAAGACACATTGTTTGGTACACTGTACACGACGAATGGTTCGAACAGCTACTAGTATTACCCAATATTCTTTAGCCTGTATAGTTTTCTGATTACAACTGGGATCTGAACGTCTGCCTAGCTTGGGCCTGCTATGACTTGTACTGAAAATAGTTTTCAGCTGTAAAAACTGTCAAAATGTAAGATCAGACACCCTTTTATACCCTGGTGAATGAGTCACTGAATATAACCTAGCCTTGTTTTTGGTCGTTTTCCTAACAGATGATCTACGCAAGGACATGAACCGAGCACGTATAGACCTAATCGACTTGGAAAGAAGCGGGAAGAAGGCGATGTCGCGAGTGGAGAGACATGCTGAGGAGATCTCCAACCTGCAGGACAAGACAGATCAGCAAGGGGGCATGATTAACGACCAGGCGACGAACATCAATACCCTTACCCTTGGTGAGTTCAAGTCAAAATCATAGTACAAAGTTAGAGGGTTCCTGGGCCCTACTAGGGTTTGCGTTGGCGTTAGGAAGGGGCATCCAGCCGTAAAAAAATCTTGATTCAAAAAAGACTTGCTCTTGATGCAAGCACGTCTAACCCCCAGTTAAGGGGAAATGACCTTAAGATTGGATAAGAAGAAGAAGACATTCTAGTCTTCTGTCGAAGTAAAACAGAACATGAGACCACAGTGCATTTCGCTCACAGTCTGAAACTTCTGTGCCTGTATTCCTCCAGTTTGGTCATTATTGTTTCAAAGGGGTGCATTTGTATACGTCTTTTCTTTTTTTTTTGTAGAACAAAGAAACTTCCGCAGTGCGATGAACAACAGGACAGCAGACATCTTGGATTTGCGGAGACAGATTCAACTGCTTGAGGCAGGGGACGAGGGTCTGAGAGGAGGGCTACAGCAGGTGGGGGATACAGTCAAACGTATCCAAGATGACCACAAGACAAGACAGATAACAAGAAATCCACATTAATAGACTGCCCACATTGATCCATTTTGCATTGTGCAAAGGCTGTCTACTGCCAGGACTTTTTTATTCAGTTTGGATGCAAAAGCATTTTGACGAACATAATTTTATGCACAATCAGGACATCAATTTTTGTAAAGTTACGCCAATGAACAGTTACATACTTTAAGTTGGAGCACGGGTAAAATGATCATTATACTACTAGATAAAAGTTGTGTCATGACAATATGTAGGATTATGAAAAACCACCCTTCATACATTCTGTACTCACTGTCAGTTTGCAATTAGTCCTCGGGCATAAGCTGCAATAAAGAACTATATATAATCTATATATAAACGTCTAAATCTCTGTTCGTCAGGTCGCTTTTAACCTGAACCAGGGCATGCAGGCGGCCCAGCGCGCCACCCAGCGCCTGGAGGCGTCCATGTACAACCAGACCAACACGGTGTACAGCATCCGGACCATGACCAACAGTATCCGGAACGAACTGGCTCGCAAGGCCCGGCAAGAGACGCGGGGAGAACGACAGCTGGACCTGAAGATGGGCCTGTTCCAGCGTACACTAGCGGAGAATACGGTTAGACTTAGTCTGTGAATTAGTCTTAGATTTATAGTGTCCAGAGTATATGGTAAGAGTTTGTGTTAGGTAGGGTTAACGTTGCACTCCACCCCCTTCCAGTAATGGTCTATGCTAGGCCATTTTAGCCTTGGTGCCATCCTTTTTACTGGGGTCGGGGCTCCCATACTTGTTCCGAACTTCTAAGACCATTGGACCCGTGTTTAAACCTTTGCACCCAACAGACTAGTTATGTCTTATATGTGCTTCAGGAAGAGAGAAGAAACAGTGATTAACAGTAGATGAACAATTATAGTAAGTGTACGATGTACATAGACTATTAGCATTTATCATTACCATGACATACATTGTACATGTATAGAATATCAGTGTTCTATGATCAGAGGAATACAGAGATTTTGTAAGTAAGATCATGGCAAGGTCCGTGAAGTTTAGCAGAAACTTTCTGTCCTGTTTTTTCCGACTGTGATAAGTAACAAAACTGAGTGTTTTCTTGCCCACAGGACTCTATCCGTGAGCAGCGTGTGAAGAGTGACGACCAGGAGAGACATATCCTCCGTCAGTCGGACGTGCTACAGAAGCTGCAGGGCTCCACCTCCCAGTTCCAGTCCAAGATCGGCAACCAGAGCGTCTGGCTCCAGAAGATCCAGAGCAAGACGGACCAGCTCAGCAGCACGTTCGAGAACCTCCGGAAGCAGTTTAACGGGGTGGATCTGAAGGCCGAGCGTGTGCAGCAGGGCCTCAACAATCAGGTAAGTGTCAAGTTCACTGTCAACATATAATTCTAATGTGACGCTTGGTTGCTTGTGTCGAGTCCTGATTTCTCAACTGGTCTCGATCATGATGGCTGCCCATATGCCTCTGTCCCTCATTGCTTGTTTTAGGTCTTGAGTATGTCGATGTAGGTTCTTCTTCTTCGTTACTGCCCAGCCCTACAGTGTATGATTATTGGCAGCCGTTACGCATTGTTAGTAACAATTGTGACCCGGTACATAAGTCATAAAAAACAAAGGAAAAAACAAGGATAACTGAGAAAGGAACATAAGACAACTGATTTTGTGTGTGCTAAAGACGGGACATGTGCATTACTTGTAGTGCGTTAGTAATATTTACATATATACAAGACATGATGGGGTGGCTCAATGCAGCAGGGTCCTCGCCAGTTCAGATTTGAACCGGGCGAGAGACCCCGCCTCCACCGCACCAGGCTCAAGTTCGTTCCATTCCCTGATGGTGCGGGGGAAGAACGAGAGCCTGTAAAAGGTTTCTACTGGTTTCTGCTGGTCTTCCTGGCTTCCTCTTCTCATGCTTGGGAGTCCAGAGCACCAAGTCGGAAACAGTTTCTTCCTTGCACTAAGACACTACTAGCCTTTAGCCAACCTTTTTCTTAGCTTCAGTGCACAGGGCGGGAAGTGACTACTGCAACATACATGTACTAAAGCTAAAAGTCTGGCATCCAGGCAATGGCATTACATGCATGAAAACCATGTGGCGGTGTGTACAATCATGTATCTACATTTAATATTCACTGCAATCTGACTTATTGGCCAGTGTTAAACAACATTGTTTGAAACCTCTACCCTTCGGATTTTCAGACTGTAGCCCTTCAGCAGTTTGAGTTCCGCTTGAGTGACATCGAGAGCAGCTCCGTGGATGATGGCGGTGTCGCCAATCAGCTGAACGCAAAGTGAGCTACACATTACTTTCATCTTATTTTTTGTACCAAAATTATGTCCCAATCAGGCCCAAATACAGGAGGTTTTATGCATGTACATTTTACATGTTTAGAAGAGATCTTTAGAACCTGCCTCTAGTGCACATAACGTCCATCATAATGGCCTATACCATTGAAAGATCGGTAACTTTTTCAAACACAGATTTCCTTTTTTGTAGTCCACGTACTAGTATATCTATTGCCAACACTTGCCAACACCTTTGCCTATATTTTCTTGATCGTAACGACATTTTGTGTTTAGGATCCTTGCGCTGAAGTCCAGCATCGCGCAGGACCTGCAGGAGATCCAGAGTCAGGTGGAGGAGATCCAGAGCAACGCCGGGGACCTGCGCACTCTGGTCGGCATGCACCAGCGCCTCAAGCTGGAGGTACGGCAGGTCAACCAGCTCTTCACACAGCAACGCGGAACCATCGGGAGGTAAGAAGCTTGTGTTCCAGCACTGATACTTTTTGTATTGAAACATAATAATGACAAGACGCGGTGGCGACACACTCAAGTAACACTTATATTCATGTCGCCACCAGACAATACATAATACAGACGACAGGCAAAGCACAGGATACAATAATACATCGATAAACAAGTGAAACTAATACATATAAGTGCTGACAGGATTGATCAATAAACTATGTTACAAAAAACGATTCGATTCCAACAAAAATACCTGAACATGTTGTAATATTTGAATATTGTACATTGTTGAGAGAAAGGAAGAGCCACTTGAAAGTAAATGTACCAGAATATCATCAGGAAGATCATCCAAGTCAGTAATACAGCCAATCAGTGTTTCAAGTTGCTATAAAGGGTATTTCGTTGTTGAGTGTAGTTGGGGCAGTGTTCACTGATACTTGGTGTGTACTTTTCCTTGAATAAAATGGATCGAGAGTTTGAATTTGACTTGAGCAAGAATTGTTTTTCATGAGCATTTGTTCACGAGCTTTGATTGTATTCAGAACATGCTCAGGCACGTGGATAGACCCGGCCCTGTATCCAAAACCGTGTCTGGGAAGAGTCTATGATTTGTACACGCATACGCGGAGACTATCTAGAACCGTGAACCGTAACTCTAACCCATTCAGGCATTGAACTAGGTAGGTATGGATCTGGATACGGAAAGCTTCAGGGTTCCTTTTACATGATAACTCACTACTGATTTTATATATTTATTATTTCAATGTCTTAGAATAATCCAGAAGAACCAGCAACTGGAGCGACAGATCGAGACCCAGGACGAGTCGATGACGGAGATGGACACCATCCTGTACCGCCTGGAGCAGGACATGGAGCAGCTCAAGCGCGACGCCAGGCGGCGGCCATCACCACCGCAGGCCGAGCAGTCCCGCAGCATCGACACTGAAACAGACACTGAACTAGACTCCAGTCAGGTAAACTAAAGAAATTATTGAGAATTAGAATTAGGAGAAGTGTCCATTAGTTGATTACTTATCTATCAAAGATCATGATTCATGGTTATTTCTGTTACAATGGAAGATAGACGTGATTTGGTGTCATAATGATATATATATATATACAGGACATTTGTACATAATTACACGTCCTTTTTTCCCAACCTGGATAAGTATTAAGATAGACATTTACCATTGCATAATTTGCCCAAATTGAGTAATTGGCCTCTTTTTTTCTCAGGATACATTCATATCATGTTAGACATTTGCCATTGAGTAATTGGCCAAAATCAAGTAATTGGCAGAGAGCATGAAAATTTGCAGAGAGGCCATAGGACTCGGGAGCTATAACAGGTTTGGTAACCAGGCTATAATTTGTCCAACTTACGCTAGTGTGTTCCAATTAAGGAAGGTGTTTACGACTTACAAATGTTGACAGCACGTTTTGGTCTAAACCTTAACTACAGGATCAGCCTCCATCCAGCACCTTGTCACTGGAACAGGTCGTTGACCTGCTAAGAAGAGGTCGTAGGTCAACCGGAGGTGATCCCGATTCTCAGACCACGTCTCTGACAGAATCATGGGAAAAGATGAACGATAGCATCGCAGACCTTCTACAGAATCACCAACAGGACTTGACAGAGGTAAGGCCTGTTGTAAAAATTCATCTGTGTTGGTAGTTACCTGTTTAAGTCAAAAGTTTTATTCTAATACAAGGCCTCACCTAGAGCTTTCGATCAGTCATTTTATGCCGGACACTTTTGACCCATTGTTGAGTCGTCATACTTCAGAGAAGCCACATGACAAGTCTCACTGGGTCAGTCTATTGAAGAAGACTAGAGTGACTGGTCCAAAGCTCTAGGTGAGAACAATTCTTTGTGTTGGAACAAAAGTTTTAACTTGACTCAGTTAAACACCGAAATGGTGTCGGGAGCATTTATTTGGCAGGAGCATAAATTTGGATTCACAACGAGTGAACCAACCCGAAATGATAAAAAATGTGGAAATGTTGTTCAAATATTACAGAGAACTCACTCACTTACTATCCGGTTTATCGTCAGTTGTTCCCCGTCATCCGAGGGTAAGACGTGCTTGCACATGTACACTGGTGCTCAGTGAGGCTTGATGACAGCCCGCTGTTTGCTTCTGTCCTGTGGGTTGATGTTCTGCAGCTTAAGGTGGAGGAAGTCCCACCATTTTGTCCATCCATCTCTTCCTTGGACGCCCACTTGGGATTTGGCCCTCTACATCCATTGTGATAAGATAAAATCCTAACATTTTCTTTGCCATTTCTCCAGGTTGTCGACGCCATGAAACTGTTCAGGACCCAGGCGGAAAGTCTGATGGACAAAGACGAGAAGTTGGAGAGGCTGTACGAGTCTCTGGCTAAGAAGGTGGCGACTCTGGTGGCCGTGCAGAAGAAACGTGAAGGCACCATGGGTAACAGGGCTCTGTCCAGACAGATGTTCAAAATGGAGGCATCTCTGCACGACACTTATGATGTCATAGGGAGGATAGACCAACAGGTAATCACACTGGATTTGACTTCAGTAGGATCCAAAATTTAGCTTGACATTTCAACTATGGTCCTTAACATCTAATACATCTTATTTTTTATTTATTTATTTCTTTCATTTTAACACACCTGGGTAGCCCAACTCAGCTTTGACAAGTTGATTTTCAGTGGGGCCCAGTTTACAGAAATAATAAAACATATTATATTAAGTTAATACTTAAACAGAAATAACAGAAGAATTGTGGTGGTGAAAATTGTAGTTATGCAAGAAGGTGGATGAGAGATATGTTGGTGCTAGCCCGTTTATGCACTTAAAAACCATAACACATGAATACAACATAACAACTGCCACACAATAACACAGAGTAATAACACAGACCTTCCAACTTGAAATACTTGGTATACATTAATATTGATACATGAGATGGCGTATTCAACTTTAATAAAGAGTAAGAAATCAGAAATGGTTCTACTCTATAAATTTATGAATTGGTGTCAGTAAACAATGTTGACATTGTAAATGTAAACTTTTTATTGCTTCATGAAATTTGCCAAGAGTATACATATTGCCATTAGGCCACAGGATTGCCAAGACAAAGTCAAATCAGGCCAATATGAAGTGAAGTGTTTGACACTTTATGAATTATGATTACCTTTCTTCTGATTTTCCAAGGTCACTGACATCGACAACGCTATCCGCCTGCACCACGGTCAGCTGGCGGGATACAAGCACCGAGTGGGCCGCCTGGAAACCGTCCTGTACAACTGCACAGACGTCTTCGCACAGTGCTTCCCTAACCCGGTAAGACCCTCCATGTTGCTACCTATGCCCTGTACTACAACCAACATGCATAGAAGGTTAACTTTTGACACGCCAACAGTGTCATCTGACACATTGAAGCACAAAACTTGAAGAATTCCATAAAATATTATAATATACTAGTATTATTAGGTAATTTCCGGAGCAGCCTTCATAACCCCTGATTTGCATATTAATTCACATATCAGGGATTGTATATTATTTGCATATAATTGAAGTCAAGCTTGCCGGTTAATAATTCTGACTTAGCAATTATGTTGCTTCATCAGTGTGCGTTAATTCATCGACAAGCCCGCCTCTGCGCAACACCCACCCAATACTTGGCGATGTCCTTGGTGCTGAAACTGTGGTCAATCAGGTTCACAATGTATTGATAAAAAGAGCAACATGGAATGTTACATTTAGATGAAGTCCAGTGCAGAGTGACATACCTTTGTAGTTGACTATGGGGGAACCTGTGTAACTTCAGGTGCACCAATCTCCATACAGGATGACATGCCGAAACACCAACTGCCCCTGAAGATGCCAGTCATGGATGACCAGGCGGTCAGCAGAGAAGTCAGGGTCATCAACACTGACCAGCCGGCTGAGGAGACGCCCCGTCAGCAGACACACAGAAACAACACCATACAGACACGATACGACCCGGATCAGAATGGTAAGTTTGATGAATAATAGAATCTAACATGTTGTTAGCTGGGTTAACATGTTGTCAGTCTTGGATGTTCTCTGATTCTCCAACTCTCTCTTTTTTTTAACCGAATTTAACGTCATTTTTCCCCGACCGGGGGTTAGACGTGCTTGCACCAGGTACAAGTATTTTTAAAACAAGATTTTTACGGCTGGATGCTCTTCCTAACGCCAACCCAAACCCTAGTAGGGCCCAGGAACCCTCTAACTGAGGGGGGAAATGCGTGTTAAGTGCCTTTCCGAAGAGCACAACGTCTGGGTGCATCTCCGGACATGACTGGGGCCAACCCTGGGGATTGAACCTGGTCTTCTTGCTTGACAGTCGGACGCTCTATCCACTACACCACACAGACGCCACATAACACAGACGCCACATTCTTTAGAATAATGAATACAATATAGAATATTCGTAAAACATATGTAGATATATGTTTTATCAACTTATAAACGGAAAAAGACATATTTAATAGGCATAGACAATTCAAACTTCTGGATAAAACACGCAGATTACTTCTGGATGTTTCGAGTGACATCCATCACTCTTCTTCATGGTCACTAAAATGAATTGGCAGAACTCAACACTGAATTTACCTCAACAGTATACACCCCCATGAAACTCCTTCCTCTTCGCCCCCGCCGTTCTGCTTCGCCCCCGCCCCGTTCTGCTTCGCCCCCGCAAAAAATCTGCTTCGCCCCCGTCGTTCCTCTACGCCCCCGGCGCAATTCTGCTTTGCCCCCGTCCTTCTGCTTAGCCCCCAATGGCGGCACAGCTCACAGTCGACACGAAAATCGTCTGCAAAATAACAATAAAGGCTGTGCCGCCAAATTTAAAGTAGCCCATGCTCCGGCAAACATTCTGGACCACCTTTCTGCCAAGTGGCGTTGCACAAATCCTTCCCATTCAAAAGTTTACCCCTACCTCACGGCCCGTCAGTGGTCTCGTCTAGTTTTTACACAGCATTCTAAATCCATGTCACCTCACACAGCAAGGTATTGCCTTATAAATTCTACTTAGTATTTGCAGCACAATTTTTAACTTAACGCTATTACTGATAGCTGTAATTTTTTCACTATTGTCTACTTGTATCAAAAGGAACACGATTAGTTACTGTTCAATTGGCTGATACAAAATCCCGCCATTATCCAAGTTGGCTTTAATTAGTACCCACCTTCCATGGCGATCAGCCTAGCGTCTGTCCAGCCGTGAGTGAAATTTCCCGCCAGTACTTATAAACGTAAGAACCACTGACGGGCCGTGAGGTAGGGGTAAACTTTTGAATGGGAAGGATTTGTGCAACGCCACTTGGCAGAAAGGTGGTCCAGAATGTTTGCCGGAGCATGGGCTACATTAAATTTGGCGGCACAGCCTTTATTGTTATTTTGCAGACGATTTTCGTGTCGACTGTGAGCTGTGCCGCCATTGGGGGCTAAGCAGAAGGACGGGGGCAAAGCAGAATTGCGCCGGGGGCGTAGAGGAACGACGGGGGCGAAGCAGATTTTTTTGCGGGGGCGAAGCAGAACGGGGCGGGGGCGAAGCAGAACGGCGGGGGCGAAGAGGAAGGAGTTTCATGGGGGTGGTATAGTTTACCTGGATGTCTAACCTTCATCAATGACATTATGTACATATGAAAAACTGTTCTCCAACTCAAAATTTGACTCACCAGAAATTTTCGACTGAATCACTCAGTCTTCCTCAGCTATCTGACCCAAATGCTGTTGTCTGAAGTTGATATTACCCCCGTCCCGGTTGAGCGATGGTTGAAGTGCCCTGATGTATATGGCCTCTTATATGGCCCCTTTTTTGCCTCTCTTCTGGTGAGTCAATTTTTGAGTTGGAGAACAGTTTAAGTTTTTCATAATGTAATTTACCAACTCAGATGAACTTTCATGCTGACATAATGTACAGTATGATTTGTGTGCTGGTTCGTTTATACATGTGCCTTGCTTCAGGTGGTTGTCTTCCCGGTGAGTTCCCTTGCGCCAATGGAGGCTGTATCGACCTGTGGTGGCGCTGTGACCACGATAACGACTGTCTGGACGGAAGTGACGAAATAGACTGCGTGTATCGTAAGTTCCTTGTGTTCCTTGTGGAACTAGAAAGGTAACATTTGCAAAGCAAAATTAATGTATACACGTAATGTTTACCTTCGCATATGGTCTGCTCTGTCAATTTTTACTCAAACACATTCATATATGGTGACAGAAGTCAAAATCCCTTCTGCTATAAAATTGCAACATGATGTAACCCTACACTATTTACAATGGTGACAGACGTCTGATTCTGGCAATTGAACTTATTTATTTGAAGAAGAAGAGGAAGAAGAAACAGAGCAAAAACATAATGAAGTGGAATGATCCTTTAAAACCATTTTTATTTATTTTGTATAGCTGAGTGTCAGGCAGACCAATTCAGATGTGCAGGGAGCGGTCGCTGCATCTCCGCCAGGTGGCGCTGTGATGGCGAGAGGGACTGTCGGGATGCCAGTGATGAAACAGGCTGTAACGAGTATCTGTCAGCAGGTAACTTGTACATTGCACCAGATCTGCACTTAGTGGGCATGCTGTTTCATTCCATTTCGTGTAAAAACTGAAAGGAGCATCTTGTTAGTCTGGGTACCATCCGGATTTTTTCGAACGTAGAGAAACAAAATCCGGATGGTACCCAGGCTAGCATCTTGTAAGAACGGTGATGAAAATCCACATTAGGGCCAATCAACTAACCGCCCCTGAACCAGGACGGGGGGCGTTACAAACTATGTGTATTCAAATCTCCACATGTTCAAAACCCTGGATGGGTCTATACAACTGGTGAAAATTAAGCTTTCTATAATGTTGGAATGATATTTTAGAACTTCAACTTTCCTTATTTTTTGTAGCATACGTTTCTTGTATAGCTTAATGTCAGGTAGTTCAGGTGCACATGGATTTGGAATTTCAAGATAAAAGTTAATGAGTTTGCGATAATAATGACATTCGTGTTCTTTGAATCCTCAGAGAACTTGACCCGGATTGACCCCGACAGTTTCAGCCTGGGTAACAAGGTCTCAGCCGAGGATGTGGATGTAGACACCAGCCCTGCTCAGACAGCCGTTTTCGAGTCTCACTCAGCCAAGGACATCAGGCCAATGAAAGGTCGGTGACGTAATAAAATCAGTAGCTACTTGCAACGTGTTTGGTTTTGGTTTCAAATTGCTTTTTTGACTGCATTATATGTGTGTAGCAAATGTGTGATACGGAAATATTGTTTTCGGTGCCTGATCATCAATCAATCAATCAATCAATACCCTTTATTTATACTGGAAATGCCCTGTCGGCCTTAGCCGCTCTTCCCAGAGGTCCAGTTGAGGGGGGGGGGGTCACGGGAACACAATAAATAAGTAAATAATGTGCTATGGGTTTTTGTTAGCCTGACCAAACCGCTCTCCTGGCGGCCAAGAGCTTGTGTAACACAGGCGATGTTTGTGCTTGTCCAAAGGAGGTTGACAGCACATGGGAGGAAGATTGACATGCAGAATGACAGGTAGCGGAACTTGGACCAAAGCCAACAAGGCTAGCAAAGCAGGCTATGAAATCTCTGATTTCTTGTTCTACCTTTGATGATAGTAATGCAAACTCTGGTACACTGTTACTGAACAGATGTTGATTATTTTTTCTTACAACAGCGAAAACAGTTCACAGTGAGGAAGACAGCAACACTGATGACGTCATCCGTGATAACCAGGAAGGCGGAAAGTTGCCGGACCAAACTGAGCATGCGCGAGTTGACCCCGAAGACCAACAACTCCCATTCGTTGAGCTCACAGTCGGTGGCTAGTTATACAACATCAAATTTGATTGGATGAAAATACGGTACAGAAATCTACAATCTACAATACATTGTCAGCGTATATTTTTGTGTGACGGTTACCAAATGTATGTTAAACTTGACTTACTTACTTGACTTATGTCGAGTCCTGGTGTCCCTGGCCTCGAGACAAAATGGCTGACCAACACTCCCTATCTTCCATCACTTGACCCAAGTAGTTAAACTATGTAACATATTTTTGTCAAAATTTCATTCACAGCAAATATTCTTCAGGGAAAAGAACATGGCAAAGATGTGACAAACATGAGAATAGGAATTAATATCAATACAAGTACCTCTACAAATCTTAGACAGTACATTTTTCTATTATCAGAGGATGAGTTTTCTACCATTTTTGTTTTTCATAGTTTGATACCGCTGGATTAGGCGATGCATTTGACGCTGGCTCTTTGGCCAAAAAGACTTGGAGAAAATGGTAAAAAAAAATGCTGTTAGCAGAATGGATCTGTGTTGCTATTGGTCCTTATGCTTTTATTCCTTATAGAGAGACATTATTTCTGGCTGAGTTAGACATGCGTATGTTGTGGGTATACTTACTGTTTTATCTATGTGTGTTAGAGGTTCTGGCAATACGTTGATGTATATTTTACTCATCAAAACGCCATTATGTTATCCGAAGGCAAGTAGCATTAAACAGATCTTGAATGTTACAGAATACTAACTGTAAAAACTGCTAAAGCTAGAATGTAAAGAACAGTTTGAATGGCCTTGTAATTTGAAGTGGCTATCATTTTGCTATCTTCAAGTAACTTTTCATATGCATCTAGTGTTATGATTATGTAACTATTTTGGTTATCCTTTATCATGATAGTTAAAGATTTACGACATGCCTTAAACTGGCAATGGCAACGTTTTGCGACATGTCGCAATTCTCAGTGTTCAGTGTTACTCCTTTATTTTTCCGCCATGCTGGGGAATTGCAAGGTTAGTGTTCGTGCTTTTTAGTTTTCCATAATCTATATCTCTTTTATTGTTTGTACAGATTTAAATATTCATTTCATCAATCAGGGATCTGAATACTTGATGTTTTCTTCGTTCCCTATTTGAATATAGAACGATTGGTGCCTTTTTAAAGTATAGTATGAAACTATGATATATTTTACAGGTATCGTATAACCTGTATTAGCGTAATGCCCTTTTTGAAAGGTCTTTTACTTGTTGTTTTAAGATGATTGAATATGTTAGATCATTCTAGAGGAATAATTCCTATGTATGTGACAGTTAGTATTATGTAAGATACTATTATATATACTGGTGCTATATTTGGTCTCTACACTTGGAGATTCAGTGTTGACAATATAATATACATATTGTGAAAAAGGTCATTGAGCTTACAAGCCTTGGCTTTCTTATTTGGGGTAGTCAAATGTCAGAAACAATGGCCCTGAGTTCTAGCATGTGGAGTATGAATAACAATAGGCATTGTATTAGATATATATGTAAATGAAGGAAACTTTGTTAGAAAAAATAGTTTTAATACAGAAAATGCAGCATACATAATTGACGGGCTTCAATCCAGTACCCAAAGTCTGGCTGAAAGGACGGAATGCACGTTTAGCAGCAAATCATGTATAAAGTTTTATCTTGGCTTATACCATGGTACAACCACTTTGATCTATTAACAGGTGGTCGTTTTTTCTATAGTTCTCAAAGGAAACAACTTATCACATCAAAAGGCTTCCTTGGTACCATTTCCACTGCCATATGTAGGTCTTAACTATGTTTTTTCTGTATATTTACAAAATATTCATAATTTCTTATTGCGAAGTCAACATACAAATCATTACCAGTCCACTTGCAGTCGTACTACCGTCACGTGATCACCACTACAAGTCATACTCTTGTCACGTGATCCTCACGTGACCACTGCGTGATCCTCACCTGACCACTTCAAGTCATACTTTTGTCACGAGTCCCGAAGTTCACGTCGGATCCACGTAATCCTTGACCCTGACCACGTTGGTGTCCGTTTTGCTGGATATGTGGAAGTCCCAGACCCGAATCTTCCCGTCCGCGGAGGCCGTCGCCATCTTGGTCTCGTCGAACTGGATGCAGTTGATCTGACCCTTGTGACCTTTCATGGTCTGTATGGACTTGTCCTTGCTGATGTCCCAGTACTTGATCATGCCGTCCTTCCCCGCGGACACCATGAGTCCTTCCACTTTCTCAGGGTTGGTGATCTGGAGCTGAAGCTTTTCCACTCTGTGAAGAAAGGCAGTCGGTATCAGTATCATGCTCAGTGTAACAGTGGGGTTCAAACACCCAAAACACCCAGTCCATTACAACTGGGCCCTGGACCTTTTGGCCAAGTGGTTATGGCGTTGGGTTTACAAGCTACCGGTTCGGGTTCAATTTCCTGAAAGCCCCCTTTGTTTCTATGCGTTTCTGTACTGCTCGTCCCATTGTTGCTATCATTTTGTTACAGTGTCAGTACTAGTGTATGTATAATGAAAAGAAGTTGTTCAATTGATGCTTCACGAAAGATAGCCAAAATATCTTCAAGAACAGATGACCAAATTTTAAGGTTGTCATTTCAGTTGAAATGTGGTTAGTTGCTAGCTGTTATTTTATTAAATTTTCTCACTGCGTAGCTCTACAGAAAAGAATTACCTTTTCTCGTGTTCGTGGAACTTCTTGATGCACGTGGCCGTCTTGAGGTTCCAGAGGAAGATCATCCCTCCGGAGGAGCAGGCGAAGAAGCCGCGGTGGTAGCTCACGGTCATGATTGACGTGGTGTGGGACGCCCAGATGGTCTTCAGACTCCGCCCACTTTCACAGCTCCATATACGGATACTCTGTGGAAAAAAACGGGTAATACTATTAAGTCAATCTCTCCAAGCAGAGGTTGACGGGGGAAGATCGTTACCTTTTATATATGGCCCGTTTTTTTGTCGCTACCCCTTGGGCCCTCTCTGGTCAATGGATACTGCCTGGCCAATTTGATACTGTCTTTTCGCCACCTTAGGATCTGCTTGGAGATTACATCAATTGGTCATGGCACGAGGCTGACTTTACCATCCGGCTTTCATCCTCTACTTGCTTTGATTCATTTTTTTTTGTCTTACAAGACTCGACCACTTTTACAGCTCCATATACAGAGCCATGTGTAAAAATAACAGATATTAATTCGGTCTCAAGCAGAGAATATACTTTAGATTTATCTACAGTCTTCCACAGGTTTGAATGACCCATATAGGACACGTGGCATCAGCAATTGGTTAAAGCGCTTGGAAGTCTATACTGCCCCCTGAACATTTATATCCTCCGAGTCATCTTTTCTCACAAGACTCGACCATGTTCAATGTTGAAATTTCATTGGTTGGTGTGTGCTGTACGTCATGATCACGTGGTGAGTGCTCACCCTATCAGCGGAGCCGGTGATGACGATGGTACAGTCGTCGTCCATGTCCACGGCGAACACAGCGGCGGAGTGGCCCTTCAGCGTGTGCGCCAGGCGGCAGCGACGGATCTCCCAGATCTTAGCCTGCGGACAAAAAAAATTAAACAAAGAAACGGTCAGAATTTCTTTAACTTCGCACTGCGGACAAGAGCAAACAGGGGATCGGATCTCCCAGATCTTAGCCTACGGGCAAAAAAAACATAGAAAACGGTCAGAATTTCTTTAACTTCGCACTGCGGACAAGAGCAAACAGGGGATCGGGGATTTTCAACCTCTGCGAAGTACTTAGAATTTCAGTTAATTTCTAGGCACAACCAAAGAGACGGTCTGAGTCCTGACGTACTACAGGACTAGGTCCATGCTAGCTCGTACTAAACGGACAGAGACCTTAGAATGGAATAGGCGTCTAGAATAGAATAGAATAGAATAGAGTATGAGATTCTGTATGAACAACTATGTAAGAGGTGCTAGTGTCACGGAAATGAAAAGAAACCTACAGTGGACCTCACTGGAAGACAGAAGAAAGATGTCTAGACTATGCATGATGTACAAAATGACTAATAAACTGGTGGATGTCCCAACTACTAAGTACCTAATACCAGCCCAGAAGAGAACAAGAAATAGCCACGCATTCAAGTACCAGAGTTACCAACCAAGGATTGAGGTGTTCAAGAATTCATTCTTTCCTAGAACTATCGCAGAGTGGAACTCACTGTCACCAAGTACAGTAGGGGCATTGTCAATAGATAGCTTTAAACAATGTCTAGAGCTAGAAGTTCAAGGGTTAGGTGTAACCAGTCGATCGGTGTAATATAGCCAGCTGCCGCCGCGCCGCGTGCCTGCGAAGCTGGTGTGTTACGCCGAAAGGCGGTTATACCGGCTATACAGATACAGATACAGAGAGTAGAATAAAGTAGAATAGGATAGAATAGAATGGTTCTGTTTTATACTAGGACGTACCAAACGGAATGGAATAGGCGTCTAGGATGTAATAGAATAGAGTAGAGTAGAGTAGAATAGAATAGAATAGAATAGAATGGTTCTTACTTTTTTATACTAGGACGTACCAAACGTAATGAAATAGGCGTCTAGGATGGAATAGAATAGAATAGAATAGAATAGAATAGAATAGAATAGAATAGAATAGAATAGAATAGAATAGAATAGAATAGAATAGAATAGAATATAACGGCTCCTACTGTCTTGTCCTGTGACCCAGTGACCATCATGACGTCCTTCCTGACCAGTGCCCACACCGGCCCCTCGTGCCCGAACAGCGTCCGTGCGCAGGTGTTCGTGCGCAGGTTCCAGATCTTGATGGTGGAGTCGTACGAACCGCTGAGGATCAGGTGTTTGGTGAAGAACTGCAGACACCAGATGCCTTTCTGTTTGGTAGGAGAAGATGGAGCTTTGTTTGTTTGTTTGTTTGTTGTCTGAACCATTTTTTATTCATGAGAACCTCAAATCGGCGTGCAGTCCGATTGTCTTTGAGGTTGTACGCTATTGAGTTAAGTTACGTTAGGTATAAATCATCACCACATGTATAAGACATAGGTCAAAGATTATAGAGCGATAACTTAAGGTTCCGGGTCGGAGTTTAATTCTGACCAGGGTTCCAAATAGTGCGCAGTAAATCGCCGGATCTGCGAGGTTGTCACGCTAGGTTTGGCTCCCCATAGCTCGGCGATCGCTGTAGATTTTCAACTAGGTTTTGAATTGATCAAAAAGCCTTGGGATTGTAGTGTTTTTCGGCGCGGTGAAGTTGGACGGCCAGCGAAGCGTTTTTGGTATTAGTCCGCGAGCAAGGGTGATGCGGTTTGTCGCCTGATGACCCAAATAGCTGCGTTCTATGTGGAATTTCTAGGGGTTCGCGTCACCGGATTTTGTGAAAAACTTATCGCAACAACCTATATTTTTTTCTGTTTTTCAGAAACAGAAAGTAGTAAGCTATTTCAGCATATAGGCCGTTAGCCTGGGAAAATTCGTTTTTTCCAAGCAGGTCCGTTGAAAAAACTGCAAAAAAACTACATTTTTCGTATCCAAAATTTACGTTTAACTACAGTTTCTACCCAAATTATAGAGTCGACGGACAATAACCAAAATTGTATCGGAAGCCGGCTGGAAACCTCCGTTGATTGATGTAATGAGATTTCCCGGCGTACTTTTTTTGGCGGAGTTATAGCCCTTCGGTCTGAGGGTGTCCGCCGGATCCGAAATCATGAAAAAAACTCCGGTCCGAGACCTTAAAAGCACGGCGCATGCGCAAAAAATGACGTAATCGATGACGTCATTCGTATGGATTTAAAAGTTTTTGGCAAAAGTTATCCGATTCTGACAAAAAACCGCATCATTTTGCTTTTTTCGAGTAAAAAAGTCCGTATATTCATGCCCAGGCCCTAGGCGCCCCCCTCCCCCTTTCCCGCCCCCCCCCCCGAAATCCCCGTCAGGGCAATTTTAATCGTTTCTGGAAGGTAAACAGTTCTTGCATGAATTGACTTTCTATGTCATTTTATATGAGTCGACCTCTGAATTTGACTTTCGTATAATTTCGGCGAAGTTTCTTTATTTATGGTGACTTAAACTGACATTTAACAGCAAAATCGAAGTGTTTTAAGCCTTCTTAGGCAAAACTGGGTTTTCTGATGTTCGGTTCAGGGCTCCTTAAATTCGCGACTTTCTTTCCTTTGGGTGGTGTTAAGTGATAGCCTAATAAGTACTCCTCACATCTTTACAGCGTTTATTTCAACTTCTTGCCCCTGGCCACGGCAATATCACCCAGATTGTGTTTTGCACCTCGTAATAATGCAGCCTTTCACACATTTAAGGAGCGCTTTGCTACTTAATAGGCCATTCACGGCGTAATAGTGAAGAGTTTGGTGTCGGACGCGTTTGATTCGGAAAGTGCGAACCCTGGTCTATCATTCAAGGTCGAAATCTGACGAATTCTTCCTTTTACTTTAAAACGACGAACCTAAAACGCGACCCCATGCTGTTTTCCCAGGGGACCCGATGACGTCACTGCGTGACGTCATCGATACCAACTGTTAAGAACGTTTTCTGCAAGTATGCGGCACCGAAATCACGAAAAGAACACATATATCCATAGCCAAGATCCAGAGCAGACTTTTATTTCCGTCATAACTGCTTTGAGAAAAGCGATGTTTGAAATAACGGTACTTTTCTAATTGCCCCATTGTGACGCTGCCTTGAACCCGAGACTTGGCAATATAGCCTTAGAACACTGCATTTTTCACATGACTTTAAACCTCTGCCGCGGGAAAAGTACTCATCGCAGACATGTAAAATTTGGATATATGATAGATATGATGTTTCTGAAGAATTATGATAATTTTTTATGAAAAATAATCTCCTTAAGGTTCCGGGTCGGAGTTTAATTCTGACCAGGGTTCCAAATAGTGCGCAGTAAATCGCCGGATCTGCGAGGTTGTCACGCTAGGTTTGGCTCCCCATAGCTCGGCGATCGCTGTAGATTTTCAACTAGGTTTTGAATTGATCAAAAAGCCTTGGGATTGTAGTGTTTTTCGGCGCGGTGAAGTTGGACGGCCAGCGAAGCGTTTTTGGTATTAGTCCGCGAGCAAGGGTGATGCGGTTTTGTCGCCTGATGACCCAAATAGCTGCGTTCTATGTGGAATTTCTAGGGGTTCGCGTCACCGGATTTTGCGAAAAACTTATCGCAACAACCTATATTTTTTTCTGTTTTTCAGAAACAGGAAGTAGTAAGCTATTTCAGCATATAAGCCGTTAGCCTGGGAAAATTCGTTTTTTCCAAGCAGGTCCGTTGAAAAAACTGACAAAAAAACTACATTTTTCGTATCCAAAATTTACGTTTAACTACAGTTTCTACCCAAATTATAGAGTCGACGGACAATAACCAAAATTGTATCGGAAGCCGGCTGGAAACCTCCGTTGACTGATGTAATGAGATTTCCCGGCGTACTTTTTTTGGCGGAGTTATAGCCCTTCGGGTCTGAGGGTGTCCGCCGGATCCGAAATCATAGAAAAAACTCCGGTCCGAGACCTTAAAAGCACGGCGCATGCGCAAAAAATGACGTAATCGATGACGTCATTCGTATGGATTTAAAAGTTTTTGGCAAAAGTTATCCGATTCTGAACAAAAAACCGCATCATTTTGCTTTTTTCGAAGTAAAAAAGTCCGTATATTCATGCCCAGGCCCTAGGCGCCCCCCTCCCCCTTTCCCGCCCCCCCCCCCCGAAATCCCCGTCAGGGCAATTTTAATCGTTTCTGGAAGGTAAACAGTTCTTGCATGAATTCACTTTCTATGTCATTTTATATGAGTCGACCTCTGAATTTGACTTTCGTATAATTCGGTCGAAGTTTCTTTATTATGGTGACTTAAACTGACATTTAACAGCAAAAATCGAAGTGTTTTAAGCCTTCTTAAGGCAAAACTGGGTTTTCTGATGTTCGGTTCAGGGCTCCTTAGATTCGCGACTTTCTTTCCTTTGGGTGGTGTTAAGTGATAGCCTAATAAGTACTCCTCACATCTTTACAGCGTTTATTTCAACTTCTTGCTCCTAGCCACGGCAATATCACCCAGATTGTGTTTTGCACCTCGTAATAATGCAGCCTTTCACACATTTAAGGAGCGCTTTGCTACTTAATAGGCCATTCACGGCGTAATAGTGAAGAGTTTGGTGTCGGACGCGTTTGATTCGGAAAGTGCGAACCCTGGTCTATCAATCAAGGTCGAAATCTGACGAATTCTTCCTTTTACTTTAAAACGACGACCTAAAACGCGACCCCATGCTGTTTCCCAGGGGACCCGATGACGTCACTGCGTGACGTCATCGATACCAACTGTTAAGAACGTTTTCTGCAAGTATGCGGCACCGAAATCACGAAAAGAACACATATATCCATAGCCAAGATCCAGAGCAGACTTTTATTTCCGTCATAACTGCTTTGAGAAAAGCGATGTTTGAAATAACGGTACTTTTCTAATTGCCCCATTGTGACGCTGCCTTGAACCCGAGACTTGGCAATATAGCCTTAGAACACTGCATTTTTCACATGACTTTAAACCTCTGCCGCGGGAAAAGTACTCATCGCAGACATGTAAAATTTGGATATATGATAGATATGATGTTTCTGAAGAATTATGATAATTTTTTATGAAAAATAATCTCCTTAAGGTTCCGGGTCGGAGTTTGATTCTGACCAGGGTTCCAAATAGTGCGCAGTAAATCGCCGGATCTGCGAGGTTGTCACGCTAGGTTTGGCTCCCCCATAGCTCGGCCGATCGCTGTAGATTTTCAACTAGGTTTTGAATTGATCAAAAAGCCTTGGGATTGTAGTGTTTTTCGGCGCGGTGAAGTTGGACGGCCAGCGAAGCGTTTTTGGTATTAGTCCGCGAGCAAGGGTGATGCGGTTTGTCGCCTGATGACCCAAATAGCTGCGTTCTATGTGGAATTTCTAGGGGTTCGCGTCACCGGATTTTGTGAAAAACTTATCGCAACAACCTATATTTTTTTCTGTTTTTCAGAAACAGAAAGTAGTAAGCTATTTCAGCATATAGGCCGTTAGCCTGGGAAAATTCGTTTTTCCAAGCAGGTCCGTTGAAAAAACTGCAAAAAAACTACATTTTTCGTATCCAAAATTTACGTTTAACTACAGTTTCTACCCAAATTATAGAGTCGACGGACAATAACCAAAATTGTATCGGAAGCCGGCTGGAAACCTCCGTTGATTGATGTAATGAGATTTCCCGGCGTACTTTTTGGCGGAGTTATAGCCCTTCGGTCTGAGGGTGTCCGCCGGATCCGAAATCATGAAAAACTCCGGTCCGAGACCTTAAGTCTTGGCTGGTAATATGATGAGTAGATACAGATTTCTAGGCACCTTTGACCCCATTACCTACGTCACGTTTCCGGCAAGTCACGTGACAAGTGGGTGGGGTCAGAGTAGGAGACCGGAGAACACGGGAGAGGCGGTCACAAATTTGGTAAGTGAACTTTCATTGTGCTAGAAAGACAGATCAAACAAAGGAACTTGTTTGAGATCTTTTCAGAATATTTGTGGCTTGAATGCTCTTAGGCCCTCTATTGTTCTACAATGATAGTATCATAACGGAAATCAGGGATTTTGTTTTAGTATATCATCTCACCGTGTGTCCTTTGAGTGTGTGGAGCAGGTTGCCTGTCTTGATGTCCCAGACTCGGACAAGTTTGTCCGCGCTGCCGCTAGCCATCCTCCGGCCTTCAAACGCCACGGACAGCACTCTGGGGGAGGGAGGGGGAACATGTTCATTCAGCTTAAAATTCAACAAGACAAACACACAAACAAATACTAGTATACTGGTCAACTGGGCTTCAAGTTAATGTTGTGCAGACTTAATAATCTTGCACGATCCCCTCTAAATGCAGGTCTAAAATGACATTATGAATTTAATTTTACTCTTGAAGATTGCTATAGAGGCTTTTTCATTGAGGCATTTCTTGGTCATAATAATTACCATATGAATCGAAAGATAACCTACTTGTCTGTGTGTCCTCTGATCTCCGTGATGCGACACCTGCCGATATCCCAGTTCCTCTGCAGGAACCAGTTGTCTTTGTAAAGTTTCTTCCAGTCTTGCACATGTGCTGTGATGGGCAGTTCTGGAAGATGGACAATCGCAAAATTAATATAACATTGACTTCTACAATAATACTGTTTGCCGACATAGAAGCATAGAAAAATCTCGTAACATAAAATAGCTTTAAAAAATCTTTAGATGTGCAAAAGCTAGGTCTAACAAGTCGTTCCATGTAATATAGCTAGCTGCCGCCACGCCGCGTGCCTGCGAAGCTTGTATGAAGCCGCTACCACCAAGTAAAGTAGACAGCTTTAAAACAACGTTTCAAGTTAGATGTTCCAAGGCTATGTGTTCTATATATTATAAACTCTAGCGATGATAGAATATTTTTGTTCTTGTCAGGAAGTACCGTAGTTGCTTCTGCTCAGAATCGTCCTATTTTCTGTCAAGATAGTCCGTAATACTCACTCATAACGGTCTCGTAACACTTGACCCTCCAGAGCCCCTGGTCGCTGATGATTCTGTTCCAGGCCTGGCTGACTCGGGAAGCCGACAGCAGCTCGGTCGGCTTCAGGTAGCTCAGGATCTTCAGCGCGAGGTGCTCGGGTAGTAACGTGATGAAGTCTCTGTACTGTTTCACCTGAAAGGCAGATGGAACATCAAATATAGGATCATTGAGGCGAAGGAAAAAATGTTGTGTTTGTGGTTTCCCGACCGACCCTAGCCTTTTGGGGGGGGGGTGGACCTCTGCAAGGGACATAATTTTTTCGAGCTGATTGACCTTTTCTAGCTCCGTGATCTGGCACCTAAGTAATGAAACGCTATACAGTTTTCCAACATTGACATCGAAAATAGAAGTGTGCTCATGCAAGTTGGATCACTAGAGATCGCCAAAGTCTAATTAAAAAAAAAGAGAAAGAAAAAGAACCCTCACTCACCCACCTACCGACACTAATTTTTTCACGGCGGAAACAAGGAACACTAGTTCCTAGGCCTTTCTATCCTAAAATGAATTGTTCCAGTTATGCAAATGGCGATGTTGTTTCATAAAGGATAAGACGATTGCAGACATCTACGTATATTAAGGGGAGAGGAATGAACATCAGAACTTACCGACAGATAAGATGAGATGAAGTAATGCTGCCGTGGGTCCAGCTTCAGAAGTAACTTGTGTAGAAACTCGTTTCTCTTTACATCTGTTTACAGACAAAAAGGAGATAGAAGTTATTTTTCTTTTCTCTCAGCAACATCTTTATCCTTTTCTACCTTGAGAATCATGCTTTCAAGGTGTGTTTCCTTGTCTATTGTTTTTAGTCATGACAGATTTAATGCACGTAATCATACGTTTTGAGCAGGACAACCATTCAATTGCAATATTACCCAAAACATGACAACTGTACACACGTAAACAAAAGTCAACCTTATAGTAAAAGCAGTGGATTAGGCTATTTCTTTTGTGCTAGATAGGGCTAAAGGACCTTATATGTGCTTGAAGATACAAATAAACATAAACCAACCGTCCAAGTACTGTTGTAATATTGCCAAAAATGTGACAATTCCATAAAACTGTAACAATAGCCATCCTTACAACACAACCCATGTATTAGTCTAAGCATTTTGGCTAGCTAGGGGAAAAGGACTTTTATGAAAATAGATTCCAACTCACCGTCCCACGACTGTTCGAACCAAAGGATGAGCTGCCAGGCCTCCCTGGGTAAGATTCCCGACCGAGTCTGCGCTCTCTCGTCCCTAGTGAGGAAGGACTCGCTGACGGCCTTACGCATCGTGCCGGCAGAAGGGACGATCTTCCCCTCGGTCCTGGGACTGAGCTCCTCCTGTACGTGTCTCCTACTGGGCATGCCTTTCAACCTGGTAACATGAGACAAGGAAAAACTATTATCATATTTGAATGTAGATGGGTAAACAAACAAACAAACAGAACGCGAACTACGAAAGATAAGAGTAAAAAATCTTTACAAACTGTTAAAGTAAAAATCTAGCTTTGACTCGAAGCCAGACTTCTTTGCGCGAGGCCATTTTCATCAGGGCATTGCGTCTAACCCTCAAAGACGGGGGGCGCCACAGACTTTCTGAAACTTATGATCCATTGTTTACCGGGTTACGTGTCAAGATAAGAACACGAACTGCATAATTGTAGGTTACATTTATGACCAGCCTTGTTTTTGGTCTTTGCACTGAGATGTGTAAGGCTACAGCGAAGCAATTTGGAAAAAAAGTACAGTACAGTAAAGTACAGTACAGTAAAGTACAGTTAAGTACAGTAAAGTACAGTAAAGTACAGTACAGTAAAGTATAGTACTTTGGAACTGCCAAACTTACCACTGTGAGACCGGCGCGGACTGAGACAACTCCTTATCCACCAGTCCTCCCCCGCAAGCCGCGGACTGCTGTCGGATGCTCGGCAGTTTCACACTCCCCGTGCTTCTGGACAGCGGAATCTGGGACTTTTTGCTGAAAATGGTAGAAAAACATTGTCATCTAAGGTTTTAATAGGTTGAGGTGTAGGAATCTCATCGTTATCATTAATGGAATTTTGAAACAGAAGACTTGGTCATTTGGTTGGAAGTTTAAACGACGTCAGCTTGGCGGTCTTACCTGTGCTGAGAGTCTATCCTTGGGAAGGTCGTCTCTGGTTGGTTGACGTGTTTGACGTCAGACGGGGTCTGTAAGAGCGCGCTCTTCAGTCTGTGTGTCTTGTCACTCCTGTAAAAAAAAGGAAATTTTGTAAAATTTTGTGATAAAAACTGTATTTATTGCCTTCCACTTCGAACCAAATCTAACTCTAGGGAAGGCAACTTCAGATCTAATGCCCTAGTTAATGCATACGTGACATTTTTTAAAGTTCTTTCAAAGCGATCGTAGCACTGTGATAAATGCACACGCTCCATAGGCGTAGCCAAAAATGTGGAGTCGATTACACTTTCCATTGATATGACTTGTGATCATTGGACTTTAAATTGATAAAAGGTTATGTATGTAAGGCGATACATTTTCCATTATACCATGTAAGAGAGCTTTGATGTGTGCTTCACAAAGTGTGGGCTTTAATACTGTACATGTCCTTTCACAAGATTTACTTCCAGTGAGATGGAAAGGTTCAATATAATAGAACACAGGGGTGCCAGAGTATACAGTGCAATTTTACAAAATACAGTGCAACTTTACGGAATACAGTGCAACTTTACGGAATACAGTGCAATCGTATTAGAATACAGTGCAATTTTACGGAATACAGTGCAATTTTACGGATTACAGTGCAATCGTATTAGAATACAGTGCAATTTTTCTAGTATACAGTGCAATTTTACGGATTACAGTGCAATTTTACTAATGACATTGAATCATGTGACTTTGACCCGGCTTTCCCTGCTTTTTCATTTTCAAGATGGCAGACGCCGCTAACTCGCATATTTCTGTATTTTTCGAGCGAATTCGAAATGATCCCTGTGTAGTAACATGCCCTGTTTTTCACTCGAAAAACACAGAAAGATGTGAGTACGCTCCGTCAGCGGCGTCCCTGGAAAGCCGGGCCCAGGTTACGTCATTCAACGTCATTAGTAAAATTGCACTGTATTCCGTAAAATTGCACTGTATACTAATACGATAGCATTGTATTCCGTAAAATTGCACTGTATACTAATACGATTGCACTGTATTCCGTAAAATTGCACTGTATACTAATACGATTGCACTGTGTTCCGTAAAATTGCACTGTATACTAGTAAAATTGTACTGTATTCCGTAAAATTACACTGTATACTCTGGCACCCCTGGAATAGCTGTCGTCTTGGCTGTATGTTTTCCTGACCTGTATAGTTCCAGACGATGTCTGATCTCCCGTGTGAGATGTGTGCTGATCGGTACAAACTTGGTACTGGGGTAGTCTCGCTTCGCCGCGAACATGAAGTCTCTGTAGTCGTCATAAAATACATTCTTACGTTATTCATACAAACTACATGTACAATATTATAGCGAAGTAATTTGGACAAAAAGGCACTACTGTAAGGAGATGTAGCAGAGTTACCTCAAAGACAAACAGGCATCTACACATCAGCTGAATAATGAGTGAAGGAGACAGTAAAGGACGATATTTTACATATGCTATAGATTCCTTGAGTAAAGATGTTAAAGCCTTGGTCGGTGTACATGTGTATCTTTGTTATTTAGAAATAAATGAAAAAAGATAAAATAAAGAAACTAAACAAATTTCTGACCTGTGCAGGGTGGGTTGTGACACTGTCCATAAGAACTGGAACTGTTGATAGTTACATCTCTTCAGTAGGGCCTCTAGGACTATGATTCTCTGTGATATGAGAAACCATATAATGTCAGCGAATGTGCGACTTGGGTTGATGCATCTCCCATACAAATAGCAGATAATTCAGTCGACTAGAATATATAAGTTCGCGCTTAACAGCTTTACAAACCATACAAAACTCCTCTAGAGCAAAGACTCTGCCAATATTGTAGTTTAGGTAAAGTAGAAGACGAGGTACATTTTATTGTGGATTGTTCCATGTATGACAGCGAAAGAAACGTTCTTTTCGATTTTGTGTCAAGTAAATACTCCCAATTTAAGTATTTGAATAGTATAGAGAAATTTATATTCCTTGTAGTCTTTAACAAACCAGCTCTAACTACTCATACAGCCAACTACATTTATAAGATTACCAGAAAGCGAGAGGAAGTTGAAAGTACTTGTGTACTATAGCCGTTTTATTATCAACATTGATGATGTACTTTGTCAATATGTGACCTGTCTTTAGCCCAGTGGGGCAAAATGTACAATAAAGGTCTTCATTCTATGAATTCTATTTACTATCACATTTCAGCCACAGAATTTAGTTCACGCAACACTTCTGAATTTTAAGCGTCTTCCTAAGTGTTCTATATAATATATTGACCGCCTTGCATTCATCGGATTCGCTTCAGCTCACCTTTTTGTGGCTCCACTCTTCCACCCATTTGGCCACGTGATCCAACTGTCGATCAAACTCCACCGTCTGAGGCGTTTTGATCCTGCCGCCGAACGACTTCCACGGAACCCGCGGCTTTGTGTCCTCAGAACGGGACGTAGTATCTTTGGACGGACCCTTGGCGTTCTTCCCGCGACTGCCTTTACCTGCAGTTACAGTAGACATCCGCCAGGTAGCGCTCTCCGCCGGTCCTGACTCCATTTTCACGGAGCCCGACATAATGTTTTCTATGCAAAGGAAATCCGCCACTAAGCTGTTGGGAACCTGATATGTAAACAAGTGTACGTTTGCTTTTCTCTGCAAATCATCATAATCTCAGCGCTACGTTCCTGTGATGGCTGTTTCAGACCTGCAAACAAAACAATAACATCTGTTAGTGAGGTTTCAAAGCGAACACAGTACACTACAGGCATTTGCGCCCTTGGTGTTTTGCGCCTCCAATTTTAAGGGGCGAGTTTAGATTCAATATCAAATGATCAGATTTTCTGAATGAAAGGGATTTAAGAAATTAGTTTCTTAGGAACAGGAAGGGTGTTTTAGACTGCCATTGGAATAAATCGATGAAGTCTAAGCATGCTGTGAGCTTTGTCAACAGTTGATGTGGAACCTAAATCTGTACTTGAGTACTGCTCTTAACACGTCGCAAGGCTTAGTCTCTATTTGAGCATTCTGAATTTGTTCAGGGGTTGATTTCATCTAAGTTACATTCTCTCTCTCTCTCTCTCTCTCTCTCTCTCTCTCTCTGTGTGTGTGTGTGTGTGTGTTTGTGTGTGTGTGTGTGTGTGTGTGTGTGTGTGTGTGTGTGTGTGTGTGTGTGTGTGTGTGTGTGTATCTCCCTTTAGTCTCTCTGTCACATGCACAGACACACCGACTACATATACAATCACACAATAACACACACGTACTCACAAATAAACACAAACACACACACATACACACGCACATACACGCACGCACACGCGCGCGCATATACACACAAAAAAACACACGCTCAAACCGTGGCACATAGTCTCTCTCGTTCTCTCTCTCTCTCTCTCTCTCTCACACACCTGGTTGCTGACTAGTAGCTAACCTAAAAACGTGTCCAGTTACCAGGTTCAGCATACAGACATGTACGCATGTATGTGTCAGGAGGGGGTCATAGCGAGTTTGTGAATGGGTGACAAAGTACACGTAATGAGTCAACATGGCGCCACAATAGTTTGCACACTGACTGAACGGTCAACAATCTGGACAAATATGACCGCCATATTTGTCAGCCCAACCAAACATTGCTGTGATATGTACCCCCATTTTCGCTGTACGCCCGCCACTGGTCTAGCTGCACCCGAATTTAAGGTCAAAGTAACATATTTGTGTTGTGTTGATTGTATCCAACGCGTTGGTTTTGGGAGTGAATGATTAAGTCAAAGTCTAAAGCCTGTTTTTCAAACAGTGGTGATAAAACTACAGCCTATCAGGCACGGTAAAAGTGCGTACTTTAAAATATGAACTGTTCACTTTTCGTTTCATTCTTAGTCCTTTATGTGACAAACAAACTGATCATTGCATCTTACTTTAGCTACAACTCTTACTATTCTATAAGATTATATGACAAGGGTCCGACCTGACATTTTTAGCCTCCGGCTACTAAAAGTACGGCGAATTAATTTGCTAATTAGTATAATAAACATAGAATTTGTTTACTGTAACTATCATGATACAGAAGCATGCCTATAGTAGTACAATATCTAGGACCCCATCTACTAATCAGTATAGTTAGAAGTGGGCAGTTAAGAACGTATTAATTATGGCCCTAGAGTAGATAGTACATACACATATAGGCCAAATTACATAGTACAGTGTTAAAACGGTTTGAAACTCAAGTATTTCTGCAGTACGAAGCCGTATATTAAGTCTTATGAGTTCTATAGGTCGATACGAAAGCTTCTAAAGCCAGGTTTAGACTGTATGGTTAGACATGGGAACCCGAATCGATAGTACATAGTACATACATATAGTACATACATATATAGACCAAATTACATAGTACAGTGTTAACTTCGTGATAAACAGTTTTGAAACTCATGTATTTCTGCAGTACGAAGTCGTATAAGTCTTATGAGTTCTAGAGGTCGATACGAAAGCTTCTAAAGCCAGGTTTAGACTGTATGGCTAGACATGGGAACCCGAATCGATAGTACATAGTACATACATATAGTACATACACAAATAGGCCAAATTACATAGCACTGTGTTAATACTCGTGATAAACAGTTTTGAAACTCTACTATTTCTGCAGTACGAAGTCGTATAACTCTTATGAGTTCTAGAGGTTTATATTGAAGCACCTAAAGCCAGGTTTGGGTTTAGGCTGTATAGTTAGACATGGGAACCCGAATCGATAGTACATAGTACATACATATAGTACATACATATATCGGCCAAATTACATAGCACTGTGTTAATACTCATGACAAACAGCTTTGAAACTCTAGAATTTCTGCAGTACGAAGTCGTATAGGTCTTGTGAGTTCTAGAGGTCGCTAAGAAAGCTTCAAAGACAGACTTTAGGCTGTATGGTTAGAAATGGGAACCTGAATCTATAGTACATAGTACATACATACAGTACATACATATATAGGCCAAATTACATAGCATAGTGTTAATACTCGTGGCAAACAGTTTTGAAACTCATGTATTTCTGCAGTACGACATCGTATAGGTCTTAGGAGTTCTATAGGTTGATAGAAAAGCTTTTAAAGCCACTTAGACTGTATAGTTAGACATGGGAACCCGAATCGATAGTACATAGTACATACATATAGTACATACATATATAGGCCAAATTACATAGCATAGTGTTAATACTTGTGACAAACAGTTCTGAAACTCATGTATTTCTGCAGTACGAAATCGTGTAAGTCTTATGAGTTCTAGAGGTCGATATAAAAGCTTCTAAAGCCAGGTTTAGGCTGTATGGCTAGACATGGGAGCCCGAATCGATATTTTCGCTATGCCCGGTTGAGCGAAGGGATTTATAACCGTGCTTTGCTCACGATTATCCACTTGTGAACAAGTACCGTACCTTATGGTCTGCACACAGTACAATAACACTAGGAGGTTGATGGGGGAAGATCGTTTGCTTTTTATATATGACCCTTTTTTGTGGCTACCCAAACCAACCTCTGCCGCTAGTCTCAGCCTCAAATGACAAGGGGAGGGGTAGTTCTTGGTGTGGGTAGCGACAAAAATGAGCCATCTATAAAAAGCAAACGATCTTCTCCCATCAACCTCTGCTTGGAGAGTACAATAACACTACACAAACCACATGGTACACTGAGAGAAACACTGTTTAGCGTTTTACATAACTGTAGTATCTACTGTTTCTGTCTGAGTGCTCCTAATTTTGCCATTAATTAGCTCTTTTGCTATGCCTCCGCTGACCCTTATTAAGTTTTAGACTTGGGGCACTTTTAGATCGAGTTATGCCATAGATTTTCTTGTTGTACTTGATAGTTACTAACGTTCTGGGTTATACAGTTTGGTGTAGCGTCCAAATCATTGGAATACAATAACGAGGGGATTTTTGACGTAGTTCTATAATCCTAGTAACCATGGCCATAGTGTACACATGGTAAAGATCCGGGAAGACTCTACTAGACTTCAAAACTTTTGAAATATTCCAGTGATTTTATCAGTACATTTAAATTTGCTGTAGAGGTCTTCTGCTTTCTGAGACGAACTTTGTTATCAATCGTACATTTTCAAATTGTTACTCACGGTCACACTGATTGTATGCTATACCTATACCCACATATCCAACCAATGTACATTTCACGATCAACATACATAGCAACTATAACGACTTGAAATTCATATTTTCTCTCGTGTTTAGGTAGACACCTAAATACCTCCAGAATACAGAATAATCGTCCCTCAGTATAAGAGAAATTTAACACATTTTGAATCTATCTGTTTATGTGACGAGATTTTTCTGTGATATTGGGTTAGAAATTGGTGTCCTAGATAGCTATAATTTTACCTAAGAGGACCCAGGTATAGTTAGAAGTTCCGTATATAACAACAAGAGTATAAAAACCCTTACCTTGCCAATCTATCTCCGTTTCTGGGCTCAAACGGTGGAAAATAGCGTCAGTTCAACAGGTAGCTTTAGTCCTTGCTAGCTAATCGTGAAGCAGGTTGGGCTATTCATCCAAACACTGGGCAACACGATACCAGATAATTGGATTATACCATCCTTTGGGGATATTTTGCGTCAGCTAATTAGATTAAATCATCACAAACGTTCTTCAAAGAATAATTTACCTCAGAAAATATGATTTTATTAGTTTAAATTGACATTATATCTACGGGCTGATTTTATTGTGATCTTGGTAAAGATTTTACAGACAATTTTGAGACAAAAATTACCCCCCTACCCCGGGAGGTACAACCTGTTGCACAGGTCGCCCTCTTGCAGACGACATGTATCGGTCGTCATGACGACCGCTCAACAGGTACACAAAGCCGCGCTGTTGGGCCGGTAGCCTGGTATCCAGTCTTATCGTAGCCAGGGCGGGTTTTCCTCGGGGCTGCAGGAGCTCTTCCCCGCCCGCCTCAGCTAGGTTTCCCGGTAGGTATTTCACGATGGGAGATTGAGAGGGAAAATCAACACTCCTACCGGGGCGGCCTGTTGTACTGGGCGGGGGGAAACTATTCTAGCCCCGAAGATACAGCCTGCCCCAACCACGATAAGACTGGGTACGAGACTATTGGGCCAGGCGTGTCGAGGGCTTTCTGCGGGGGTTTCAGGTAACTTTGGCGCTATTGTGTGAATACGGAATCAACACACCTGTCGGGAGAATTAAAGAGGGACCTTTTGTGGGGAGAAAAAGAAGGAATGACGCATTCGTGAGCTCGCATAAGGTATCGGTATCTTTGGTAGATACTCAATTAACCCTTTAGCTGCCAGTGTTTCTCACCAATACATCCCCTCTGTGCCAGGGTTTCCAGACCCTTTTGAAATAGGGGGTACTACCTTTGTATTACTGTCTTTTTGTCATTTTCCCCTCAACTTACCATATCATGCCAGATATCATTGGAAAGCTAAGAATGTGTACTTTACAGAAAAATATTTCAAATGTAGCCTGACATCAATAGTAATGAATTACAAGGGCAATAATGCAATAAAATAGCTGTTTTCATAGTTTTTTTTGTATTACAATGCCTAAACTATATAAAAAGTATAAGTATGAAACCTATAACATTCCTGACATGTCCTGACACTATGAGAATCACATACACGTAAAATACAGCACTCAGGTGTCACTACAGGTAAGTTTATGATCAGATATTGTCCTAGGTGCTGAACTGACTATTCAGCTAAACACTGATCCATTACAACATATTTCACTTCTTTCTGTACCCTTATAAAAGATGGTACATAGACTTGTTATATATCATATGAAAGCATATAGTAGATACTATAACTAGAAATGTATATCAACTTGATAACATAGACTACAAGGGTCATAAACAGGTAAAGAGGCAATAAAATGCACAATTTCCACCTTGTTTCCATACAATCAACAATAAGCAACCACAGAATGACTTGGGCCTTGACTTAACAGATCCTGACATGTCCTGACACTATGAGAATCACATAGACGTAATCATACAGTACTCAGGTATCATTACAGGTAAGTTTATGATGGGTATTGTCCTAGGTGCTGAACTGACTATTCAGCTAAGACACTGATTCATCACAACATATTACACTTCTTTCTGTACATTTATAAAAATGGTACATAGAGTTGTTACATACTATATGGAAGCTTATAGTAGAGCCGGGAATGTATGTCAACTTGATAACATAGACCATAAGGGTCATAAACAGGTAAAAAGCAATAAAATGTACAATTTCCACCTTGTTTCCATACAATCAACAATAAGCAACCACAGAATGACTTGGGCCTTGACTTAACAGATCCTGACATGTCCTGACACTATTAGAACTACATACAAGTAAAAATACAGCACTCAGGTATCATTACAGGTAAGTTTATGATGGATATTGTCCTTGGTGCTGAACCAACTAATGTATACAACATAATACATTCCTTCCTGTACCTATGTGATCGATGGTATATATACTTGTTACATATCATATGAAAGCTTATTGCATATACTATGTCTAGGAATATATTTCAACTTGACAATATAAACTACAAAGGCAATAAACAGGTAAAAAGCAATAAAAAGATAATATTATACTTTATACCATGGAAAATTTTACATAAAAGCTGCTATAAAATAGAAATAAAACTTGCCACTAAATCCACTTTGTGCAGTGAAAACATGGGGAGACTTGGTCAGGCTGTTTCCATCCCCCCTCTGCCAGTTTGTGCCATCAAATCTTGTATCAGTTGCAGCTTGATGGGCGGCTCCGGGGATTTAAATCCCCATCAGCTGGCCGGCTGCAACCTCGCCTGTCAGTGCCACGTTCCCTTGTTGTTTGGCCTTTTCCACACCCCCGACCTCGGCCCCGACCTCTACCCCTAGCACGACCACGGCCATTAGTAGTTCCATGGCCGATGTCACATTCACCAATGCTATCTGGTTCCATGTGAGCACATTCCCTCCCGTCTGCTAACACGATCCGTCTCATTTTCACTACTCTCAATGGAATCAGCGTCAGATATACGTCAACCATAGGCTAAATCAACAGTAGCGACCTCCTACAACAGTTCTTCGAGGGTAAACGTCGTCATTTTGGTGTTAACAGTCCAAATTCACCGCCCAAAACACGTAAACAAAAGAACAAAGCCTCGGCAGACGACGCCGCCGCCATCTTGGCAATTATAGGCCGCAAAGCATTGTGGGATGACGTAATCGGTGATTACGCAACCCACTTTGACCTCTGACCTGCCCTCACTTACCGCCGCCAGTCACTTCCTGGTCGGCGGGCGCGAAACATGCAGCTGTGCTAAGTTATCCCGGGGAATACCCTATCCCGAATATACCCGGGCATGGCACACAGGGGATGTACAGTGAACCCGGATATACCCGGGACCGGCAGCTTAAGGGTTAATAGGAGAAAAAAGTCATTCAACCACAAGGGACTTAGAACAACGCTAGCGAAGGGTTGTTTTCATACTGTGAGAGGTTTCCTATTACTTTCATCCGGTTGTTTATGAAGCGAGAATGAAAAGCGAAATCAATTTAAACAAAAAATAATAATAATAAAACTTTGATAATACATACCTATTCAATCAGTGGAATATTTGGTGCAAGGGTATGGAAGTGGATACAAATAATGATCGTTGATTTAGAAAGTAGAAATATAGATGTAGACATCTAATCATTAGAATATGTTAAAACACGATAAGATTAATATATACATAATGATTACCTCATACGCGTAATTCTAAAGGGCCGTTTTGACTCAAAGTGAATTACAAGCATACCAACAGTTGAATTAAAGTCTAATGTTGTCATTAAGATGCCCACATGTATCCTTAACTAATTATGTATAAAAATTGAGAAGGCATGACTATAGGCGGCGCTTAATACTAAAGGGAGCTACTGAGCTACGTTTGTCCCTTGCGCATCTCCAGTTTCCACGTGCACAATTCCTGTAAATTTCTGTCCATTTCGTCCTAACAAGATTGAAAATGAGCACCATTTTATAATGGATTGTACACTCTACAATGATAAGCGCGTATTGCTGTTCACCTTTCTTTTCGCTTGTTCAATTGATTTCAATACGTTAGATCCTGTAGATAAATGCAACTACATTCTCAGGGGAGATAACCAATACAGTGTTCAAATAGGAAAATACATTAAAGAATGTTTTGATCTAAGAGAACACGTGTTATAGAATAGTTAACCTTTATTGTTACATCATACATATACTCTGTACGTAAGATAACGTTATCCACACATGTATTTAGCTTTGTTAGATCTTTAGTTAAGTTGTAGAAGAGTATACAAAAGTCTCTGTACTTTTTTGTTGTGTCAATAAAGAATCTGAATTTGTAATTTCAACTTTCTGAAGGGCCACCACATCCGAATTTCAATCCTAATTTGTGTAACAAGAAGATTTTGAGCCAGTGCAATGATGTTGTCTATTAGTCAATCAATGGATCCATTTTTCCTTCCTAAATGTGTGTGTGCATTACTCGTATTTAACGGTGCAATATAACCTTGGGCGCTAGGGGAGCTGCTAGATAGGCTGCATATTCTTGTTACAAATCACCAAGGTCCCAATGCAACTAGAGTAAAAGTTTATTTCACCTCCTTCTGAAACATACAGTCCATTCATCTTTATTACGTTTTCATAAAAACAGAATGCAATTTTTATATCATATTGAAACTGGTATAATCTGCAGATATTGAAATCCAGATATAAGACCACCACACATAGTTAAAAAGATCTCACAATGTTAAAACTCATGGGCATCTGTCACAAAATAGTCCTCACAGCACAAAATATACAATTTACATACATGTATAATTATATAATTTATTCAACAATTTCATAAAACAATTCTATGCTGGCCTATTGTCGATTTACAAAGCTTTAGACACAAATGCCATACAATGTACGAATATCGTACAGTATTGTGCAACAGCAGTTGAGCATGTTATTATAATATTGCTTGAATAAGGACACTAAAAGTCTTTCAAATGTGTAACCAAGGACATTGGTGTGACCAAACAACTTTACCAAGAATACAGATACAATTTTCGATATACATTGTATGTAGTATTACTGTGAGTACACATTGTTCAAGCACTGTACTCAACCAAGTAGCATTATAACTGCTAACAACATAATATATATCAATGTCAAAACTATGCTGTCCATAAGTTATCAATCATAAATCACAGTGGTAAGAATAGACTCCTACAGACAACGTAATACCTAGTACATAAATGTCACTACACTATAATATTTAGGAAGATGTTTGACTGGAAAAAATCTCCTCTCTAGATCTAGATCTTTATCAAGTTGTAGAGAAGATCTTATCTATAAATCACAAGTATTTTCCACTAGTTTCTAACCTTTAGAAAATGGCTCATGTAGTGCAGAATGCAGCATTCGCTGGTCAGGGGTTAAAGTGTATTATCATATAGCCAGAAGGCGTTGACCAATCAGAAGGCTCCATTTCCCATTGGTTTTCAGGCCGTAACCTAGTAATAGCCAAGTGGTCGGCTATTAGAATAACCGACCACTTTTTAGAACCACCTCGTTTGCTATGCTCACTTGGTGGTTTATTCGGTGATTATCACACCGGACCAAGGATTATCTCCCCATATACACCTCGGGGTGGGACATTAACCCTATATTACTTCTGAGTGTGCATGTTTTTCCACCAGTCTGTGACCTCTGACACGATGGCGGATGTGGCGTAGAACGGCGCCCTTCGTGTGACGGTCGGTCTGTGTCCCAGACTGATGCGAGGGTGGACTGTCGAGGTTCTGTGGACCAGGCCTCCACCAACTGAGAACGAGAAAACAGTACAATTGTAAAGTTTTTCCATTAAAACACATTGTGTCAAGTGATTCTGAAGTAAACATAGTGTAACACCAGAAAAGGGGGAAAGGTAGACTCTGACTCCCAGGGATCGAACCCATGCCACACGCAGCGTGTCATCTCACAACCAAACACACAACTGCTGGGCCAAATGGTATATAGGGGACCATTGGGCTGGGCAGTTGGTGACACCTACATACTCACTTGAGTTACAATAGCATAATTTCACTTGACATGTGTTGTGTAGTCTACAATACATGTAGCATTTATAGCTTTTGTATTTTCATGTCTTTCTTTGTCTGGCGGATACTATAAGTAGTGTTTTTGAAGGTGTGTCAAGCATGCTCAACTCAGAATATTACATTAAATTTTCTAAATCCCTTTACTTTGATCTCTGTCCTTGGTATCAGATGTCCGAATGCTCCAACAATCACAGAAAATTGGATATTGTTATACATGTACATGTAATGTCATGCTCATGTTGCCTATAGCAAAGAAACAACAAGACTGGCAATGAAAACATACATTGCCATTGCGATGGTGGTTGCTGTTAGGATTATTGTTTGCATGGCACTACCATCATTTCATGATTTTGAGGAAGACCACAAAGCGAGAAACAAGAAGTTTTGGTCCTATGTGAAAAACCAGCGGGCTTCGAATGTCGGCGTTGCCCCGCTTAAGAAAGACGGGCGCCTTATATCGAACCCACAGGAACAAGCAGAAATATTAAATAAACACTTTCAGTCAGTTTTCGGTGATGGTCGAACGTACACCGAAGAGGAGTTTGAGCAGAAGACCGGCATGGAAGACCTGCCCATACCAGAAATGGGTAGCATCGACATCACACAAGAGGGAGTGAAGGTGTTACTGAGAAACCTTAACCCACATAAAGCTGGGGGCCCAGATGGGATTAACCCAAGGGTGTTAAGGGAACTTGCAGAGGAGTTGGCACCTGCTCTGACCACAATCTTTCAGACATCATTAGCATCTGGCACAGTACCAGACGATTGGAGGAGTGCATATGTCACTCCAATTTTCAAGAAGGGGGAACAATACAACCCAGCAAACTACAGACCAGTATCACTGACATGTATTGTCTGCAAGGTTATGGAACACATAGTGGTCAAATCAGTAATGCAGCACCTTGAGTTTCACAATATCCTAAATGACAATCAACACGGTTTCAGACGAAAGAGATCGTGTGAGAGTCAGCTGCTAGAGTTTGTGGAGGAGTTAACGTCAAACTTGGAGAACGGCAGACAAACAGACATATTAATAATGGATTTTGCTAAGGCATTCGACCGGGTAAATCACAGCCTTCTGTCTCACAAACTTAAACGGTACGGAATCCAAGGGACAACACTTGGTTGGATTGCCAGCTTCCTAGAAAACAGACGCCAAGCGGTGATAGTTGACGGGCATCACTCGTCGTATGTCAACGTCCAGTCAGGTGTGCCGCAAGGCTCGGTTCTGGGCCCGTGTTTGTTCTTGGTTTACATCAACGACTTGCCGGATAAGTTGACAGCGCAAGCAAGGTTGTTCGCAGATGATACCGGAGTGTACAAGATCACAACAAACACTAGAAAACAGGAGGAACTCCAACAAGATCTGCAACGCTTGTCAGAATGGGAGAGCTGTTGGGACATGCAGTTTCACCCCTCCAAATGTGTGTCAATGTCAGTAACAAGGAGTAGGAGCCCACATGTGTACTCCTATGTCCTACATGGCCATACATTAGCTAACACTCAAACAGTCAACTACTTGGGTGTAACAATGAGCCGGGAAATGGCCTGGGACACACATATAAACAACACTGTCAACAAAGCAAACCGAGCCTTGGGCTTCCTTAGGCGTAATCTTAAAATATGCTCCAAAAACATCAAGGAGAAAGCGTATAAGACATTTGTTAGGCCTATCCTTGAATACGCCTGTACTGTGTGGGACCCGTACACCAGGAAGGGTATAGATAAAGTGGAAGCTGTTCAGAGGAGGGCAGCGAGATTTGTGCTTGGTCGTTATCACAACACCTCGAGCGTGAGTAGCATGTTAACAACACTGGGCTGGGTGCCACTGGAGGAGCGTAGGAGACTTGCACGAGTCACAGTTCTCTACAAAATCCAACATGGCTTGCTACATTGCCCCATCATTAACAGTAAGCTAGTTCCGCTCCCACCTCGTCAGCGTCGATCGCACGACAAACAGCTACGTGTCCCGTCTACCCGTACACAATACAGGGGAGGGTCCTTCCTGCCTAAGACTGTAAAGGACTGGAATAACCTTGGCAGTGTAGTGGTGGAGGCACCTACAGTCGACACGTTTGTGTCACGTGCCTCCGCCAGTAACTGAGACATAGTACTACACTACGGTCCCCCTACGGAAATTGACCCAGGCTACGGAAAAAGGACTATGAGATTGGATTACGGACTTGGACTTCATTCCATGAGTCACATACTAGTTTAATTCTGAAGTATTGTGCAGAGCGAGAGCACGAACGTTGACGGCACCAGCGCACTCCAGCATGCCAGAGTCATCATTACCATGATGTTGGGCATCAAGGAGAAGAAGAAGAAGAAGAAGACTTGGTACCTGTTAAGTCTAGACAGATACAGTACACTGAGTGCATAGTGAACGGGCCCCGAGGCACAGAAAGTAGGGCCATCTGGGGCAGACAGATCTTCAGGGTTCCAGGAATGTGGGCATAGATGTGGGTCAGAGAAATGCCTGTGGACATTCCGCATGCCTGTGGACAAAATGCCTGTACAATTCCTAGAATTCTTGCGAACTGCACACAATACTGTACCATTAGGCTCCTCCCTGAGACGTTGCCAAAAACTATTGGTACTAGTTATTATAATAGTACCTGGAGTGAGTCGTCTGCCCTGGGACACACATCTTTGCTTATCCCCCTCCTGGTGGTCTTCCCAGGCCTGAGAACAAGAAAAATCAGTCAGCATTTGCATGGTTATCAGAATGAAAATCATTATTCTGGCTGCAACATAAAACTATAAAAAAAAGCATACTCAAAAGACACCAATTCAATGTCTGAGAACTTATGTTTGTGATTGCCTCCTATGCTTGAAACGGCAATAGATGATACTAGTCTCAGTTTGAAATATTGCAGGTATTTTCTGCTACGTATACTATCATATCACAAAATAGACTATTCAGCACCAAGGACAGGCCCCATATCTGGTGTCTCTTTAGGCCACACCAATTTAATTTCTTGGTTAACGGATTTGCCCGCTTCATTTTTTTCTGTTTTGCAAATAAAAATAAAAATTCAGAATCAACTGCAAAATGCTCATATTTTGCCCTGAACAGTTGAAAACAGTCCTTTTCTTCCTAGCTGTTACAGTTATTCCATCTTCCAGTGCAATGGTATCATTAAAAGTTCAAAATTCATTGTTACCTCCATGAAAAATGGAGGTATTGTTTTTGGCGGCGTCTGTCTGTGTGTCTGTGTGTCTGTGTGTGTGTGTGTCTGTGTGTCTGTGTGTGTTTCCGCAACTTTGTAGTCAGCATAACTTCATAACGCCTTTATGGATTGTGATGATATTTGGTATGCTGATAAGTCTTAGGAAGACAAAGGTCAAGGTCAAATATGGGCCTCCTGGTGGATGACCTTGGTACTGCAGCAGAACTTCCGGTTTTTGTATCTTTGGACCTGAACATGCTATGGTCTTGAATTTTTGGTGACAGATAGCTTTTGTTGTCAGGAATAAGTGGTGTGGGTTTGGTCCCCCTAGCAGCTTGTTTTGGAACTGCAGGGCACTTTCTGGCGAAATGTTTAAAAGCCAATAAGTCCAGATAGGAACAACATATTTTCATAATTTTTGGTGTGTAGGTAGCTAAGAAAGAGATGTACATGATTAAATGCAAATTATGCAAATGAGGACTTTATTTGCATAATTAATGAGGAAATTCTATGATTACAGTGTTTTACATTATACTACTTTCATACATGTAATGTATGTAACCTATGGCAGGCAGAACATCAACAGATACTAATTATGCAAATTATGACCTAATTTGCATAATTTATGCAAACATTCTATGATTTCTTAATGGTGAATAATGGGAATGTTATACTTTGGACATCTGTAAGTTAATCAAAAGTTAACATACATCACGATGCATATATCATGTTAATGCGGAGGTAATTTGCATAATTAAAGAGGAAATTTACATTTACATATCAAGCCCATATTTCATGGAGGTATGAGATCTCGGAACTCTTGTTTTTATTTTTTTTTGCCAGCTCCCTCCATTATTTTTCTAGAAAAATCCGTTAACCAAGAAATTAAATTGATGTGGCCTTATCTCCTATACAAAAATCATAGAAACTTGAATTGACAGAAATACCATACTCAGATGTTATCATACCTCATGAAACATGAGCGGACTTCCCCCGGACGCCTTCCGTGCCAGGATGTCCATCTCGCGCGGCGACATCTCGTCGGAAGCGGCGCGGGAGATCTGCTGGTCGACAGGGATGGGGGAGGTGGGGCTGAGCAGGGCCTTCATGTCCTCCCATTGGTTGGCTCTCAGCATGGTGATCATGTTGGACTGGTGCTGGGCTTTCTGTGGGGGGAAAAGGCACACTGTTCATTCATTCATTTCATCATAACACAACTGAGTAGCCCTTTCAACCTAGTCCAGAAATGAGATATGTCACATGAATATTCATGTCCTCCCATTGGTTGGCTCTCAGCATGGTGATCATGTTGGACTGGTGCTGGGCTTTCTGTGGGGTGGAAAGACATGCTGTGGATTCATTCATTACAATGAATGACTGAATGAATGAATGAATGAATGAATGAATGAATGAATGAATGAATGATACTTTATTTCCGTGTCGTGCGCTATCCCGCGCCCAGCCTGTGTGGGCTTATACGACACCGATTCAATAAATTATACATAAACAAAAGACGATCAAAGGAACAGATAACAGAATCCAAACAAAATATGAACGCAAATAAAGGTAGGCTATATACAATAATGGTGAACAAATAAGTGAACTCATAGCAGATCGTAAATACAAATAAACAAATCTGTACATAATGAACCAAGAGTTTACAAAATAAATACAAGAACATAAGGTAAATCAAACATAATAAGAGAAAACAAACATGCAGAAGTAACAAAAAGTGACAACTGTTGATGTGTTATGAATACAGGTATTTTCTTCTTTTCCCCCACGCTCGATAAATGAAAGTTGCTAGGTTTGTGTGTGTGCGTGTGTGTGAGTGTGTGGGTGTGTGTGTATCTGTCTGTCCGTCCGTCCATGATAACTCAAAAAGGCTTAAACGAATTCACAGAATGAGATAGGACTAGACACTGTGTGTGTCTGATCTTCCCAGGCCTGAGAATAAGAAAAAACAGTCAGGATTTGTTCCCAAAAAATGATAACAAACTATGACTGCTGCATGCACAAAAAGCAACACCAAAAGCATATTCCAGAAGACATCATTTCAAGACCTTTAGCTTGAGATTGCTAGTACTATGGTGGAAAAAAAGGTAATTTATGTGCAAAAATAATCTGTTCAGCACCAAGGACAGGACTTATTACTAATTTCTAGTTTTTCTGTCTTATTCAAAACTCATATATAGAAACTTGAATGGACAGATATATCCTGCTCAGATGAAAGGGAAACCTGAGAAAGAAAGGATTTTGAACCTTGCTGTATTTATGAGAGTAGATGTTACATGCAGAACAAAATCACTAACAGAATGAGATAGGACTAGACATGTGTGTGAAGCCTTGGTCACAACCCACCGTACGTGCTTTTTGTCCGTACGTTTTTTGTGAGGCTACGTCTGCTACGTTTTTTCTGAAAGCGTGGGAAAGGAGTGGCGTCGACACACGTCACTCGCACGGTTGCGCAAGGTGTAAGAGTGTGATCTGCATGCCAAGTCTGGCCGTAAGCGGTTGCGTGCATCATTTGTTGCGCAAGTGGTAAGTGAATGAGTCAACTTGTACGTGCTTACAACGTAGATCTCTGTGCGATTGCAACTTTACTGTAAGGAGGCCATACTCACACGTGCTTCTTCCGCACGGTATGTACGGGCACGCGCGTCGCCCGTACTCGCACGCACGGGTGGTGAATCCGCAGACCGCACGTAGAAAAAGTTTTACATGCACTTAAAGTTCTACGGCGTGTCTGTGTGCTCCTAAATCCGTAGGATTCCGTACGGAGGTGGTACTCACCACGCACGGATGCCCTACGTTTGCCCATGTTTTTGCACGTAGACAGAACGCAGAAGCACGTACGGCGGGTTGTGACCGTAGCTTAACAGAATGAGATAGGACTAGACATGTGTGTGAGTTTTGTTCGGTTACCATTCTGGACCTCTTGAGACACTTGTCCAGCCAGCTGCGGATGGTCTGTTTGGCCACCTCCTCCTCTATCACATACTCCAGCTCCTCTCTGGCCAGGAGCTCCTCCAGCTGCAGACACTTGGAGATGTCCACCGACCGGTAGGCTAGCATGCTGACAACAGACACAGTACACAAACTTTTCACTACAATGTTTCATCTCATCATCATCATCAATCATCCTCCGAAGAGGTGGAGCATACAAAGTTAGATCTCCAGAACTTTCTGTCCTTCATTGCAGAGATTAGTTCCAGGCCCTGTAAGCCTGTTTCAGTTTCTATAAGTTTCTTAACCCTTGTCCTGCTGTGTGCAACATATGTCGCGCGGCACATACAGTACCATCTATATATCACCCTGTATAGCTACGATTTGGGGGTATTTCGTTTGTTACGTTTGGCCGTCCAACTCTTCTTTTTGTGTCAGGGTTCCAGAGTAGAGGCCTACTGGCTGGTTCTTCACTACGTACAACATGACCGGCCAAGCTTAGTCGTTGACATTTAACTACTGTAGTTACATTTGGTAACGAACCATATAACTGTTCATTAGTAGTGTGTTTCCACCATGGTGTACTAAAAACCACTCACAACATCTTCGTGTATGTCCCGTTTAGTTTTCTAGAATGTGACATATTCATGACCCATGATTCTGACCCATACAAAAGAATTGTTTCAATACATGCCTTAAACACTTTGATCTTAGTTTGTTTTCTAATGGGCGCTTTCCAAATCTTATGTAATGAGTGAAGAGCACATCCATGTTATGACCACTATCAGAGTACCCTCCTAGGTATTTGAAATCCGCAACACATTCGATTTCAGTGGCGAAAAGTAAACTGTCAGTAGTTGGGTTTAGGTGGCTGCATGAACTTTGTCTTGGAAGCGTTCAGGTATAACAGAAATCCAATTGTGTAGTATTTCATTTGTATAAGCTGATGTGTTAAGCAGGATGGCAGTGAACTCTTAATGCGCAATCATTGAGCATACAGGTACAATCATTACTGATAAAATGTTCTAGTCCTGTAAAGATGTAAAAGTAAAGAAGACCCCTACATGAGAACCTCGTGAAAGGTGACGTCCTCCCCGTTGTGAAGCCGCTCCAGTTCATGGATCATGTGTTTGAACAGTAGCTTGTCTTTCTCAAGGTCAACCTCCTGACGACCCTATGGGATGAAATGATACGAAATATACACAATAGTTATTTTTAGTACCAGTAGGCATTCTTCCATCTCGAAAAATGATATTCAGCACTCTGGTGGCCATGGGTTACTAAGTGTCTGGTGTCTCAAGTGACTTAGTCCTATCCTAGCATGGCAACTGCCAACGTTTGGACACAAAGTACCAGTAGTCTTGTACCCAATAAATGGTCTGAACCCAAATCCTTACCCTGAGCAATCGTAGAACAAACTTGACCTTGCGCACTGGGAGGATGCCCTGTGGAAACAGAACAATACACTTTAAAGCTTCTTCGCAATCAGTCATATCAAAAGGTTTTCATCCTATTCTTATCATAAGAAACTTGAAGCAAGAGTGACAGTTTAATAGCCTTGTTTCAACAGTAGTCCCAGATCAACAAGAAAGACTACAAACTACAATTCTGTGTCTGTATCAGTATAGCTGGTATAACCGCCCTTTGGCATATCACACCAGCTCCGCGGGCACATGGCGCAGTGGCACTCATTACACCGAACGACTTGTTACACCTAACCCTTGAACATCTAACTCTAGACATTGTTTAAAGCTTTTTTTTTTACAATCTATATACTCTATTTATACTGTACTTGGTGACAGCGAGTTCCACTCTGCGTTCAAAATAAATTGTCAAACACCTCAGTCAATCCTTGGTTGATAACTCTGGTACTTGAAGGCATGGCTATTGAAATTATTGCAAGACAGGAGACGTACCCGTCTGTTGATGTCCACCATACTCCAGGTGACTTGGAAGTTGTGCAGGTCGCTGTAACTGATCAAAGCATCCTCCTCTCCAGAGTAGAACAGGGAAAAGTTCTCCAGGATAATAGCTAAAAAATAATCCCAACAAGAAGCCATAGGCGACAATTCTCCGTGAAGTATTATATATTGCAACAAAAAGAAGTAGCCATTGGCGACAATTCTCTGTGAAGTGTGATAAATCGAACAAAGAAAAATTGTTTAAACGCGCGTCGGCTCAGTCATCTTAAGACGCAACAACCAATCAGAGATGCGAGATGCCTACACGTGACGCGGGAAGGGCGCGCGATGCCCGAAATATTTTTGCGTCAATATTCAGCGCCGTGATTCAAGAGATTAATACCCGGAAACAATTTTTTTCTTGTTTTGAACGCATTAACATGCATTTACGCTAATCTAGTATGATTCAGGGTTACTTTTTTTTTAACCTGCCATGGCCAGATTATCTAAAGATGTGTGTATTGTGTGTACAATCTATAGAAAGAGAAATGTACATCAGGTCCGATCATCCGATTTTCACGTTTCGGTTTTTTGGACTCGGTTCATGAACGTATTTTGGTTTGGCTCCTGGAATGTGCAAAAAAATGACTCCCGGGACTGTCTACAGGGAACACTCGCACATTCGCGGTGTATCAGGACAGCGCGACTGGTCGTCATTAGCGCAGTAACAGTTGCATAAACGGACGAAACCATTTCAAAGAAATGGGGATGTTTCGAAAATAAGCATTTACTCCAATATCAAAACAGCTACGGTAAAAATAAAAAGACGTGCATCATCCCGGACATAATGCAACACCACATGCGAAATTACACAGAAATGCGACGTACGGAAGAATGCGTTTTGGCTGCGAACATCTTCCAAAAAACTTGGCATCTCTTAACCATGGGCAAAAACATCTGGAACCACTTATAAAAACCACCCCGTATCTGCATGAACTTTTTTGAACCCCACTGCTATTCCAAACAACGCGTTTTTCTGGACCATTCCAATTCGCCTCGTAATTGTAGGGGTGCGTCTGCGATATTACATTGACCGCGAAAGCAGCAACGGCAAAAATACACATTCGTGCATCAACACGGGCATGCCCGCAGACAGCGTATAAAATTGCGTGCCGATTACACAAAGAGAACCCAGTGTTTTGACTGCGAACATGAAAAATCAGCCGATTACAACACTCCGTCCGGAGGTCCTGACCTCCTTCACGGAGTAACAATATATAACTGTATGCATAATCATGTATTTACCATAAGTTCCATCATCATTTTCCTAACCAAAACAGAACGTAAAGTTTGTTGATTCTAAAATTGTATAGACGTACAGCATTTTTCATCTACTTCAAGTTTCTTTATCATAAAAATTCAAATTTCAATCTGGTACTTAAAAACAATTGACATTTAATGACAATATGTCAGCACATTGACATATGTATAATTACATTAAGTCTAGAGTAACTGATTATGAATTTGAACATTTTTATGGCCTTTACCGACTAGCAGGTTGAGCATGATGTAGGCTATGATGATGTAGAAGGAACAGAAGAAGAGAAGTGCAGCTGTGGAGTTTCCACAGTCTGTCTCCCAGTAGTTCCTGCCTACTGTGCAGATAGGAGGACTGATCTGGGAAGAAAGAACAAATTAAATAATTAAAAGCATTTAAAAGACTGTTAAGAGGATTTAACCAAAGTATCAAATATCAACCCACAGGACAGAGACAAGTGCTGCCATCAAGCCTCAGTTGTACAGTGCAAGCACGTCTAACCCTCGGAAGACGGGGAACAGACGATAAACCGGACAGTGAGTGTGAGTGAGTGTGTAGTACTACAATAACTCACAAAGTTTAATGTTAGTCTCAAACTGTTAAACTATCACTGTGACATTATTCAATGTTAAATTTTTTTTAATAGCATTTCTCTGTAAATATTTCCAAATAGGTAGTGAGTGGATATGTGTGTGTGCAAATCATTCAGTGTAATGTAGCCAGCTGCCGCCGTGCCATGTGCCTGCGAAGCTGGTGTGTTACACCAAAGGGTGGTTATATATACCGGCTATACACTCACTGATACTATGGAGATACAGAAGCTGGTGTGTTACACCAAAGGGTGGTTATACTGGCTATAGTGTACAGATACAGAATATACAGTTTGTTTGAAGCATGGAGTGTGTGCGTGCGTATGAGAGTGTGTACTTTGTGTGTGTGTGCATGCATGCATGCATTCATATGTGTGTGTTTTTGGTTCTTACCATACAGTCATGCATGATTTTGTTCCAGTCCTCCCCAGTGATCATACGGAACAGCACAGACAGGGCCTTAGGTGCAGTGGAGAAGTTAGCATGTCTACAGGAGCAAAAACATGTCCTCAGTACTTACGAAAAACAATTTCAAACTCAAGCAAATAAAATATAAAGACAATCAAGAAACATTGCCCTATTGAGAAGGCATATGTGGGCGATGCCTTTTGCAGTTTGCAAGGTTGTTGTTTGTGCACTGGTTCTGTCAGTTGTGCAGTACTGCGCACCAGTCTTAGCCAACATGTCAGACTCCAACATGCGCAAACTGCAAGTAGTGCAGAATAGGGCATGTAGACTGTTACTGAAATGTACTCCTGATACTCCTACCAGGCAGATGCATCTAGATCTTGGTTGGCCGACTGTGAGAGAGAGATTCTTGAAAAGCACTTTGGTCATGTTCTTTAAGATCCTCACGAGTCACAAACCACAAAATATTTACAACTCCCTTTTGCCCGTTCATGCATCTCACAGTCATAATACCAGATCTTCCGCACATAACTTTAGATTACCAATACCTAAGTCCAATAGCAGAAAATGCTCATTCCTGTATCGTGCAGTCGTGCTCTGGAACGATCTACCATCTGACGTTAAGACACTGTGCGATGTTATCAGTTTTAAGAAAGCCATTTCAAACAGTAGTAGTGTCACCTGATCCTTGACCCTTGCTCGCTACTTTTAAATTGTTAATATCTATGTGTATTTATTGTTGATGTGGTGTACATGTATGTATGTATGTATTTTTAAATGTTTCTACTATATTGTAATTATGTAATTTTAATTGTTTGAGCCTTGGAAGATTAGCCCTTCGGGGCTAAAAGGTTTCGAAATAAATGAAATAAATGAAATTTGATAGTTAAGAAGTCCAGCACTGTCTACTTAATACGTAATATACATACAAAACTGGACCATGTGTGTTACACCTAAAAACGGTTTCACAGTTGTGGAAAACACAGAACACAGACTATGAGAAACCTAAAAAATAGCCTTTGTAGATGTACACAAACACTAGCTGCTAATGTTGATCATTTGACAGCACAACTTAGTTCTGAATCAGTGACTTTCTACTAGACAGCAGACAGTGTTATACACCCATGGAAGGGTGCCTGCTTGAGTTCTCTCCATAAAACAATGATAAATATTTTAACATTGACAGCACAACTTACTTCAATGACAGACAGAGGACAGACAGTCTCTGACACCCACAGAAGACTGACTACCTGCTTAAGTTCTCTCCGTACTTGACACTGCCGAACAGCACCACCCCTGCCAGGGAGTAGGACAGCATCAACAGGAACATCCCAGCTATGATGAAGAAACTCTTCAACATGCTGACAACTACAGTCAGGAGTAGCATCTTTAGGGTAGCCTGTGGAGGTGGAAACAAACTGTGCATTAAGCTAAAACTATTTATTTATTTATTTATTTATTGAAAATGCAACAAGACATTACACTGACTCTCAAGGCAGCAAAGCTGATGTTAGAGAGTCAACACATAAGGACAAAACATATAGGACGCATAATATCAACAGTGTGAAATTACAAAAAAAAAATGATCATAAGAACCTATATCATTCCAATTAGCCGAGTAAATATATGTACACATCTAAAATAACACATTTGGAGGTCAGAGGTCGATAAAATAAGTCACAGTCAGACTACCTTATATGAGAAAAAAAAGGATACTAAATAACAAGGTTAGAAAGGAACAGCTGGAAGTGCCTAGAAACGGTTTGTTGAAGTGATGTAAGTGTGGAAGGAGTGTGAGAGGCTTTCGTTTAATGTGATGTCATTGCCCGGGGACCCGTTGAGTAGAACGCTGGTGGAGAGGGGCCGTCTCACGAGGCGGTACACAGCAGTGGCAAGGTCTTGTCGTGCCGCTGCGTGCAGTGGGCAGTGCAGGAGGAAATGTGTAACTGTCTCCGAGGTTGCACCACAGGCACATCCCCGGCCGGTAAGGTTAAACTTGGCCAGCGTGGAGTTAAGCTAAAACTATAGATATGCATGTGTATGCATTCCCTTCAAAAATTATTTTAGAGATGTACCTTATAAGACATCCCAGTAGGGAGAAGTGGACAGATAAACTAAGATAAGTACTCCTTAAAAATCATGCTTAGTGATAATAAGATGCCGCAAAAATTTAGGAGCTCTTTACAAAAGTACTCTGTATTCATCATGAACATATAAAAAAAGTAAAATATCAAAATATGACTAAAGGTTAGGAGCTATTAAAACAAATTATTATCATAGAGTGTAAAGCTTGAATTGGATGAACTAGCTTGTGTTACAATGAATTAAGTAAAAACATTGCTGTAAGTTATACTCACATGTTTGCCAGTGATGGAGAAAAATCTCAGCATGATGACCACAGCTCCCATAGTGTTACTGTACTCATCCTGTAGGGCAGGAAAATGACAATAATCACTGTACTAACAGTAGTTACTAGTAGTATGTTGTGTTTGGAGTTTTGGAGTTGGTCTGTCCTTGGTGCTGAAATCGGTATCTTCTATTGTTTAACAATAGAGGATACCAATACAAATAAAATACTTTCTGTAGTGAATGTCCTTCAGTTAATGAGCCTATTTTACCATTTAGGGGGTTTTCTATTCTGTCAACCATATTTAACAGCACATTTTCATGTAGGAAAACATGACAAATTTAAATTATGATACAAACTAAATTAGGGAACTGGATAAATTATCAGGAGACATACGTTTTGAGATTGCATCTACTATCTTGTAGTGACTGAGAATTACACATTGTCTAATTCAGCTTCTATTATCAAATGTTCTACCTGGATTTCCAACCTTCAACTACTTACTTTTAAGGAATGCAAGAAAATTATTTCCGACCACTTCCAAAAGAAATAGCGACTTTGTTAAAATTCGCCTGTATAACGCGTTTCATGGTGTAAATAATAGGTTTGAACGGAAAAAAACGTCCAAAATTACATTATACGTGTAATGTGCGGATTTTTTTTTAAAAGGTCGGGAGTATTTTTCTTGCACTTCTAACACCTCAGAGGGACGTTAGGAATGCAAGAAAATTATTTCCGACCATTTCCAAAAGAAATAGCGACTTTGTTAAAATTCGCCTGTATAATGCGTTTAAGGCTTTAATAAGATGTTTCTTTACCTGTAGAGAGAAGTGCATGGCCATCCAGACGACGCCCAGCGTGGTGACAAACATGTCATAACGGTTCCTGCGACTCTGCCAGTACCCAGGCAGACCCATGGCTATGGTCTTCATCAACACCTGGGGAATAGAAGATGAACAAAAGACAATGACAGCAGAATCAACTTACACTTAGAACGAGTAGCATGCGCAGTCCAGTGGTTAGCGATCCTGCCTCTGGACTAAGAGGTTGGGAGTTCGAATCCCGGCTGTTGTCGCTCATCCGACATGCATGCTACTGTTTAGGATCGCAGTTCTTAGGACGGGACGTTAAGCTATGGTCCACTGTTCATTGTGCTTGTCAAAAGGAGTTAGGGTACAATGAACCTGTAAATACTGTACATAGCGTCTGTCTTCTCTGTCACGACCAGTGAAAGATTAGCTCTTCAGTGAGCTAAACTGGTTTGAGATCACTTTCACTTACAACGGAACAACTTAGAAAAGGTAAGAATGATCCTCGGGTTCTGAATGGCCAACATGATGTTATGTGATTGAGCATAAAATGAACCAGTCTGGTCCAGTGTTTCTTTCATTTTGCCAGAGGTTCTACTCACCTCTAGTAGGAAGAGTGTAGTGAAGACTACAGAGGTGGTGGCCAGCGGAATGGTGCTGTCTGCATTCACACGCCACTGGGGAAATAGTAGCAGGTTACAGAAACTCTGGCTGATTATGTGATAGTGATAAAGTACACTGATAGTGTAAAGGAAGGTAAACATATGACAGCACCAAACGTGTTTCATGACTCACCAAAGAAGAATAACAAAAAAGATATTTTTATTCTACCAAATAAAATATTTTTAAAAAATGTTATAAATTGGATTGAGATGACTAGAGACTGCAAAAATGTATTTGTTTTACAAAATCTAAATCTCAAATGTACCTTGACAGACAGAAGGCTGCAATTGGCCAACACCAGCAGGGCGATAAACCTCTTAAACACGGCATGCTGGGTAATGTCAAACAGTTTCCCACGCAGTCCGTTACCATCTGCAACCAGAGAAAGGAGACCATGTTTAGCACGTTGCCAAGTCTCCCATTCAATGGTGTGACAGTCACTACATCACATTTCTAGCAGCCTTCCACTGGTCAGGTCTTTCTTAATCCTGGTTTCCTGGTGGCAGAGAATCCTGAGCTCCTATTGGACTGATTTTAGTAGTGATGAAGAATCCTGAGCTCCTATTGGACTGATTTTAGTAGTGATGAAGAATCCTGAGGTCCTATTGGACTGATTTTAGTAGTGATGAAGAATCCTGAGGTCCTATTGGATTGATTTTAGTAGTGATGAAGAATCCTGAGCTCCTATTGGACTGATTTTAGTAGTGATGAAGAATCCTGCACTCCTATTGGACTGATTTTAGTAGTGATGAAGAATCCTGCACTCCTATTGGACTGATTTTAGTAGTGATGAAGAATCCTGAGCTCCTATTGGACTGATTTTAGTAGTGATGAAGAATCCTATTAGCTCCTATTGGACTGATTTTAGTAGTGATGAAGAATCCTGAGCTCCTATTGGACTGATTTTAGTAGTGATGAAGAATCCTGAGCTCCTATTGGACTGATTTTAGTAGTGATGAAGAATCCTAAGCTCCTATTGGACTGATTTTCATAGTGATGAAGAATCCTGAGCTCCTATTGGACTGATTTTCGTAGTGATGAAGAATCCTGAGCTCCTATTGGACTGATTTTAGTAGTGATGAAGAATCCTGAGCTCCTCTTGGACTGATTTTAGTAGTGATGAAGAATCCTGAGCTCCTATTGGACTGATTTTAGTAGTGATGAAGAATCCTGAGCTCCTATTGGACTGATTTTAGTAGTGATGAAGAATCCTGAGCTCCTATTGGACTGATTTTAGTAGTGATGAAGAATCCTGAGCTCCTATTGGTAGTTCAAGAAGTGGGCATGGTTCTCTCAAGTTAGAGGTGCATGGCTACAAGCTCTTGGGAAGGAGGCCCAATCAGCCCAAAAGTGATATATTATGTAATATAGGCTACATGTACCTAGTAGACAGAAGTACATAAATGATGGGTACCTGGCCTTGGAGGAAGATGCAGGGGCTGAGCGATCTTCAGACGCTTCTTCAGGTCCACCCATCGTCTCTGTTCCACAGTCAGCAGAGCAGAACCCTACAAATAATGCATAAATATTATTTAACACAATACCCACCCTCACTTTGTCTGTATGCCTCAGAACATGAATCTATAGCTTACTCACTTACTATCCAGTTTAGCATCAGTTGTTCCCCATCCTCTGAGACGTGGTGGTTGCACACCAATGCTGAGGCTTGATGGCATTGAATCATTTGCCATTGCCTGCCATTTGCCTCTGTTTTGTGAGTTCAGTCATTATGTGGAAGCTCTTTGTGTATGCTATGTGATGCATACTTCAAACTAGGACTTCAATGTACATTGAGGAGAATACGATGCGCTGTGCTCGACTTGATTTTAATTATTAGCTATGCTTAAGGGTCTAAAAGAAACACTAGAAATTGTTAACCACTTATAATGTTGTAAGCCCACCTTGTTCTCATAGAAGTTTGCGATGACGACTCCCACAAATAGTGTGAGACCAATCATACAGCCCAGGAACACAAACACATGGATGTAGATACCATGGTACTGGAACAACAGAAACATGAACAACAAGATAAAGTTGGAAAATACTTTAGTTTAAAGGCTATTAAATACATACAATGATTATGAGTCATATTAAGAATTTAGGGCAACCAACATGCAAGTTTTACTGTAAGTCACATTTTTTGTAGTACTTTGAAATTCATATTTGTGGTTTTCATGTTCACTTCTCTACCGCAAAATTATCATTACTGTGAAAAGATAATCCGGTGACTTTCTTTTTCTGCACCTGCCGCCACCGCTAACATTTATTCTGCGAACACCAGTCCTCTATTTTTCTCAGACCTCAAACATACAGTGATTTACAGTATTCGAACATACGTAGCAGCTTTAGAATCAAACTCTTCAGAAACAAAGTGTTAGTTTTATCACAAAATGTAACTGTTACTTTACACCAAAGATATTCTTCCCAAAAAAAACTGGCTACTGGCATAGGAAAGGAAATTAGAATATAGAACAGCTGACACATACCGGGCCAACCTGTTTGACCATGATATCCCTGACTTCCAGCCAACCCTCCAATGACAGGACCTCAAACAAAGCCAGCATGGCGTTGGCAATGTTGTCAAAGTTAAAGTTCCTGGGATTGGCCCTGCAAGTGGTAAAGGTTCAAGACAAATACCACCTGTAGAAATTATCTATTACAGTTACTGTACAATAATTATTATGCCTAAAAATATCTCAAGTTAGAAATTTATACATCATATAAAAGATATAATTATGATACCAAAAATCAACTAGTAAGGATTTTCTAAAATGTAAACCATGCCAATGCATGCATACTATATATCATTATTAAAAAAGCATGAAACATGTAGCTTACCAAACTCTTGGCACCAACATTTTTGGAGCCAGGTCATGACTGTTGTCAGACTGACCAATGGGCAGCTTCGTTACATGCATCCCTCTCCAGAATGCTCCCACACATTTTTCCTAGAGGCAACAACATGGCTAAAGAATGATGATTTTGCTACTAATGCAAGACTTGGAGAATAGCATTTTAACAACAAAGTCTTGTTTGGTTTAAATAAAATTATGCCTGCTACAGAGCACTTATGGCAGTGGACACAAAGCATTATCAAGACAAGATTACAGCCCCCCAGATAATAAAATGATTTTGTGGGATCTTGTGTCTTGGGAAACACACTTAACACAACTTTCTTCACTTCACTCGGGTGGAAATCTGTACTTAAATAGCTTCGGTTTGGGATGGCCCTTGGATAGGATGTTAATGGGAGGTCCCGTGTTTGGAGAGACACACACACACTCAGTTTAAAGATCCCGCCACACTTATTGAAAAGAGTAGGGGTCCTTCCCGGTGTGAGTGGTTCAAACCTTACAGGCTGGTCTTACATAGTTTATACTTACATGTACAAAACTGGTGTGTTATGTCTAAAGGCAGTTTACTGGTTACAAACAACAAACTTCAGTACATTTCTTGCTGGAATACGTACCTTGAGTGTGATGGTTGGATCGTTGCACCTGGCCAGCTTCCCTGCAAACAACTGAACCCCAAAACTGGCAAACACAAACATCAGGACCAGCAGGAGGATGGACACCTGCAATACACAGTAAAATCCAGGTTCATACACAGGGATTCGGTACTTCTAGATAATGTTAAAGGCATCAAATGCGATTTCAGGGCAGCAATACTGGACACATTTTGGATAAGGCAATCTTTGTGATATTGATGCATACTGCTTCACATTGGCACATTAAAAATTTTGAGTCAGTATTTCATACTTTGGGCTTTTAAAACTGCAGAACCAAGCCCCAAGATGAGTCCTTTATTTTCTAGGTGGGACCCTAAAAATCATCCCAGTGCCCTTGCAGGAACCATTTTCCGTCAGAATTTTGGGATGTTTGCTTCATGAGGGTCGATATACATTGGGATAGTGTTGTTTCAACTCAGTATGTAGAAAAATGACTAGAATGTTGAATTTGAAAAATCGGATTCCAAGCCCTAAAAACTGCACTGGATACCTTTAATTCACATCTGCTAGACAGTCACATACATGTATCATGCAAAAATGCAATATTTCTGATGCAAAACTGTTTTGTATCATAGACTGGTTGTATCGTACATTGCTGTCTATTGGTGGTCCAAACAATTAAAGGGAATCTTTACATAGCTTGTTGGGATATGGCATTTATGGCAGTAAATGTCAACATCAGATATACTTCAGAATAATTTTTGAGGGGTTTTGACACCCTGAAATTGCATTGGATGCCTTTCACATAAAAGCATTACATCTTGTAAGTTCTCAATGACTGTAAAATCTAGTAATCCTCCACTGCAGCTGCATCATTTTGATCATACCATGGCCACCTCCTTCCAGCTCTTGAGCAGCTCCATCACCACCCGCCTCATGTGGGGAACCAGCCGGAAAATCCTCACAGGGCGCAGGCAACGGAATATCAGCAACAGCTGGGAAACACATGAAGGAAAAAACATAAATTGTTTTACATTGTTTTGAAGCTTGCAGTCAAAATAAAAAAGTATACTATCTAACTGTAGTGCAAAAACACATATTTGCAGTGTGGTTTTGATTTTTTTTAACCTTGACACTTGCAGGGCCAATCCCAGGAACTTTAACTTTGACAACATTGCCAATGCCATGCTGGCTTTGTTTGAGGTCCTGTCATTGGAGGGTTGGCTGGAAGTCAGGGATATCATGGTCAAACAGGTTGGCCCGGTATGTGTCAGCTGTTCTATATTCTAATTTCCTTTCCTATGCCAGTAGCCAGTTTTTTTTTTTGGAAGAATATCTTCGGTGTAGGAAAAAACATAAATTGTTTTACATTGTTTTGAAGCTTGCAGTCAAAATAAAAAAGTATACTATCTAACTGTAGTGCAAAAACACATATTTGCAGTGTGGTTTTGATGTGGCAAAATGAGGACTACAAAAGTGTCAAGGAAAGATTTACACTTAAATTTGTGTAAAGTTCAAAGAGGCTTAAACATTGAAAAGTTTACATTATTGAAACAGACACCCTACCTGGGCCCCAGAGCGAGGTGGAACACTTGTAGGCAGCCAACACAGCAGGATCAAACTCACCTGTGTGGGGACACAAAAACAGTTTGGTCAGAAAATTTTGAAATTTACTGTCATATTATAGAAGCATTACTGATGATAGACAGCTGTTAAACAGTAATAGTTACTTGTACCATCACAAAATGATTGTTTGAACATATAAAAGCAAGAATACAATGTACCAAGTAGATGAAAATGTCCAGGACTCCCCCAAAGTCTCTGATCAGGGCCTTTGGAGTGAAGAACATCCCATCAGCCAGGATCTAGGCAGGAAAAAAGGCAGGTTTGGGATGGTTTTAAATACATACTAGTCCAGTAGCTGCCACACATTTGTTGATAGAATAAGGATCTGTCCTTGGTGCTGAACCAGACTATTTTTTCCATTCAAGTTTCTATGAGTTTTGTATAAGAGAAAGAAAAACATGTCTAGAAATGTGAACAGGCCCTGTCCTTGGTGCTGAACAGACTATTTTTTTGCACTCAAGTTTCTATGAGTTTTGTATAAGAGAAAGGAAAACATGTGAACAGGACCTGTCCTTGGTGCTGAACAAATTGTTTTGTTTATTCAAATCTCTATGGCTTAAAGTAATGATAGCCATGCAGAAATTGTAACTATTTGAGTATAGAATACTGTGAAATAACTTATCATACCTTCAGTGAGAGTTCCACACTCATGGCAATGACAAATGTGTATTCAGCAACCTGCAATGTGAACAACAAAAATAAGTATCTTTAATGATATAATTGTTGACTGTATTTCACACCTTGTACATTATTAACCTTTTACTTGGTAGCAGTGAGCACCAAGCCAAAAGTCCAACTCAGAACTCAGTCCATTGGACTACATACACTACAAGTGACACTAAATGTTCCGAAGTATGTATAATTGTACATGTACAGGAAGGAAATTAAAGCTGGTCCTCTCACCAGTAGAGATGTGGTGTTGGAGATGCGACGTTTTGGTGTCTCAAACATCATGGACACGCAGGACAAGATAGTGATGATGATCATCACCCAGTCTATGTAGGGCACAATGCCCAGCAGTTTACTGGAAAATAATGCAAATATTTTAGCACAATTATCATGTAAGCTGCAGCTGTTTTCATATATGTATCAAATATCATTTTTGATAAAATTGTCATAGTTAGCAATCTACACTGCAAAAATTTCAAAATTCACCATTATGTGAAGTGATGGTTGATACTTACTGTATTCTGTTGGTCAACAGACCACCTTTGGTTGACACAGTCCTGGAAAAAGAAAAAAAAACAAAGTCCCTTATGAAACTCCATGAAAAGTATTGATAGTACAAATGTAGTATTTAAACAAAATTCAACTCAGGCTATGCATATGACCTGCCCTTGGTGCTGAAGATAACAGTTTTTGCTGGTTGATTTTTAAAACAGTCTTAAATCTTAACATGTGTGGGGTCATGTGGTGTAGCGGCAGAGTGCGCGACTCGGAACTAAGAGTCCCGGGTTCGAGTCCTGACATGCCACCGATCTTGTGCCCTTGGGAAAGGCGCTTTACACAGCTTTCCTAACTTAGCTCAGGTGTAAATGAGTATTGTCCTGTCATGTATTTGTCCCCTGTGTTGGTGGCGGCATTAATATAAGTTGAAGAAACTTGAGTGTGTCGTCACCATGTCTGGTGATTACATGTTGGAATAAAAAAAATCTTAACATGGGTATCTATCCTTAGTGAAAATGGTTTATATCTGGCTGTAGAGATGTTCATGAGAACTTACTTGGAATATCGTGCGTACACAATGGCTTTGCAGACCAATCTTAACTTGGAGTTTTCTGACAGGAAGAACAGAGGTGTGTCGAAGTATGGGTGATTCTCTCTCAGTTCCTCTTCTTGGACTTTCCTGTGAAGACAGATTACTTTTATACAAAATGCTCTTAATAATGGGCACAACATCTTAATCTACAAACCCTTGGAGATGCATAATTTTTACCAATTGAAAGTAAGCTAGCGTACTAGCCAGTTGTTTTGCCATTTGATGAAATTTTACTGCTCATGATTGACAAAATTTTGCTATGATTGTTAGATAGAGATCAATATGATGTTCTTAAAACAAAATGAATATGACTGATAAAAATTCAAGGCTGGCTAGAACAATGAATTGTACATAAGAATGTAATTTTTGGATTGAAAGAAAAGGTAACAAAAATGCAAGGAAACATTTTAACACAAGACTTAAAAAAGTAAAAAGTGTAGAAGCTTTAAGACAGCATCTGCCATCTGTCTTCAGCTACTTACTACTAGCAAATATTGCTTCATCTTTAACACACTGAAGTATTTCTTAAGGCTATGATTTCTAAATTGGATATAAGGTTGTAAAGCAGGGAGAAACACTAGCAATACTACATCCAGCTATACTACAGCTACTGGACCACAACACACTGAGCCATTCATTCATTCATTTATTCCTAGTCCAGGTCCATTTCACCTTTTAAGCTCAGCCTGTTGTCTTTTCTGATGTAACAGTTTGATGTTCATCTCCTTGGCATCTCTACGGTACCCAAGAGTGGGAGGGTTGTCCTGTAGAGAAAAATATATCATCATCATCACATAATTCTACTATCAGCTTGTAACAAAACTTTTAAGAACTTTTCCTGCTAGAAATTCAAAAGACTGCAGTAGTGCATGAAGTTGCCCCCCTCCCCAATATGGAGGTCACAAAATGAAACAAACTTACACTGTTCGCAAATGTTGAACAGGCATGTCAGATATGAATAGGGTGTGTTTTTGATGTTAAGTGACTATTTTTTACCTGATAGGTTGAAGTTTCTATAAGATTTGCACATTAGAGAAAGAAACACTAAGGAATTCTTATAAGTCAGATAAAAATAGGGCCTGTCCTGGGTGCTGAAAACAATGTTTTGGCCATAATGTTTCGGAAAGTGTCATTTTTTGGCAACAAATAGAAAGATTGGTTACTGGTAAAAGAATTGTGCCATACCTGGCTATTGTCCTTCATTCTCTCCAGTGTCTTCTTGGTGTCTTTGTTGGTATTGTGGCGCAGAGACCTGGGAAAGGAAAGATAATTGATTACTAGTACTTGTGTTATGTCAAACAGAGTTGTAAATGATGACTATAGTAATTGACAGACAGACAAAAAATGTAATAGGCCTTTGTATATCAGTAGAAAGCAAGGTAAGCCCCAAGCACTCAACAAAACAAACAAACAAAAAACAAACAAACACTTAGACTTCCTGGAAGAGTGATAAGCCAAGCACTTTACTGTATAAAAGCAAGATACATTTGTAAGCCCTGAACACTCAACAAACAAAACAAATAAACAAAACAAACAAACAATCAATCAACTTAGACTTTCTAGAAAAGCAATAAGCCAAGCACTTTACTGTATAAGATTTGTGAAAACTATTATGATTGCTAATTTTATCCAGACCAAGAATACAGATATTTTTTAAACATTTTTTTCTAAAACCCCTTTTCTGAAATTTAATACATTCCCACTTACAATTTCTTACAGTCTGTCCTTTGAAAACAACAAATGGTTGCTTACATGTACCTCCTGTCAGCCCTGATCTGGTGCTGTATTCCCAGGAGACTAGGGCTGGTGGAGGCTGGTGGTACAGTCAAGCCTGACGACTGTTTAATGTCATTACATGCCCTGTAACAAGTGTCAATAGCATGAAATCAAACTTTAAAGTTGTACAGTATCATCCAATATGTCTTTAAAGAGGGGGCAGTATGGAAAAGTATGTTGACTATGGAATACTTAATAAATGTAACTGCGGGGTCGTGTGGCGTAGCGGCAGAGTGCGTGACTCGGAATAAAGAGTCCCAGGTTCGAGTCCTGACATGCCACCGATCTTGTGCCCTTGAGAAAGGCACTTTACGCGACTTTCTTCACTTAGCTCAGGTGTAAATGAGTATTGTCCTGTCATGTATTTGTCCCCTGTGATGGTGGCGGCATTAATATAAGTTGAAGAAACTTGAGTGTGTCATCACCACGTCTGGTGATTACATGTTGGAATAAATTTTTTTTTAAATGTGCAGTTAAATTCATAGTCTTCTGAGACTGACCGATAGAGAAAGAGATCAGAATACTACTATGCATTTGTTACAGTTTGGTTTCAGTGATACTGCAAGAAGAAAAAGAAGAATAAATAGTTGTAACTGCTAACAAGATAAAACATTTCTGAATGAAACATTTTCAGACATGGCCTGACCTGATTTCCTCAGCGACCCTTTCATTCTTCTCTCTCATGTTTACAGTCCTGGGTCGCACAGGACATGTCAGCAACTGGGAATGGAATTAGGAAACATACTATGACCCAATTATAACAGTACACTAACTAGACACTAACATTTGCCAAGCAAATGCATAATTTTCATATGCATATGGTCTGCTCTGTTTATTCTTACTCAAACTCAGGGCAGCAAGGCTAGCTCTTGGTTGTGATCGGGATGCACATGTGGACACCATGCTGAAGACATTAGGATGGCTGACTGTCAGGGACAGAATCCAACAGAGAAGCCTTGTCACATTTAAACGTATCATGCTCACCAAACAACCAAAGGCCTTGTACGACAAAATCACATTCCAATCTGAGATCCACAAGTACAGCACACGTTCAACCAGCACAAACAAAATCAGACTACCAAAACCAAAATCAAACTCTCAGAAAAAGCGCTTTATGTACAGGATGTCACACACGTGGAATAACATAGGCAACTAGCAAAGTACTGGATTGTAAATAGTGAATTTGTGTAAAGTTTGCCATGTACTGTTAATTTTGTAATGTTTTTGTACGTTTGTAATACATGTATGTAAATATGAATGTGTAGACCACAGGAAGAATAGCCTCTTATGAGGCTAATTGTGGATCTGAATAAAACTGAAAAAAACTGAAACACATTCATATATATGGTGACAGAAATCCCTCCTACTATAAAATTGCAACATGATGTAACCCAACACCAGTTACCATGGTGAGAGATTGTCTGGTTGACCAGGTCAGAGGTCAGTGAACGAAAGCAGAAGAGGAAACTGAGCAAAAACCATATGTTTTCCTTCAGTAAACATAATAATACCTTCATGGCAATTACATACAAATGTACAATATAAATAGATTACAATAAGTGAATACAAAATAGAATATTCTTTTCTTGTGACCTTTCCATGTCCCAGTTTGTCCTTCTTGTCCTGAGTCTTGGTGTCCTGTGCTGTGGACCTTTTCTTCAGGAACATTCTCAAAGACACAGTACACTCCATAAACTGCTTCATAAAACTCTCCCTGCAACAAATAGAATCATGTCAATTATTAGAAACTCTTTCTTTTTCTTATTGTTTCATTTTTTTGTAGTTTGTTTGCACTGAAGAAAATGACAGACAAAATTAATGTAATTAAATTTCACAAGTTTACAAGGTAAGAACAAAACGAGTTGGTAAAAAAAACGTCCAAAAACATTTCTAACCATCTCTGTCAATATTTTACAATGTGACATGCAATGATGTACATTACATGTATATGGAACTATATTAAACTACATAAGAACATTCTTGCCTGATTTTTGGCAGAGGGAAGTCTGCTGGCAGCTTGGATGGCTTGATCATGTGAGGCTTGTTCCTGAAAATCAAAATCACAGTGGCAGCCATGTTCTCAATTTTGATTTGGAATATTCTACAACAAACAAACAAACAAACTCAGAACATTTCAGATAGTGTTTTAAGAATTCTTTGTCTGACGTAAATGAATGATAGTTGACTTGAACAGGCTCTTGAAAGTTATCTGTCACTATGAACTTTAAAGTAGAAGATTTGTAAGAAACTTACGGGAACTTCTCAAAGACTCGAAGCCGGAGTGGAAGTTTCTGCTTTGTCCCTACCTCTTCTCTTGCCTTCAGCTGAAAAAATATAAATCTAATTTTCAAACTATCATCTTTTAGCCCAACAATACAACAGTTGAATTCAAGTCATACTTTGAATGTGATTCATTCAGACCAAGGGCAGTTACACTGTTTATTTAAAGTCTTATAAGGATATGGTGTTCTGGTCCACTTCCAACCAATCAGCATGCTGTATTCTTAAACCCCACCTGTTTGAGTTTCTTCAGATCTTCATCCAACTCCAGGTTGTCCAGAATAACTGCCACAAACAAACTCACCACAATCTGAAACACAACCAGGAAAAAAAATGAATGTCATCACCATCAAAAATACATAATCAAAGTCATAGTAATATCATAAGTTTGTTCAGTTAGCAGTGTATTGATATTTATGTTTACCGAAGTATTGAAGGAAAACATTGTTTTTGCTACGTTTCCTTTTCTTCTTCTCCAAACAGTGACCTCTGACCTGACTGAACCAGACTGTCTCTCACCATGGTAACTGGTGTTGGGTTACATAATGTTGCAATTTTATAGTAAGTGGGATTTAGGCTCCTATCACCATATATGTGAATGTGTTCGAGTAAGAGTTAAAAGAGCAGACCATATGCAAACTTAAGGTAAATATTAATATGCATTTCCTTTGCAAATGTTACTTTTTTAGTTTCAATATGCAATTGTATATACACCATTGTAGTTAATTCTATGTTATCTGAATCATACAACAGTATAGCATATAACCAAAGAAAGTACAAAAGTAAGAACAGAGGTGAAATTTCTGCTCACCACTGCAGTAAACATGTGGTACAGAATGAAGTAGACAGCCACCAGTGGGGCATATGTCTCCCCTACAGCCCACATGGTATGATCCATCACCTCCACCCACCCCTCCTGTGTAAGGATCTGGAACATGGACATCAGGGCCTACATGGGGAAACAAAACAAAGATGCGTTGTCCATTCTAACAATACTACATGTACTATTTCAATAGTTAACTCTCAGGAGGTAAAGTCTCTGGTCATGGGTTCGATTCCTGGCTATACTGGGCCAGATGTTACATCCTTAGGAAAGGCACTTTACCTAATGGAACTCATCCAATCCTGGTGTAAATGGGCACCTGATATTAGTTGTGAAAGGTAAAAGGTGGTAGAAGAGAGGGTTGGGCTCTATAGCTAGTCTCCAATACCATGGATCGAAGACCCACTGCCTCTACAGTCTGAAGAAGGGGTATATATGGGACTATGTGTGGATGGATGGCCATAAAATTTAGTAGGTGGGTAGAGTCAATAAAGAGGAAGGTCAAGTTTGATAATGGGCTCTAAGCAGCTCTGTACTGTACATTCAGTATTTTCTAAACCCTACCAATCTGATGGAGTTATGTTCGCAAAAGTAAACACATTATATTATTGTAGTCATATGTCTCTTTGACACCGTACAGGCAATTAGCCTTTGGGCATGATCTTGCAAATAGACTTAAGATTATATATCCATACATAATACTAGTAGTATCAGAAGAGTACAGAAGCTCTAAACTCACAGCTGGGAATGTGGTGAAGGCCTTGAGTGATGGTATGAAACAGAAGAGCTGCAGACTGACAGCTGAGGCCACCACCAGCAGACTCATGGTGAACAGCACCAGGCTGCCTAACTTCTTCCCTGGACCAAATATCTAGAGGAAAAAAACATTGAGCGGCTCCTTTAAATTCAAGAAAAAGGCAGTTTTGCAGCATTCTAAGTTTGTGATTAAAACAATTCTGCAGTACAGTAGTGTATGTCACACACTGCAAGTGCAGTTTTATCCCAATGGAAACAAATGTTTTCATACACAGTACTATACCTTATAGCAGAAGTCCTCCAAACTGGGAGAAGCTTTAATAAGCCGCACCACACGTAGTACCTGTTAGTAAAGAAGTCAGAAACAATATGACTTAGTTTTCAGGTTTGCATACGATAGAAAAATCGAGTGGAAACAACTACAGTTTACAGATAGGACCTATCCTTAGTGCTGAACAGAATATCTTTTGGCTGTAGCTCAAGTTTTTTATGTGTTTTTCATTTGGGAGAAAAAAACACTAAAAATTTGTTATAAATAGGACCTGTCCTTGGTGCTAAAGATACTATTTTTACCTACAAAAGTTTCTATGAATTTTGCATTTGAGAGAAAAATAATTAACCAAAAAACACAACAGATAAGTTATGAATAGGGCCTGTCCTTGGTGCTGAATATACTATTTTGCCTATGCAAGTTTCTATGGATGTACAAATGTATTTCACTCACCTCTGACCTGAAAATAGGTAGGTTTTGAGCTGTAAAACACAGGCAGGATGTGTAGGGACATGTAGGGTGTCCCTATAGATTCTAACTTGAAAATATGTGAGTTGTGAACAGTAGAACACAGGCAGGATGTGTAGGGAGTCCCTATAGATTCTAACCTGGAAGTAGGTGAGTTGTGAGCAGTAGAACACAGGCAGGATGTGTAGGGTCGTTCCTATGGCCAGGATCAGCTCAAACTTGTGCAGCGACCGTTTCCAGTAACCTTGGAGACCAAGGCACCACACTTTAAACACCACCTCAAGGTCAAACAACACTGTAAACGCCACCTGCAGAAGTTGGGAGAATTACTTTTTTAATCAGCATTGTCAGTTTCATTCAGTTCTTGGTCAATCTGAAGAACTCTAGAAAGGTAAAAATTACAAAGCAAATGCATAATATTTACATCTACATGGTCTGTGCTAACAAACTACTGCATTATTGTTAATTCTTTCTCAAACACATTGAATTTCATATATAGTACATGGTGGCCAGCCCCTCCAACTCTGCCTTGCTACATAATGTACCCCAACACCACAGGGTGTCTACTACAGCACCAGTTACCATGGTGACAGCTGTGTGGTTCAGGTCTTTGACCTTACTATGTATTATAACCTTCTTATTGATAAGAAGAGGAAACAAAGCAAAAAAATTATAACTAATGTTTTACTTCTGCAAATTTAAAAATGAAAAAAACAAGCCACTAGGGAACTCAAACTCATGTCACTTCTTCCCTAGCCCAAGAGCTATCTGTCGTCCAAAATTCGTCACCCTAGCATGTTCAGATCACGAGATATCAAAACCGGAAGTTCTGCTGCAGTACATAGGAAAGCGGCCAGGGGGCCCAAAATCTAATCATTTCTAGCTCTCATAAAGACCTACCCACCTACTAAGTCTCATGACAATGCATATTAATCTTCTTGAGTTATGCTGTTCACAGACGGACAGACGGACAAACAAACAGACGGACAAACGCTACTGAAAACATATTAACCTTCTTGGCGAAGGTAATAAGAATTACAGTAAGTAAGCCAGTACCTCTATAGCATAGACCAGTTTGCGGTAGTTCTCATACTCCTTGGTGTTGCGATTTACGTCAAACTGTATGGTCGCCGTGACAACAGCATTGGCCAGCACAAACAACAACATCACCACGTGGAACACTGACGACTGCAGGATGTACTGACAGACCTGTGAATAAACAAACAAACAAACAAAATGATTCAGAAATGGAGATAACTCTTTGTTGACATTACACAATAAAATGTATGCATGTACTGATTCCAAAATAAATATTTTTTTCATATAAATGTACTTATAACTTACATACATATGATTATAAAGTGGATAGATGTGAAATAAGGGAAAATTAAGTATGAAATAATAATGTTTTTTACCTGTGGTGCTAGTCCTCTTGGGCATCTGGTATTCATAGCCACCAACTGCCAGCCTGTTCCGTGTTCTTGGACAATCTAAGGGGGGCAAAATAAACAGGAATCTTTAACTAACTCTGGAGAGCAATGGTTGTACATCTGTGCATATGTTCAATGAAAAAGAGAAAGGTTATGAGGTAACTAACAGAAACTAACACTGCTCTCCTTTTTAGGGCTTCTTTCTATATAGATTCTCATTTAAATAATCGTGCTATTTCTCCACAGCCTTGTACCTTAGTGCCAGCTGATGTGGTAGGACTGCCCCTGAACTGCCACATCTCCTTAAACTGGACTCTGATGTCTGCAAATGTCTCCACTATCACAGCTATGAAAACATTCTGAAAGGGGAAAAACACATGAGAAAAAATACTCTCTTTTGTATAGGTTTTGCACTGATAAGATACATAAATCATCTATTAATCATTGCATGTGAGACCTGTCCTTGGTGCTGAACACACTATCTATCAGTTGTGCATCCTATGAGGTGCACTTTTTGATTAGAAAAATAGACAGAAGCAGTAACTTGAAGGAAAACAACTTCAGGGCTAAAAAACTTGACTTAAACAAGAATTTCACAGCTTTTGCACGGCATTGTAATAAATGGAATGGATCACCTTTAATCACCTTTGCACCACTTTTGATTGCAATTTGTACATGTGCAGATGGGAAATTATATTGAGATCTGTACAGTATACTGTGCACCTAGCAAACACACTGAATAACATGTCCTAACAGTAAGACATCAACATTGAGAATGTTCCACAGAAAGTCGTACCTTCACAAGCCAAGCCAGGAAGAAGATCATGGAGAAGAAGTAGACAGATCTCCACTCAGGGAAACTGTCGATGGTTTTGTACATGGTGAACACCCAACCTTCCTGGGACGCAGCGTTGTACACTGTGAACACACTGGAGCCTGCAAAACAAGGTTTTATTTATTTATTTATTGGTTCAGCTGTACAAAAGACAGCGGGGATTGCCCAACTAGTTACAAGACTAGAGGGCTAACTCTGGAAACAGGACAATAAGCTACATAAGATACATAAGATAAGGTCAGGTCATTAAAATCAATTCAATACATATACATAAACAAAGGCTTAAACTTGCACAAGACAAATTACAGCTTGAGCAAACAAAACTGAAATATTGGCATTTTAACAACATGTGAGGTCATGTGACGTAAACGGTAGCAAGTTCATTTAAGGACCAAGATGTCCTGGGTTTGAACCCTACCAATGTCACCAATCTTGAACGTTAAATGGAGGTCCTGTGTTTGGGGAGAGCTACACCCCATGCATGTTAAAGAACCCACCGCACTTATCGAAAAGAGTGGTCCTTCCCGGTTTGAGTGGTTCAAACCTTACAGTCCGGTCTTACACAGCTTGTACTTACATGTACAAAACTGGTGTGTTACGCCAAGTTATGCAAAACAAACAATACTAGATATGTCACTCTAGCGTGGGTTCCATCCTGGTTAGTTTACGTCCGCTCCCACAGTCGCTACCACCAACGACTGTGGGAGCGGACGTAAACTATCCAGGATAGAACCCAGGCTAATGTCACTCACCGAACTCGTCAAACCCGCTGTAGCCTCTCTGTGAGCGTTTGAGCTGTATGTCCACACACTCCATCCCCTCAGGACAGGAGTAGCCGCTGCCGGGGTGGGGGGAGCAGTAGGTGTCTGGAACAGCCAGCGACTCCAGGGTCACAGTGCTGAAAACAACATTTAATGTGTTAAAATTTGTAATCCCTTGAGGGTACTTCTAGTAATCTTATGCTAAAACCATGCACTACATAGCTAAATTAAACAGGTTCAAAAATTAAATTTCTTGTTAGGCCACACCAATTTAATTTCTTGGTTAACGGATTTTAATGATTGAAAATAATGGAGCGGGCGGGCGAAAAAAAAAATCCGCCTAGGCATCCTGTTATGGCCCAAAATGGTACGATAGGAGCCATGAAGTCAACACACCAGGCTGGTTCAAAATTTAAACAATGAATTTTGAACTTTTAATGATACAATTGCATTGAAAAATGGAATAACTGTAACAGTTAGGATGAAAAGGACTGTTTTCAACTGTTCAGGGCAAAATATGGGCATTTTCAAGTTGATTCTGAATTTTTATTTTTATTTGCAAATCAGAAAAAAATGAAGCGGGCGAATCCGTTAACCAAAAAATTAAATTGGTGTGGCCTTATATGAATTGATGATTAATAGACTTTCAGTGCATGTGTCCGCAGAGCATAAGAGCAATTGGAAGATATAAAAAAGTTCTGAATTTCTTGTTTGATTATAAAGGCCAGTTCTGAACACTAATGATGAAATTGTTGATTGAAATTGTTTGAAATAGGCTATGCCTGACTTACCCAGCACTTCGGCAGAACGTACTGCGCCTGCGCAGAACCCCGATTTTTCACGGTTTTCGTTGGATTTTTGGTCAATTTTGCACCAGAATTTTGCCTGTTGCAGACGATATGTTTTCCGTCACAACATTTGGAAGCTACAGACGGAATGTTGATCTTATATGTGCTAACACGACCTTATATGAGACGTTCTGCCGAAGTGCTATGCACAATATATTACGGATTTCGCGCAGGTGCAGTACGTTCTGCCGACGTGCTGACTTACCCTGGTTTTGTCCCGTTGGTCACACAGTGATACTTCAGCTCCCCAAACAGCTGAACTCCCAGGATGCCGTACAGCGACAGGAAGAACAGCAGGAAGATGCTCACACTCCAAATCTGACCGCTGGATTTCCTACAGATGGGGGATCACAATCAAATCTGATCAGATCTTGCAGACAATATATGTCTCAATGTCTCAATATACTAATTTTAGTCTTGAAAATGATGTCTAAGAGGTATGTAAAATAGAAATACTTTACTATGAATCTTGCATTACTTCAAACAACTAGAAACCACAAAATAGTAAGAAATTTTTTATACAATTTTCAAAGTATTTGAATAAAATCTCATCTATGTTGGTAGAATCCATAGCCGTGAAATTTAGGCTTAGTTGACAAAGTTTTACGAGATTGACCAAAAATTTACAGTGAGTTCCCTTTTTGTGTGACTAAGCTTAAACTTCACAACTTATTTTTAAAGTAGGCTAGGGAAACTTAGTTTAGTTGACAGCATTAAGTGTTGAGATGGCTTGTAAAAGACAGACCCTCTCTACATCAAAAAGTTTGAAACACCTCTGAAGAATTTGGATGTACTAAGAAAAGAAAGTTAACAGAGGAATGGCACGGAAGGAGTTTTTGGACTTACTTGACAATGGTAGCTAGCTGATTGAGCTTGTAGAAGACAGACTCTCTCTACATTGAAAAGTATGTATCACCAGCAAAGTTGGGTGTACATTGTATCAAGAGCTATAGAAACGGAGGAATGAAAAGGAAAAGTTTTTGAACCTACTTGACGATGGTGGTTATCCTGGCTCTGGGCAGTTGGAACTTGAGGTAGATGCGGAAGGTTCTGATCATGATGAGAGGTCTGGGAGCTCGCAGGATACTGAGGGGGGTGAACTCCTCCACATAACCCGACAGTTCAAACACCTGTGGATGTGGTACGTTGTTTGTTTACTGTTCAATTACTCAACACAAACAAAACAAAAAGACTCAATTTTCTGTGTACATTGCAATTTATTTTGTGTGTGTGTGTGTGTGCGTGCGTGTGTGTGAGAGAGAGAGTGAGTGAGTGTGTGTGTGTGTGTGTGTGTGTGTGTGTCTGTGTGTGTCTGTGTGTGTTGTATATGAGATAGAGTACATGTAGGTGTGCCAGTATACTTGACCGTGTTCATGTCTTTTCAAATATACATGGGCAGTGATCAGTACAAATAACCTTAAAGTTTGTATGTCCTCAAACTGATTATTAATGTGTCTTGCACACATATGAGAGTCCATAGAAAATACTCAATCATGTACTTAACAATAAGGCCATGTTGATTTGATTATATGGATGACATCCTCCGGGAGCCCCAAAACTGATGCGCGCGTGCGAATAAAAAAAAAGTTTTGCAAAAAAAAAAGTTGTTTTCATTATGAAATCAACGTGGTCATGAGGGTTGAACAAATGGGACAGTATATGGTTTGGCGAATAATCTAGTTTTCAAGTTCATTTCTTTACAATTTCGTCTTTTTTCGTTTGATTTTGGCATTCTACGACATTCGTATAGTTTGTACTTATTTTTTTGTAACTTACGGTATATTTTTGCTCATTTTGCAACTGTTTTGTGCGATTTACAGTATGGTTGAAAACTTTTTTTTTTTGGAAACGGCCGAAAATTCATGCGCGCGCAGATGTCATCCCTATAATCAAATCAACATGGCCTAAACGACAAAAACAACTCTAGACTTCTAACCTGGAGTACCACAGACACCCAGAGACACAGCACCATGGTGGCATCAAACAGGCACCAGTGGTCCTTCAGGTATGGGTTATCACCCTGAGGAGGAACAAAGATTTTAAAAGACATACTTTTCTTCCGTTGTTGCTCATCCGACTTATACATGTAAGTGTACATTTACTGGAATTCTTTAGGACAGGATTAACTATGCATTGTACATGTCAAAAAGAGCTAGGGGAATTTCCCAGGAAAAATGTGGTATACACTTGTTCAGGTCTCAGTAACATAACAGTAAGACAGTTAAAGCTAATGTGGTATGCCAAAGGGCAGTTATACTGGTTGTATCAATACAGATACAGTCATTTTTGACTGAAGGATTAGAGTAGCTCAAGAGTCCATTGTCTATACAACAGTAAGACATGATGCTGCCCCCCCCCCCACCTTGAGCACGCCCCTGAAGTGCATCTTGCCCATCATCTCGGTGGTGTACAGCAAGGTCAGCACAATGTCCAGCACGAAGGTCAGGAAGCACAGCTGGGACAGCTGCTGGAAGGTCGCGGGTGTGTTCATGCTGACAGACACCACACTCAGCAAGGCACAGCCTGGGGGACAGCAATGACAGAAATACACTCTGTCATTGAAGTTTCACAAAAAATAAGAAGAAATCAAAGATATACGGATTTGGGATTGAATTCTTGCTGCAAAGCATCACCTACATAATGGCTATATATATAGTGGCAAGAAGCAGTACTCCAGTCGTGATAGGAAGCTCTGAGCATCAAAATATAAGCAGGTGAGAAACACTTACTCATTGTATAAAAAGCCTGGGAGATAGCAAGGACAGAAATACACTGGATAGAGACTTAGGTAAAACATTATGTTCAGCACCAAGGACAGGCCCTATTCACAACTGATCTAGTGTGGTGTCGGGTGGAGTAGTGGTAGAGTGTTCGACTATAAAACAGGGAGACCCGGGTTCGATCCCGAGTCGTACCCAGGACATGTCTGGACATGCGCCCCGACGTTATGCCCTTGGGAAAGGCACTTTACACGAATTCTCTTCTTCACAAGTTCCGAAGAGAACCCCACTTTCTGTCTATGCACAGATAACACAACAAGGTATAGGGTAGTGCGCACCGACACGAATGCCACACAAGCTAGGTGTGGAAGCACGAATGACCGGGGGAAGGGAGACGGGATGGGGGAATGGGATTAATTAGAGGGGGAGTGGCTACAGTACCATCTGTGCGCCGACAGAAAGTGGAAATTTCCTCACTCCACCCAGGTGTGAATGGGTACTAACTTCGGTTGGGGAAACTCGTATTGAGATCACCTTGTGGCACCGAATGGCAGCTGCACAGACCCTTGCGACAAATGCGTGTGTGGAGCAAATATGTTACTTATCCTTTTCTAAGAATTGCCCTTTTCTGTGACCTTTGACCTAACTTACCTCTGAGCAGGTTCCTGACCCATGGCTTGCTGACCCACTGGACATCCACACCATTGGTCAGATTCTCGTCTGGTCTGAAGTCAGCCATGGTCTATCTGTGTGTAAAGGTTCAACATTGTCAACTCATAGTGCATTTCTGAGAAAACATGCTGCACAATACACTACAGAAGGATAGTAGGAAGTCTTGAAGAACCATATTATATGGGATTACATAACAACTGATTGAATATCTGTCTTTGATTAGAGTTGCCGCTACAAAATTCAACATAATTGTAAACTCTTAAATTTATAACAATTGAAAAAACATGCTGCACAATACAGTATAGGAAGAAAGTGGGATGCCTTTAAGAATCACATTAAATGGGATAGTGCCTGAATGAATCCGTGTTTTTAGTTAGGCCCGATTTAGACTAGAAACGCTTAAGGGGTTTTGGCCAGGGAAACGTTTCGGAACGGTTAACCGTTCCCGGTCTAAAGAGGAAAAAACGGTTTGTTATGGGTTTTCGCGGACCGTTTCCGAAAACCACCTCCATCGTGGTTTTCGACCGTTTCAGAACCCTTCAGCGGGGGGCCCGAAACGCTTTTTGCTAGGTCTAAAGACAAAGGGTTTCTTGAAACGGTAAACCAGGTCACATGTCATATGCTAATCACATGCTAATAAGCCCGCGCACGTCCATTATCTGGTAGATTCGCGCCATATTTGATTGTGTCCATTTTCACCATTTTATATCGTGTATTTCTCGAATTTTTGTTATCCTTTACGTCTGGAGGGATGGCAGAAGGGCAGGGGAGGGTCTGGACCCAAGATGAGACCCGCTTCTTGATCATCTTGTGGGCCAATCAAACTATACAATCCCGCTTGGAGACCTCGCGTAATAGGGAGGGCATACAGATGCTTGTGGATGGGCTGGCGGCTGAGGGGTATTTATGCACCCCAAAGCAGGTTCGGGCGAAGTTCAAGGCCCTGAAACACAAGTATCGTAAGGCCAATGAGGCAAACCGTAGAAGTGGTTCGGGGAGGTCATCATAGGTCACTGTGGGTCAGAAACATCCTGCGCCACGGGCGGCCCGAAACACTTCCGCCCCTGTGTCTAAAGACGAACCGTTTTCTGTGGCGAAACGTTTCGTACCGTTTTGAAACGGTATACCGTTTCTAGTCTAAATCGGGCCTTAGAGTTGCTGCTACAAAATTCAACATTAGAAACTCTTCTTATGTATTTCTTAGTACATGAGAAGGCATGCTGCACAACACACTACAGGAGGATAGTAACTTGAAGTTTTGAAGATCATATTTAATTTAGATAGGACAACAACTGTCATCCTTGTCTTAAATTACAGATTTGCTGCTACACTTCAAAAAATTATTCAACAATCTATACCAGTATGTACATGTACAGAAAGAAATGATGGTATGAAAAAGAATTGTCCTTTATTTGACCTTTATTTTATTTTTCTCATAGCTAGGATAACACAAACGACCCATATATCCCCAGGACAGACTTACAAGGCTTAATGTTTTTCATTACTAAACCTCAAACCATTGTTTATAGTGCTTTAAAAAAATGCTTCTGGGCCACATTCATCATCTAATGTAGGTCACACATAAAAAAAAATCAATGCTGACAGTTTTTCCAATATCTTTGTGTAGGAAAATGATCGTAAACTTCCACTAATCATGCAGTATTACTAGAATATCATCCTTAAATAAATAAAATAGATTGAATGACTATAAAATCCAATACACTTGCTATTGAAGATATAGATATAAAAGTTGTAAGTTTTATAAACCATTACGACTTTTTGTTTTTGTTTGTTTGTTTGTTTATGGTATTGAGAAAAAACAAATAAAATTCATTATCGTTAACGTTACTTATGAATCAGGATTCTCTAGATCCCATTTTATGATCAATTTGTTGTTGTTGTTGTCCTTGTTTAGAGTCTATTTTTCTCGCTAGACGTAGTCGCTATAGCAGCTTTATATTTAACACCGATGTCCAAGCTATTGACCTATGGCTATTATCACCCCCCCCCCAGTGGATGGATGTAACGGTCCATTTTGCCTGCCATTTTATTTTATTCAAAAGACCCCACAATGATAAATTATATTGCGGTAAAAGTCGGTAACAAGATACCATTGTTGATATTAAACGTAAAGCACAATCAACTGACGTGTCGGAAATGGAGCAAGACCAACAATAACAACACCGGGTACCCAGACAGACGCCCTGGGAGTACTTAATTCAATGGCAACGATTATATCACACCAGAGCTGCATAGGGCAATAAAAATCACAGATCGAACCACACATTTTCAGGACCGTTAACCTGAGTGCTGAGCCTGTGCGTGGGAACTGTTGCGGGCTAGAAGATCGATTTTTATACCGTCAAACCTGGGCGCACTTGTTGCTCTCTGTGCTATGTAGGTCGTCACATCATGGCTGCCGTCCGTCTGGGAACATCAAAACATCAACATGGCGAGCCTCAAATTATTATTCGCAGTGGAGGGGAACCACCGGTCTGTGGGCGTGGCGCTCATTTGCATGTGGGAGAAATGTGACCGCGCAGCAGCGACATTTGGCGGTTTTACCCCGAACTGTCTTGCCATCTCACGCGAAGTGATCCACAGCTACAACATTGCAGCTTTACAATGGGACAATAAACCATCAATACGCACGTTTGGCATCGAAGGTAGAATTTTACTGCAAATGAGAAAATAATTTCAGGAAGCAACGGATAACGTAAAGCTAACGGATGATTTCACAAATGTCAAATTTGAGTCAAATTTAAGTCAAATTTGACTGCTGGCTAGTGGCATTGCAGTAAAGACTTTAGTTTTTAATATACGGTACAACAGAATATTTTTAAAGGCTATGTCACTGGAAATTTAAAAACAAATACCACCAGAGGCAAAGTTGCTTATCAAATTATGATAATATGGGGTCAGAAATCTGAGCACAGGTCAAAATAAAGGTCAAAGTTGAAATGATGGCCAAGAATAACACTTCTGGCTGTTTCCGTCTTCCAACACAGTTGGACAACGTGCCTCGCCTAGTGCAAAGGATACAAATCATAATATTACACACTCAATTACCCACACTGCCATTTATAACCATAAAAAACAACGCAATAAATATCCGATACCCTCTAAGCCATTTTACAGCTTTACATTTGCATGCGGTGCGTGCATTAGCATCCTCCAGGCCAGCAGGACCGCAGCAGAAGGCGTTGAAGGAGTCGTGGGGGACGGAGCTGGAAGGTAGGTGGGCGTTATTTTATTATTCACCTGTAGCTGTCGCATCTCTAGTCCGTCAACAGCTATACTGGCTACGATTTCAAATAAGACATCCATGTTGTGCTCTTCAAAAAATTATGATAGCGCAAAATTCAGCAACGGAGGATGCATCCTTGGGTGACATCCTCATAATTTTACCGCAAGCTGCTTTTCATTTCGTATTTACAAATTAATTGTGTTTTTGCATCAGCATCACGTCTTTTCTTCACATCAGTGGTCGTTGCGTGGAGTTAATGTATTAAGGACAAGGCGACAGTTTAAAATGAACCCTCACCGACGTGTATATTGATCGAAAAGGCTGAAAAATTGCTCTGGGTTGAGCTAGAACATGTATCATAATAGGTTATGCTGTGTAATATGTATCATAAACAGTGATATTGTACATGAGCAATCTGCGAGTAGCGACACGGGCATATGTTATGAATCAAAACCGTGCCGTGCGTTTGCTGTCGTTCTACGATGTATCTGCGTGCCAGTAAGTCATTTTAGAATGCCCTTTTCTGAAGACAGCCCTTTATTCTACTCTCCAAGCAGAGGTTTGGGTTTTAGCTTATTTTTGCCTACTCTCCAAGCATAGGTTTGGGGGTATTTTTGGCGTGTTTTTAGGCTTTTTTTTTTATTGGGGTTTCTTTTTTGCACTGGGTTGGGTGAAAAAAATTCCAGTGCAAAAAAAGAAACCTTGATAAAAAAAGCCTAAAAGCATGCCATAAATACCCCAAACCTCTGCTTGGAGAGTAATTTTTGGCATCTTTTGGGGCTTTTTTTTTTTTGGCCTTCTTGTTTGCAATGTTTGTTTTTTTTTTTTGCTTAAAAAAGCCAGATAAAAAAGCCTAAAAGCACACCAAAAATAAGCTAAAACCCTCTACTTGAAGAGTAGTCTTTTGCCGTAATGGCACTGCAGGTAGATAGTGTATTTAGCGGACACGTATGCAAGTGCAGTCCTTGGAGGCGTATTTACCGCACTTAAGTGGGCCGTCCGAGTGCACGGCGCTCTGCCTCGGTGATTACACGTTACGTTGGAGAATTCAGAGTGCATGAAGACGTCGCTTTTTCACTTTCCTGCTCAATTTTCTTGACGTCTTGCTAAATAAGAATGCGCGATATTCTTATTCAGCATCACATGTTGTTTATTTCAGCGCAAGAAAATGAATTTACATAATATTTATATTGATGTGTGTGGCGATCATTTTTGTGCTTTGACTACGGTTGCTAGCGTTAAATATCAAAGTTCTTAATTCACAACCACTTGTTTATGGGAGTTAACGTTTTGATAACCGTCTGTCATCTTCATCAAGGCTATTTTCTTTTATCTTTTATATTATATAAAAGATTATATTTTATAAGTTTCTAATAGGACGAAGATGACAGACGGTCATTGAAACATTGGTTCTTGTTAACAAGTGGTCAATTTTACGGTGAATTAAAGTACATGCAACTTTAATATTCAATCATTCATCAACCTGATGAAATTATCTACAGAGTTGCTATCCTTTTGTATAATCATATTAATTTTCTAGAGTTGTGTCTATTACTATGGTCAACATTTGCAAACCTCAAAAGTCATGAATATCTGGCACTACATCATATCACTGATAAAAAGACATTTGAGATTCAAAATCGCAAATCTTTTGACTGAAACAGGATTCATTATTAAAGAAAAATGTAAGAATGTAAAAATTCAAGTCATTGTATTTCAACCTGAAAAGATCTGTGCTACTTGAATGAATTTATTTTGTGTCACTTCAATAAAGCACAAATACATCTAACCTATGACCTAATTTTTAGATACATCTGTTCAACAACGAAGAATAACGTGTGTGTTATGGGAAACCGGGACGATAAATATTTAATGGGGTCTTCCATTGAATATTAACTGTAAATCTAAGTATAATACACCCTTAAGAACACACACACTCACGGTGGAGAATATGCACTTAGAGGGACTTAACAAAGGAGAAATGTACACTGTACACATACAATAAGTGCCAGTAAAATGTGTCGGCCAGCTGCCTGTATTTGCACAAAAGCAGACAGGACTTGAAAGCAATAGTCTGAGAGCTAAATGTAAAATGCATCAACTTCACATCATAAATGTATTGTTGCTCCAAAAGAAAATTAGATAGAAAAGGGTACTATTGATTTTATTGATTGAAGTCAATTAGATGCTAACCATGTAGCTATTAGTGGTGTCAGTTCATTCTTTAGCTTTGATGGACTAGAAATTTAATTTTTGATGAAGTTTTGAGGCTATCATAGGAAAGAAACTACAGTGTATATCACATTCCAACCAGATTTTGTCATATTTATTGCTATATAATGTATCTATTTCTTTCAACATACCTTTTTCAAGAACTGATGTAAAAATGTTGCATAGATTTTAGATCTATTTGCCATAATGTCCCAATCTATACTTTCATTACGTCTTAAAATTTATACTGTACATTGCATAGAAAGTATGGTGAATACATAATAAAACATAATAATAATAATACAAAAAAATTGATATGAACATCGTGGCGGAATTACAGACATGATTGTCAATTAAAATATTTGCATTGTTCATTGTGCTCATCTATTTCTAGTATTTCAAGTATTGTCTAATCTGTTTCTAAAAAGCATAAAGTTTGCTTTAATGTTATTTCTCTTTAAGCATTAGGAGCAGTCCAACGAATATTTCTAATCAAATCTTTATTTAAAATCAACTTTGCAGATGTGCAAAATCTCTTCAGACACAACTGAATTACGTTGAAATTTTACAGATACGTAGATTAAAAGCATATTAACATATAGCAAAGTTCTTTTTATCACAACCATTTATTTTTCACTAGCCAACGTTTCGATGACCATCTGTCATCTTCATCAGGGCAAATCTGACTGGTTTACTGTGCACTGACACTAGATATTACTTGGTGCATAGTGCACTTAAGCTAGTTTAAGTTTAAGTTTAATGTAGTTCTAGTTTAAGTGCACTATGACCTATGTAACACCCTTAGTGCACTATGCACCAAGTAATATCTAGTGTCAGTGCACAGTAAACCAGATTTGCCCTGATGAAGATCATCAGGTCATCAAAACGTCGGCCAGTGAAAAATAAGTCGGCTAGTGATAAAAAAAAACTTTGGTATTCAGTCGTTTACCAACCTGATGAAATTATTTACGGACATATTAACATTAACATAATTAAAAATTACAATACAATACACAGTGGCATACAATTTATTTGCAATTGCACATTCACAATGCTTATTCTGTGTTTTGTAAGAATTTCGTGGTTCTCACAAGGAAGAGTTTGGACTGATGACTAGGTATACCACCCCCCCCCCTTCCGGCAAAGATGCTTGGTTAGGCACAAAATAGAAGTGTCTAACAGGTCCATTCTACTTCAGTTGACAGTACAAATTGATTCTTTCCATCAAGTCAGACAGGTCGATACAGGCTGGACAGGAGAACTGGTGTGAGAGACGTTCTATCACTGCGGCTTTCTCCGATCGTGAATAACTCGCCAATCTCGGGAAGTCCTGGCGGTTAATTGAGTTCAGCCAATCAATGAAGAGATGTCTTGGCCACCGCAAGGGTAGACTGGTGTCTAGTCTATCGTGGTTGGGGCGGGCTCTCTTCGGAGCTGTAGTTGTGTTTTCCCCCGGCCAGCTTAACCTGGCTGCCCGGTGGAAATTTTGCAACTGTGGGAGTTTTGTAGCCTCTGCCAGGCTTTGGGAAGTGGCTAGAAGGAGTAGAAATTGGGAAAATAGACAGATATATGCCAGGGGATTTGGTCCGTGCTAAGTTAGCAAGAGAACAGTTCACTGTACTTAATAAATGGTTTAGATTGTGTAAGTGTATGTGCTTGAGGAAGGCAGAAAAAGAACTACCAATTTGAAAGCGTTTCAGATCCATATGAAAACCTAGTCCATGGTGCTGAAACTGTTATAGTAACAAAGACCAAAGGCTGAGGAAAAGCATGCACTGAACAATAGTAATACAGTCTTGAAGGTTCAACTGTTCAGCTGAGTGATAATGGCATCTGTCCCTGGTGCTGAAAATGTTATAACAAAGGACAACCGCTGTGGAAAACTATATATGCATGCTTAAAAATTATCTACCATGACTGAATTATGTCAATGGTAGCTATCTTATTGCTTGAATCAGACTCAAGTCCAATATAAAGTATTGGACATGTATGATATGTATGTAT